ACTATCTTTTAATACTCTCTACCGCCTGACTACCAAAGGATTCACTTTATAACTAGTATTCACTCGGAACAGATCTTCTTCTCAACCACCATGAATTCGTAAGTATATTTATTGCTCTAATTATTATTATTATTATTATTTTAAATAAACCTGCTTTACTTTGTTGTTGTTGTTTATTTTTTTTATTTATTTTTTTTAACAATGTAACTCTCCTTTCTTTATTTTAGTTGGGATAGAGATTTTAAGACTCTCTTCAACCGATTTAACGAGAGCTCTCCGCCTATCAATAAGTTAACTGATATCCAAATCGGGAGACCATACATCATAAGAGAGTTGGAACAGGTCAAAACAAAATTGGGATTAGTATTGGTCGCTACACTAAAAGATTATATGAGCAATATACGAGTGTATCTTCCTAAACGCTTTAAGATGTTAGCTGAAGACATCGAAGCTTTTAACAACAACAAAGATATAATTTCATTAATCTATAATGGGAGAATTGGTTATAAAGACAATCTTTCATTTATTTGAATGTTTTCGAAGGTATGTAAATCAGTTCCTTATGAATTAGTAAACAGATTTATGTTTTCTTAAGCTGTACACTTACTTTTTTTTTTTTGTTTCTTTCAGTTTTATTCGCAGGCAAGGATTCCCTAAAGAAAACGGTTCTTCCGTTAATTAAAGAAAACTGAAGAAGTGTAGTGCATATTTCATATTTTGTATCAATATTATGACGAAATAAACTTTTTTTTTGTTGTAAAAGTTGTCCATTTATTTATTTTAATGAAATAATTATACTCCCATATCACTGTTTATATTTTAATACACAAAACGCCCTATTTCATACATACCAACTCCAGGAAGAAAAATGTTTTCGTATAGTTATTAGAAATCTCCACCCTACAACTCCAACTGAAGACATTACAGTTGAACTTAATGATCAGAGATATAAAGTTAAAAATATAACCAACGCACAACATCCTAAAACGAAATTTCCTTTGCCGATATTCTTTATTGACCTGGAACAACACCCGAAAAATCAGGAGATATTCAAACCTGAATATTTGTGTTATACAAAAATAAAAATAGAAGAGCCATACATGCGAAAAGAACCACCACAATGCCAAAGATGCCAGGCCTATGGCCATACAAAAGGCTACTGTAGCCTTCCTGCCAAATGTGTCAAGTGCGCAGGACCACATCTTACAGCATTCTGCACAAAACTAAGAGAAACTCCTGCCACTTGTGCCAACTGCAATGGTGAACACCCGACAAACTTCAAAGGATGCACTGTCTTTAAAACTTTAAAACAACTTCGAAACAAGCAATTAACCAATTATATATCCCCAGAAACTAGAACAGATGAACAACCTTCCTCTACTCGAACCGAAAATCGTTCTGAATCCACTAATGCCAATTCATTACAACGCCAAACGAATGATGAAATTACTCCATTAGAACAAGAAATGATGAGGGATATTCCTCCATCGGAGCCATTTCGTGAACCAGCTGCCAAAGTAACAGGGAGTTATTCTTCCGTACTATCTTCTAATCCTCCTTCCTCGTCACTTAATATCTCATCGGCTATAAAATCTTCAATTGAACCTTTTTTATCTGACCTAAAATCCCTTCTTTCACCAATTCTGGAATTTCTCACTAAATTACTCTCTGCTCTCATCTCAAACTCTTTCAATGATTAATCCAACACAACCTTCTCTTAAAATACTCCTGTGGAACTCTAATGGTCTGCTCTTACGCAAAAACGAACTAGAAATCTGTCTAAAAGAACACAACATCAATATTGCAATAATAACAGAAACTCATTTAACTGACAAACAAACATTCAAGATACAAGGTTACGAAACTTACAGGACCGATCATCCAGACCATACGGCTCATGGGGGTACAGCAATCATTGTGGACAAATCTTTAAACCATCATATACTTCCTGCGACCCCAACTAATACCATTCAGTATACCAATATTTCTCTCAACTCACCAAAACTGCAGCTTTTGGTCTCTGCAGTATATATTGCTCCCAACAAAGTTGTCTCTGCTGATAAAATGAAGAATCTTTTCTTACCAATGGGGAAACATTTCTTAGTAGGTGGAGACTTCAATGCTAAGAACTTAAAGTGGGGCTCTAGACTATCAAGCTCTCGAGGTAAAAGATTACTAAAATGCATTGAGGATCTTAAACTATCTATTATTTCCCCATCACAACCTACTTACTGGCCAACTTCTCTATCAAAATATCCCGATCTTCTCGGCTTCTTTGTTACACGCTCCTTATCACTCCCACACTCCAACATTTTCGATTTATCATCTGATCATAGCCCAATTTTACTAGAACTGTCAAAACACCCTTTCGCAAAATCTAAACCACCGACTTTAATTAATGGATTCATAAACTGGGACGACTTTCAAAATTATTTGAACAACAAAATTATACTAAATACTTGCCTCAATACAGCAGACGAACTTGACGACGCAGTCAACGACTTTACAGAATGCATACACAATGCGATCTGGCATTCGACTACACCAAGGAGGTCACTAACCAAAACAGATTCTTACCTGCCTCAGGGTATACGCAATCTTATAAAAGAAAAACGCAGAACTAGAGCTCTGTGGCAAAGAAGCAGATATCCATCACACAAAACAGCTCTTAACAGACTAACCCGAAAACTCCAACAAGAACTGTCAGCATTTAAAAATAACAGATACAAGGACTACCTAAATTCAATGAACAATAGAAACGAATCAATATGGACAGCAACAAGACGTATACTTAAGACAAAAGATGTTCAATATTCTCTCCGACGGACGGACAATAACAATACCTAGGCGAAGAAAAAACTAATGAATTCGCAAAAATCTTGCTCAGGTTTTTGGGACGAATAATATTCAGGACAACATGCACAATACTAAGATTGAAGACGATTTGACAACCCCACTACCCTTATCACCACCTCCGCCAGCATTTCACCCAAAAGACATTTACAAGGAACTCAACCGATTTTCAAACAAAAAAGCTCCTGGCTATGATCTTATCACTCCCTTCATCCTTCGCCACCTACCCCGAAAAGCCATTATCTTTCTTACTCACATCTATAATGCTATCTTACGCACAACTTACTTCCCTCTCCTTTGGAAACTTTCTACAATAAAAATGATACCTAAGCCTTCTAAACCTACCAGTAACCCTTCTTCTTATTGTCCGATTGCACTCTTACCCATAATGGGCAAAATATTTGAAAAATTATTTCTTCTTGGAATAAAGCCAATCCTAGAAAGTCGGGAAGTTATTCCGAATCATCAATTTGGCTTTCTTTCTTACCATTCCACTGTACAACAGTGTCATCGTAAAGTAGATGCTATCTCAGTCGCCTTCGAAAAAAAAAGAATTCTGCTCAGCGATATTCCTGGATATCGAGAAAGCATTTGATAGCGTCTGGCACAAAGGTTTACTGTGGAAAATAAAACCACACCTTCCTTCAACTTACTTTCTGATTCTTCAAGCTTTCTTTCTTGACAGGTTCTTCTGTATTACTATTGATTCCTCTACTTCTCCCTTCTTTCCTCAACTTACGGGCGTACCACAAGGTAGTGTTAGAAAGGTAGACAATAAACCAGTTCTTTCAGGGGGGCGGGGTGGCCGAATAGGCTAAAGTGTGTGCACAGCACCGCTAGTTGCCTGGCAACCGGATAACAGAGATTTGAGATGATATAAAAAGTAGGAGTTCGCGTCCCGGTGCCGGAGGGGATTTTAAATTCCCCGCCCTCACCCTCCGGCCCGGGAAATCCCGTATAGCCTAAAAGGCGAGGTAGGGAAGAAAAAAAAAAAAAAAAAAAAAAACTAGTTCCCTCAAAAAAACATGTACGGTATCTCGGACTATACTTGGACAAAAAACTCACCTGGAACATTCCCACTAAATTAAAAAAACAAGAACTGACCAGACGATACAAACAACTGTCACATCTTTTAGACTACAGATCTCCACTCAACTTACTAAACAAGCGACTAATCTACACCACTATACTAAGACCTACCTTGGACATACGGAGCAGAACTTTGGGGTTCCGCAAAACACACACACATCAACAAAATACTCCGTAAAATTGTCAATGCTCCTTGGTTTATTTCAAATCACACCATACACAAAGACATGAACATACCAAAAGTAAAATCCTACATACACAACATTTCACACTTCTACTCTCAATCATCCAAATCCACTCGTTCTATCTCTATCTTCCTCCCTCTGTTACCTGGTGAGCCTCAAAGACGACTAAAAAGGCAGTGGCCTAGAGATCTGCTGAAAAGTTAAGAAGATATCAGGAATTCAAGAAGATATAATTAACGCCAACACATTTGCTTGATGCGTTCCAACGCAGTGGCAAATTTAAAATAACAAAAAAAAAATATATATATATTAAAAACTATCTCTTAAAGTATTATTGTTCGTGTAATTACATTTTATAGGACTTCAAGAATCACTTAAACACCATTTCATAAAGGTAGTTCATTTCTTTCTTTGTTTTTTTCAAATTAATTATCGTTATATATATGAAAAAAAATTTCGGGCTGAAGTCCTCCCTAAAATTAAATCCTGGATCCGCTAGTGCATATAGGTAGTTCATTTCTTTCTTCTTTTTTATTTCAAAGTAATTTTCGTTATATATATGAAAAAGAATCTTTCAGGCTGAAGCATCCCCCAAAATTAAATTCTGGATCCACTAGTGAATCTGAGTACCCCTAAAAATCCACAATACTTCATTTCTTTTTCCTGAGTTAGTGAATTTTGAAAACAGCCCGAAATTTCCTGTTAGATAAGAATATCCTCATAGCCTCCAAAATAAATCTAAAAAAATTCTTCTAGCTTAGAAATATAATAAGATATTGAATGATATAAGTTATTTAATTTTTATATTTTGGTTTGAGAATTTATGATCATGTATGTTTTGTAATTGTTTCTATTTAATATTGTACATGCAGTGCCGTATTTATATTTGATAAGGACCCATCAGTTAACACTGTCCACCTTATCTGTAAGGTTAAAGTTAGCCGAGATAAGAATTTCTATACCTGTAGTAATTGTGTTTACTGAGTATTTTTCGTGAATTCACTTAAAATGACAGATTACTCAAAAATAACTTACTTTTGTATTTTTGTCTATTTATCTGTTTGCTGCTACAAAGATTTATGCGTGCAAACTTCAGGAGAGAAGCAAATCCCGATTACTAAAGTTGGTTTAAATACAAATATCGGACCGACCCTTAAATTTTTATATTGGTTTGTTATTCATTATTCATTAACTTTAAAGACACCTTAAAATTTTGTTAGGTTAATTGCAATTTATCATTATAGTTATTCCTGTGGATATAGAAAAGCATTTGAAGATTATTCCAACATTATCCGACACAAATATCCTGAAATAAGCATTACAGGGGGTAACTATGAACCTTCAGCATTTCATTTGCTTATTGCCAGAAGTTTGGTAAATGATTAATTTACATTTATTTGAACTTAATATCTGAAGTGCCTTGAATTATGATTATTGATATTTTATTTTAGGGATTTCTTAAAATGGCCATAATTGTTTCCATTTTGTTTGGAATTAATTTATTCACCTATCTTGGCACTGAACAACCTAATTGGTGGTCTTGGTGTACTTCTAATAAAATATATTCCTGCTTACTTATTTTTTTCGTGTGTAATGCAATTGAAGGTCATTTCATTTCAACAGGAGCATTTGAAATTTCAATTAATGGTAAGATTATCTTGTTTTCTAATATATAAAAACATTTATGGTTATAATCTATTCTGCTTGACAAAATTAATGCATTGATATATATTAGTAACAATTAATCTATTTATGTAATCTCAAAAAGTGTCATATTATGGTTAAGGAAATCAGGTGATAAGCATTGCATAACTATGAATAAGACTATTAGCTAGCATTTAATATTAATAATATGCGTATTATCTCTGTTTAATTATTTTAGTCTTTATAATATTAAAGTGTCAAAAGATTTCTTAAGTATCATTTTTAATTTGGTCATCTACTGATTTAGTGTATCATTTCTCTCTTAAGAGAATTAAAAAGAAATGCTACTGTGCATGTGTTGCTCTACTTTGAAAGCAGCACAAAGTCAAGTGGCACAAGATCTCACGATCACAATATAAATTGAATCCTAATAATGGCTGAGGATGTCGGAAAGAGATGACCAAACTGCCTGATAAGGCCCTGACTTCAACTGAAAAGAGCCAGTTATAGTTCGCTTATCACTTTAGAGCATGAAGTTGAAAGCAGGAATGTTATCAAAGCTAATTAGGGCCCCGATTTTAACTGATAAGAACTAGGTGTTAGTAGAAGACGTCAATCGTGATGTACATAAAGAGAGTTAACATATCAACATTCGACCATTCTCAGAATCCCATTTGTAACGTTATTATTAATGAAATAAGTGTCTAGTTGCCTGGAAGCTCCATATTCATCACAAAATTCTTTAGAATTTATGATGCATTAAAGCTCACACTTTTGAAGGTGCGATCAAAGGCGTTTGAGCTGCACTAGCCATTTGAATGACAGGTTTATTCTTATTCAAGCTTTTAAAATCTAGTTTATTATGTCATTTGAAATCAATTAGGCCTAGTAAATAAAATTGTCAAGGTATCGGTTTCCATTTGGTTAATGAGGAGTAGATTTAGTATAACAAATGTAAGTGCTATTAATCTTGCATTTTCTTTTTAATTTTTTTTTTTTAAGTTCTCTTCTTAACACGTTAGCTGCGGTTACGGTCCCTGGGGTCCAATAATTGTCTCGACTACCAAACAGCCAGGATTATTGTTTCAAATTGTGTCTATCTTTCAAGGTATCTAAAATGGTAATTTTTAAAAATATTTGACTGGGAGTTGAATAGATGTAAAGATACGAGTGTAAATAATCATTGTTTTCGGACACTGGGGACCAATACTGTACCAAACTGATAAAAAATGATTTCCTTACGGTATAACTCCCTGCCGTCCGATACATCTTTCTGCGAGGCAGTACAGTACACATGCACGGTCTTGTCTTCTTCAGGCATCTGTCGCACAGTAGCTCTTGAGAGTTCATCTTATACTGTTCCCCTTGCTTATTTAACATATATAAATTATATCTTAAAAATTATAATTACATGTAATAAATAAATTTTTTCTCATTTCATTTTCAATATTTAAGATTTATATCCCTAAAAATAACACTTATTTACTGAAATAAAGAGAAATAATAAAAACTAGTCATGTAAACAGCATCGGACGACGGAGTCCACTCCTACGATTCCTGGTCATTAATGAGGACATAATCTACAGATAGAGACTCTGAATAGGGGATTTAGTTCACTTTTGTTGTAAAATAATAGCGGTATACCTCGAAACTAATGCATGTCTCCGGCGTCTGATGTTGTTAGGAACTTCATAACTATTGTCAGTCGCCAGAGACCGATATCGTCAGGAAAGGCATTTAAGAGATATCATGCTCAGCAGCTAACGTGTTAACTACTAAAATAGTTTTTCTTTTAAGGTTAGCAAAATAAAATCTTCCTGTATATTTATTCATTTATTATTTAATGTTTTGGGGCTGAATCTCCATTATCAAAACTTACTGAATTCACAATAAAAGTATATCACAATAATATTATATTGTATCTCTTTTTGGTATTATACAACATAAAAATGATAAAAGTAACTTCTGAAGACATTTATTATTATTGTGTCCTTAGCTATAATAAATTTTAGTTGTAAATTATCTTAAACATATACCAGTTATGTAAATATTAAACCAGTATCTTTTTTATAAAAAATTCATGTTTATTACATAAAAAAAAGGTAAAAAAAATATTTTATTTTAAATATTGTCCTTTGCCAGCTATACATTTTCCTCATCCCTCTGCCAATTTATGAATGTCCATACCAGAAATACTTGCTCTTTTTTAGGGACGAATCATCAAGTAATTTTTGTACATATTTTCATAAAAAGTGAAGCGCTGCTGAGCAAATAGTTACTCCATCGATTCAAGTAAATAATAGTTGGGTGGAGCCAAGTCTGATGAGTAAGCTGCATGTGCTAATATTTCCCAATCGAACGTCTTAATTATTTCCTTCACTGATTTTGCTCTGTGTTATGGTTCGTTGTCATGGAACAAAATCACTTTGTGTTTTTTTTTTTTTGATATTCTGGTAATTTTTACATTTGTTGTCTATAGTGTTCATTATTAACGATTTCGCCAGGTTGTAACTGTTCATCACTATCTACAATTTTTTCCAGTGGTCTCTTATTTCTCATGTCAAAAACAACATTTTTGAATATTTTAAACTACTTAAAACAGTGTGGTTTATCAATTGTATGCTCACTATAGGTTTCATGACAGAAAACTAATGCTGTTCGTAAATGGTAGTTGGTAGAAACTTAACTACATTTGTAATACCATTAAAACAATGCTATTATTTGAAACTTGTATTTAGTCCGTGGTACAGATCCCCCTTTATCAAGCAACTTCGTGAATGGCTTCATCTTGCCGTAACCTACAAATTTGTTATCTATCAAAATTCTCAGAAATAAGGCTTTTTCTAATTAAATTAATTAGTTTAATTAGGTACTAAATACTCATAAATACCTATTTACTTTTCACTTGAGATTATAATTGATCACGAAATCAAGAAAAAGAAAAAAAAAAAGGTTGCTTACAAAAACATTAGGCGATTTTGCCTATAATAGAACCTTGTTACTTTGACGTGTTGATGTGGAGGTCATGCCAAATGGCCCAATATTTTTGTAGGCCACCTTTATTCTTGATTTTGTGATCAAATCATCTTATTATACAAGTGAGAAGCTAACGGGCCTTCATGAGTTTTTAGTAGCTCATTCAATTAACATGTTAAGCGATCTCCAGATTGAAAATGCTCCGATTCCGAGAATTTTTGTAAATAAAAAAGTTGTATGTTACGATGAGAAGCTATTCACGAATTTTTAGGCAGATGTTAATAATTTGATAAAAAGGGTTCTATACCACGGACTTTTGCTGCGAGTTTGAAAATGTTTGTCAGCCGTCGAAGAAACTAAATGGTGCAAACAAAGATGTTTAACTGTCACTACATTACTATTGGAACCATCTATGGACGAATTCTGGTATCATACTTACACATCTGGTATCAATACACCAGTGATTTAAGATTAATTTTTACTTATTAACTCTCCCACTTTCCGATGAAGTTTCCGTTTTGACTAGGACAGCAAAGCATAGTTATTCCGTAATTTTTTTCATTTTTTTTTTTTTTCTTTTGATACAGTTTACTTATCATAAATGTATATAAAAATAATTGGTCATTAAGGAATTTGTTATTAAATATATCAAGATAATTTTTTTATGATTATAGATATTCCTGTCTGGTCAAAGCTGGAGACTGGAAGGATACCTCAGCCTCCCGAACTGTTTCAGATAATAGAGAATCATATGAGGCTAGACGATTCGATTGATCTAAAGCAGAATGGTTTTCCAAAATAACAACCTATAAGCTACTTCCTCAACGGATGATATTAAATGTGAAATGTATAAATCCATTCCAGTTGTCTCACAGATATTTAAAAAAATATATACGACACCCAGATGCTAAATTCCCAGGTGTTTGATGTTAAATATATAAATATGCTTTTGGTACAAAGTGAATCCATATGTAGGGAGTATGACATCAAAGCTGGAACACTTATTTAGTGATCATTCCAATTGTCGATCTTAAGATGGCTACAGTTTTTAGAGGTGTTCTGTTTTTGTGTTTTGTTTTTTTTATTCATTCCAGTGAACAGTTCATGATGGTTGTAATGTTAGCTTTAATTAAAAATAGTCAACTGTGTCGTAGTACTTCTTAGAAAAGTGTTTGATTTTGCCCCTGATTTTACAAAGTGGTTTTATTTATACACTACATTATAACATTCTGTTTTAATGTTAGTTTTAATCATAAATAATCAGGTATGTTTTATTGAATATGCCTTTTTCTGAAGTATATTCAATTTTATTATTGGTTATAAATATTTGGTTATTTCTTTTCTGAAAGAAATATCCTGAGACCATATATATATATTTTTCGCTGTTTCCAGATTTAATTTTTCCGAGCATTACACATTAACTGTTATAATGTTCTGAATTATCATTATTTAAGTCTTTGATTTAATGTCTGTAAGATTAGCCCATAATATATTGTACAATTAAAGTATTATTTATATACATCAATGAAACTTTTTATCCTTTGAACTTTTTATTTTTCCTATCTTCAGTTTATCCTGCCATAGCTAGACAATGTAGAAACTAGTTTTAATGATTGAGGGTGGTAAGGTTAAACAATGTAACCCTTAAAACAAAATTGTGTTTTTATATAGAAGCCTAAAAGATCATGGTTACAACATTGTAACGTCAGTTAATGTATCCCAGTAGTTACAGTATTGCTTCAACATACTAATCAGTGATCTTTCAGAGTTTGATAATGCAAGAATCCAATGGGTATTAATTATGAAATGTCATTTGTGCATGATGCGTAAATTCATTTATATAAAGTGCTACTTCCTGTTAGGTGATTTTAATGAAAAAGTTGCTTTACACAGCCTTAAATACATATTTTAAGTTTCGTGTGACTTTTCATTTTTGAGCTAGACTGTTCACAGACACACTTTGTGTGGGACTTGGTTGTTTTGACTCAGGGGACCTCAAGACATCTATTTACGTTGAAAACTCAGATTCGAAAATTTTCACGACCACAGTACTTTCCCTTACTATATATTGGATATATAGGGTAAGTGAAAGTAAAAAAAAAATGTATTGATAATGGCTAATTAAAGTAAAAGTAAAATTTTTATTTTTATTTAGAATCAACCTATTTTAAAGGCAATAAATAAATTTAATGATGAAAATAATGGACAAATACTAATTAGTATTTAATTAGATTGGTCAAAATCTAATAAGATAGGAAAATAAGTTGCTAAAACCGTTCATTGAGTTTACTGCATAGCTGTTGCAAGGGGTGCGATGGCCGGTGTTTCATTGAAACAGCTATCAAAACAGTTTTATGCACAGTAGAGCTAGCTTTTTATTTTAATACAGCTATTGTGTCTGTATCTGTTTCAAGAAGCTGTTTTTTAATCAAACAGATTCAGTGTTTCCTTCTTTTCCCAAAATGTTATCAATATCGTAATCTCAACCTATTGATCTGTACTGTGAGATATGTTGTGTAAGTTCCTAAACTCAGTGCTGAGTTCATCAATGGCTTCATTGTGCTCAGAGAAATCGAGATGCCATTGATGTGTTCAGCGCTGATTTTAGAACTTTCCATTTTCACCAATTTGTATCTGTTTAATCTCGAGTGAAATAGTTTAAATTAAACAGATTGCTACTTAATCCCCACCAATACTTCGGAGTCAGTTACTCCTTGTCCTTCGATTTGACAAGTTCAGTTAGTTTGTGCCTGGATTTTGTCCAGACAAGATCACTCCATTGGTTCCCGACTGTTGATTAGCACAGTCCACCTTACAGTTACTTGTTTGAGAAGAAATACCAGTTCCATATTTATGCAGTATAATTGATTTATTTCAACCAACAGCAAACATAATCAACATTGAAATAATCAAAAACTATTCACCTTTTGGCATATTGCAGTTATTAATTATAATGATTTTTCAATTGTCTAATATAGCTCTGCTAAAGACTGTAAGAGTAAAAAATATCAATAAAATATTTCTAATTTCTTATCAATTTCGATGCCTTTTTTTTTATTTTTTTTTATAAGGAAATTAAGTAACCTTTCAAATAATCTTGTGTGTAATGAATCATAAATTGTGTGCTATTGAGTTATAAATATTTAAAGATTCTTTTCCTCCATAACCGTTTTCCTGAAATTTCAGAAAAATACAACTATTTTTCTCTCCTGGGGGAGAAGATAATCTTCAAAATAATGTCTCAATCATTAAGTTTAGTGAGGAAATAACAAAGATGTGGCAAATAAATACGAATGAGAGATAATATATAAAGATAATTATGAACCTATTCCCTGGTAGTAAACGTAAAAGGATAACAAATATAGAAAAATGTAAACAAAAAAATTTGAATTTATATTTTGAAAATTAAAAAAATGTATATATAAATTAAAATAATCCTACAAATAGCTGATTGTCTTGAATTATATTGAAAGAAAATATTTACAAATTAAATTACGTGATTTGTGTATTTTTTAAATTACTGACTGATTCATGAACAAAATTGGTGTAGATAAACAGTTGTAACTAGTGAATAGAAGCATATAATTCTTTTTTTAAATACATTTTTTTTTTAATAACGTATATTTTTATTCAGTTTATAAATAATTGTTTCACATCAACAAAAATGTAACTAATATGAGCTATAATTTATAGTATACAAATCAATGGCACATAAGTTTAATATTATCACATTTATTTCTAGATATATTTAATATTTAAAAAAACAAATTTATTATTTACAGACAGCCAAACAAACCTATTAAAAGCAGTTGGTGACATGAGCGAATGAAGATGTTATTTTACAAATTTAAGTATAAGTAAACCTTAAGTATTAATTAATCAAATTTTACTACATCAATCAAAATAGTTTAAACTAATAATAAAATGTCTCTTCTGTAAACTTCCAAACATTTATTAAATGCATTTTATAAAAAGCATTATGGTAACTTTCTATTTCCAAAATTTTCCAGATTATTGAATAAAACATTTGGTTAAATTTTATAGAAGTAATTTTCGTAACATAAACATAAAACTATAGGTATATACAAATTCTTTAGGAAACTCGATAGTAGGTCGTAGAAAAGTAGAAAAAATTGCTTCATATATTTACATATGCTAAGGCGACCTACGAATAGGTCTACTTCTGATACAAACAACGCATCTACTGATTCTGGTCTCAAGCATTCCACGCTTGAGAGTTTGTTGATTAGGTCTCCTGAACATGTTCCTTTGATCAACGGTAGCCAGCCAATAAGAGAAGGCAGACGGAAAATAGTTGCACTTTCCATCACCATGACACTCGATGAATGGTGATGAACGGAACTCCCTCAAGCATGACCCAGGGCTTACTAGCGACTGACCTCCTCCTTCAGCTCCAGCATCAGTATGCTGAAGAAAAGATGAATAAAATGTAAACATATTCATTAACTATTGCACTCAAGTTATTAATTCATGTATAGTATATATATATGTATATAGTTAGAAAGAAGAGGCTTTTAGTAAAAATATTGTATATTTATAACCATGGGTCGACCCAAATCTGATGTAACAAGAGTAAATAATTACCTGCCACAGCCAGACTCCTGTGGCTAATTTTGATTTTGTCGTTTTAGACCTGCAATTTTGTTAACTAATAAAATTGAAAAAACTTTTAAAAAGTATGATATAAATGAAATCAGATTTGGGAAAAAACCTATGAATAAATTATATAGTAGAACTAAGGATATTATTCCAAAAGAAAAATTAACTAATATTATTTATATAATACAATGCGAGGATTGTGAAAATAAAGCATATTACGGACAAACCTCACAATGGTTTGAACATAGGATACAGCAACATAAACAAAATTGCAGGTCGAAAAAAAAAAAAAAAATTAAAATTAGCCACAGGATTATTGCAGCATACCACAAAAAATGGACATAAATTTGATTTCAGTAATACTTCTGTGTTGCATAGAGAACAGAATATTGGGAAAGGTAGAAAAATTGAATCCATTTTTATTAATAAAAACCTCAAACATTCGGTGAATCAACAGACAGATGTAGATAACTTATATACTTCTTGCGCTAGCTCAATAGATAAAATTAAAATATAATATACTGATATAAAACAGCTGATCCCTAACCCCTCCACCCCACTCATTTTTTAAATAAATCCAGTCCTGTATGAATGCCCTAGTGAGGAGCAACAATTTTCTTGATATCGTCTGCGAAAGAGGTATATAAATCGAAAATTAATAATATTCTTTTTAAAAGTAATATTAACAATCTATTTTAATTTATTATTTATGTATACATTTTTTTAGAAATGAAAAAACGACATTCTTTGAAATAAAAGAATGACTAAAGGACGAATCATATTGCAATGATAGATTTTAAAAATTTTATGGCGCGGTGCATGGTAGGTGGATGATATAAATTTATTCAAAATTAAAAATAAATTTTTGACTATTTGTGTTACTGATGGTTGTTAAATAATATGTATCTGATAAGGATGTATTTGAATTGTAAAAACTAAATTAAAATTAGTTTTGCAGGATCTTGAAAATGGCTTCTGAAGCCGAAACGTTGAATAAAGAATACAGGAGATAAAAAAAACTGTGTATATTTGGTGACCTTTGACCTAAAATATATATAAAAAAATTATGAGAAAATGGCACCAAACCTGAAGGATGTGACTAGAAAAAAAAAAAATTTATTATTTTTTTTGTCACTGTTTTCTGATTTTGATTGAATTTATAAGTTATTATATATATCAATTGATTTTTTTTTTGTGTGTAAAATAAGAAAAACATATTGTGTACTGTATTAAATGAATTCTTATATATAATCTATATATATAAAAATGAATGTATGTCTGTCTGTCCTTAGTGCATTACTAAACCATTCAACCGATCGCCATGAAACTTTGGGAAGTTGTTCCGTCCACTCCTGTGAAGGTTTCTGACATAGTACTTCTGTCTTACGATAATTTTATACTTTGTACTCTCCCAGGAGGTATCGAGGATTAGGATTAATCCGCTGCCAATGGGAGGCTCCTCTACAACATTGGTCCATTACTCAGCGACTGTCCAATGTGCCCGATGCCCTTTTTCAGTCGATCTTTGATTATTCGGCTGAGGTTGATGAATGTGCCGAGAGATTGGGGGTTGATCGGGGTATTCGGAATATGAGAGCTCTACGGCAGTCGCTTCGAGAAAATTCGTTTGAGGAATGGACCAATTGCAGGTGGCAGGGCATTGGAGTTCGCCATTTTAAAGAGACCCCGAAAGCCAATAAATACATGTATGATAAGCAAATACTTTCTGGGTCTGAATGGTCAAATGCCCTGAAACTAAATATTAATTATGCTCCCCTGCGTGGAGTCCCAGGTGTCAGCGGACAGGTAAGAGAAGTTGGGTCCCTCTGTCGCAAATGCGACAGAGAGCCAGAAACACCAGCACATGTGCTTGGAAAATGCCCCAACAACTCCCTCCTTATAACACGACGTCACCACAGAGTCAAGCATGAACTGATGAGGCTCCTTGAAGAGAGAGAATACGCCTGTTTCGAGGAAGTATATTGTATAGATACGGATGGATCCACCCGATATGCCGACATTGTAGCATTCCCTAAGACGGGAAAGTCGGCGATGATTTTGGATCCGACCGTGAGATATGGGACCAACGACCTCGATCAGGCAGAAAAAGTGGAAAGGGAGAAAAAACAGATATATGAAAAATGCATCCCTTTCCTTAGTGAAAAGTTCCGCGAGAGTTTCGGGCCGAGAGAGTTCCACGTGAGAGGCCTTTGGTTCGGAGCTCGCGGAACGATACCAGACTCAACAAGGAGCTTCATGGAGGGCCTTGGTGTCGACATGGACGTGGCAAGGTTGGCAGAGAACATAATCCTCGACTCCCTGGGAATTATCCATCACCATGTGCATGGGAGCGGATAGGGGGAGGGTTTGCTCGCGGGGGGGAGTGTGTTACAGCATTTTTTATATTATTATTTATTGAACACGTCCACTGTACTTTATGAATTTTTTATGTATTAGGTTAGAAAGAGAGAGGAGAGAATGTGAGTGGGAACATGTATAGGGGGAGAGAAGGAAGAGAAAGGGTACAGAATGATAATAAATGAATGAAAGAAATAGTAAAAATTATAAAAAAAAAAAAGGAAAAAAAAAAATATATATATATATATATACGTATAAAATATTGTATACTATGCTCATACATATTGTTAATCCTATAATTGTATAATAATTTTAAATAATGTCTGTAGTGATTAATAAGTATGCTGTGTTGTTAGCAACCCAATGTAATTGGGCAGCACCATTTTATTTTATTTTATGATAATAAAGTGATTCTCTCTGTAAAAAAAATAAAAATGTAAATGTTTTTCTGTTCAAAGCCGCAAAAAATGTGTCGCTATAAACTGTAGTGCCAAAACGGCTTTATCGATTTTAATGAAACTTGGCTAAAGTCTTCCCCTTGAAACCCTTTTAATTTATGTGTATAACATGACTTTCCCGAAAACAAGCTGAAAAATGTTACGATGAATTCAATATTTTATTTGACGATAGCTAAAAAAGTAAAAAGAAAAAATCATCGAAATCGGACGGTTCGTTGCAGAGTTATTGAGTTTTAAATATTTACTGCTTTCTCTTCAGAAAAGGCCGCTTCCTTTTGCTTCCTCACTACCGAACGTCGGCAAGCATTTTTTTATTTTTTTTTTAATGATCAATCGAAAATTTTATAATTACTACAGTAATTGAAATTATCATTTGAAGAATTTATATGATTCTCCTTATGTAGGTCAATACTTTTATACGTTTTTTAAATTAATTTTTTAATTAAGTTCAACTCAGACTGTTTCTGATGATTATGAATGACGGCGTATTTACTCAGATGATTATGAATGTTCAGTTTGAATCATGAGAAGAAAACGAATTAGAATTAGTTTCAATTGAAGCCATTTTGCAGACAAATTTGTTTCCCAACTTTTTAAAAATGACAAATGTCCTTTGCTACTAATCTACTCATATGTGCTTTCTATTTTGTTTCTTTTTCATTTTGCCAGGCTAAGCCACAGCAGCGCGTGGCCGGGTAAAGCTACTATATTATAAAAATCCATAGATATTTCCAGTAAAGTGGGCCACGTAAATTTTTGTCATGAAAAAACTATTCAGATTTGTTTTTAGGTTTCATTAAAACTAAAAATTTACTTGGCCTACGTTACTGGAAGTGTCTATGAGCTTTTGTAATTTATTATATATAAGAATTCATTTAATACTGTAAGCAATATGTTTTTCTTATTTTACATAAAAAAACAAACAAATCGATTGATATATAATAACTTATAAATTCATTCAGAGCAAAGTCAGAAAACAGAAACATGAAAAAATAATAAAATTTTATAAAATATTTTTTTCTCGGCTCCTAAGGCACATTGACAAGAAGAACCCTCGGACATGGGTGTAATATTTTTCAACCTAGTATCACCAAAAAAAGTTTCATTGAAATCGATGACCCCATGTCCGTAACCTCCTCTTGTCAGTCGTTTTAATCTAGGAGTAAACATGTTTTGACATTATTTAAAATTTTTACAATATAAAAATACATTTTTGCTTCCTCACTACCGAAGGTAGGGAAGCATTGTGTTCGTGCGAGAGATTAAAAAAAAATTTTGCTCAGAATCGAAAATTTTCACTCGCGTTTTACGTTTCAGACATCAAGGATCAAATTTGGTTCGGTGTCTGTCTGTCCGTCTGTCTGTCTGTCTGTCTGTAGTCAAATCGATGTGACGGGCATATCACCTAGTACCGTTCATCCTATCTTCATGAAATTTTCAGGGATTATGCTGATTGGTGCCTAGATGGTCCCATATCAATTTTATCAAATTCCATCCGGCACTTCCGCTTACGCACGCGCAAACGTATATTTTTAGATATGCCAATATTTCAGAAAGGGCTCGTTCGATTTGGCTCAAATTTAGATAAGAGGTAGACTTTGGTGAAAAAATAACGTAGCGTCAATTTTATTGAATTCTGTCCACCACTTTCTCTAATATATGCACTACTAGTCCGCTGTCCGCCGTCCGCACATTTTTTCCGAAACTACTGGACCGATTTTTTTCGAATTTGGACACAAAATCAGAGGTCATCAGAGGATGATCCTCCTTCAACGACATTACTGTTCGCTTTCTTGTTTCAAAATGGCGGCCGAAAAAACTGCGTTGCTATAGACTGTAGCGCCTAAACGAATGTACCGATTTTAATGAAACTTTGCTAAACTAATTTTCTCTACGCCCTTTAAATTTATCTATATAACATACTTCAATGAAAAGAAGCTCAAAAAATAGTTACGAGGGATGGTAAAATTAAATTCCGAATAACTCAAGAAGTATACACATTTTTGTGAATATTGTATATGGTTTTTTAAAAGTTTGCGGAATTTCCTAAAAAACAAAAAAATATTCGTTAAAATCGGACTATTAGGAGCAAAGATATGGTCTCTAGTTTCTTTTTAGATATGCTATTGCAAAAGGTTTATCTTTCGTTTTGATTTTTTAATGTGTGACTGAAGTAATGCTATTTTTTAGCGTATTGCTAATGATTAAAAAAAAGTTTAGTCCAATAATTGGAATCACCTTTTATTTATTTTTCTTCATAACTAGGAATTTACTGTTACTTTATATGTATCATTGTTTGGAAATAATATACCACAGTGAAATAATTTGCAGTGGATTTTTTTTCAAATTAATTATCTATATATATAAAATCTTTCGGGCTGGAGCCCCTCTCCCAAAATTAAATCTGGATCCAGTAGTGTATATCACTATTATCAGAGCAAAAGTTCGAATGTAAAAATTTTCAACTTTAATTCTATGTGTATTAATGGTGGCATTTTGTAGGCTGCAACTAATATAAGTAGTCTGCTAATATGGAAAATAGCAGGTGACAATAATATATGAAATTATTCTAATAAAGCATAAAGAAATAATGAGTTTTTATACACTCTTGCAAAACAATAAATACATTTTTACGTAAGACCTTTTGCACTAACAGTATTGAAGTTCATGTTCAGTATGCATTTTGTTTTTGTTTCTTTTATTAAGCATAATCAAGTATGGAATCTTTAAATACGACATTCTTTTGTTGAATGTTGAAGGGTAACTGTAATTGGCTATTCCGATTCTGCTTCTCTCAGAAATTTTATTCTCATACGAAAAATTGTATACTTTGTAATATCAACGGAAATGGTGAGGAAGCTATACTGACCTTACTTGGCAGATGTTTTTAGTCTGTAAAGTTGCTCAATTTTCACAGTCACATTGCATCTCTATTAATATAACCCAGAAAAAAAGTTAACAAACAAAAACCAAGATCAATTCTTTACTCTTCCCCATAAAATAATAAGTGGATACATTTAAATCATTTAATTGTGAATTTTTGGACAAAGTGACCAACCTATTCTAAACAGAATGAGAAATTAAGATTCGTTCCGTGGATCCGTCATGAAATAAATTTCAACCTGCCCAGGATTGAACTGACCACAAGACTCGAGGTTGCTAAGGTGATACCTTAACACTCTGAGCCATCATGATCTCACACTTAATTTACTCTAGTAGTTTATTAAGATTATTTATTCTTAATTAATGCACAAAACATTACCATAAGAAAACTGTAGCCAACCCAGAGCTCTTCCCATTGCCTGGGGCAAGCTGGAACAGACATGGACTGGCTGTGCATGGCTATCACTCGTGTCGCAGACTCACAAACGGAACATCTAGGCACAGGAAAATTTAGATTAGTAAAACAGCTATATAATAGAATCATTAACATTGTACTTGCTAATACTTCTGTTAATCCATTAATTAATCTATAAAATTATGTTTATATATTTATTTCCTTCCTCTCTTGCCTCTCTGTATAACTATATATAATAGGCAACACAGATTTTTGGTAGGAGAATTCCACTATTTCTACAACTTATTCTCTAGTTCTATCCTCTAATTCACTGTAGGTGGTCGAAATAATCAACCCCCACTAACTCTTTCCACCAGCACACAAAGGCTAGATAATACAGGTAGTTATCCTTGTTTACTAACTGAGGGAAATTGTCCTCCCTGATGGTGAAGAGTCCAGTTTCCCTCAGAAGATAGGCCCTTGTTGATTCTATAGCAGTAGTAAAAATGAAAATAGTTACTTTTTTAGTTCAAACTTTTAGTGCTGCTTTTGAATTTGAAATATTTTAAAACTGTTGCGAGCATTTGGAAAACTGAAAGAAAATCCATAAGATTGTGTTTATATCAATTGAACTTTGAAAATAAAGCAACAAACATTGAACTAACACTTTATTAAGGGGTATTCATGAACCAGTACTGTGGTAAACCTACTGGATGTGATAGTAGCAATATAATTCCAGGTGTCCGACTTTTGGTAGAACAGTCCTACAATTGAATCTATGAGTGCAGAAATCACTTCAGTCAAAAGAATGCGAAAAATCGTTTTCGATGAAAAGAAGCTTAGAACAGCAAGATGCATGCTGATTGCAAGAACCATGTTAGTCTGTTGAATAGTTCCGTAATTACATGACATCTTTTTCGATCGTTGAGCGCAGAAATAACATGAGTCAGTGACTGACGTGGTTTCCGCACCCACAGCTGGATCGCATGACAGATACCATTTATATTTATGGTACTTACGAATATAAATATAAATGAAAACTTCAAAGTTTTTTATGATGAACTATTCACCTGGCCAATAACAGCATGTGACAGTGATACAATCGTTGAGAATGATCTTTAAGAGCATTTAACTTTGTTATATTCCTGTTTTATGATAACTTTGTTATACTGGAACTTCATTTTTGGTATAATATGAAAAATATAAATTTTTAAAATTGTAAAATTAATATATATTGTTGTAAAATAAATTGTCAATTAAAAAATATAAACTTTAAATGAATGGATACCTTTTTCCAAGTTCTCAGCTGTCTGTAAAAAACCGCTAAGTGCAGAAACAGCATAGGTCTGAATCAAATTTTAAATTTTCCTGAATCTAATTTATGTCGAAATTAGATAATTTTTGCACGACAGCAACATAAATGCATGTTATGACAGAGGGGGTGGGAGTTCAAATAATTGAAAATTTGGAAGAGTTGTGACATTTTTTCTCTCTTCTGAAAAATTTGAAATTTGTGACTGAAGTGGTATCAGCACTCACTGATTCAATTGGTGTAGTGTTCTTCCTCCTACTTTAGTTACGACGAGTCTTACTTTTTTTAGCAGTGTGTTTTATATTTTAAGCTAGCCCTAATTTCAAATTATGTGGTTCTGATAATTAAGTTTCTGACAGAAAAAATATCTGTGACAGTAATTGAGACACTAAAATACTTATTAATTCTCAAATGTTGGTAAAACTTATAAATATCAACTCTTATCTTCTCATAATTTCAAAAGTTATATGTGGTTATGGCTTATAATCTATAAATAATTCTGAACCCAAATAATTGAAAAAATCTTTTGTCTCAGTGGTTTCATTGATACAGACTACTAGAACTTAACTGAATCCCTGAGGACTTGAGGCAAACTAACTGCTATGTATGGCACTGTTCCTCACGATCATCTCCCTTTGCTTCAAAATTTCTTAATCGATCAAGAATTGATTCGAACTTCAATGTAATTTTTTAAAGTTAAAAGTTGTTTTTAAAAAATAACTTTCACTATTTTTATAAGCTCTAATGTGTAAAAAGATAATCACTAATTTATTTTTTTTTTAAATTAGCATATTATGATTGTTATACTAAAGTGAATAATCAATTTTCAATAAATACCAGCAAAACACTGCGATATACAGAAATTTTAAATAAAAATTCAAGGTTCCTAAACATTTAGATAATATAATATTATGTTTTTCAGTTTATCCGCCAAATATATTGTTTTTCAATTTATTCCTGTTTGGGTCATCAAATTTTATATTTTATCAGATGATTTTTATTACATACAAAAACAGATAAATTGAACAATTTATTGATTATTGTTATTAATATTGGGTTGTCCAGAAAATAATGTAGGATTTTCTTTAAAATATCCCTTTATATAAAAAATTGAATTATTCCTTTGTATGAATGTCAAAACTCATTAATCCTCTTCCAAATGATAATGCTCATTTACCTCTGTAGCACTTTGCTGCTTAGAAATAATTCAGTCTTTACTAAGATGTCAACGCGTGATTTTTGTATAATTTTGTTTTACGAGTTTAAGTTTAAACTCCTAAAGGCCGGTATGAGTGCCCAGATGGCCAGAACATCAATCAAGTCTGGGGCAAGAGTTGTATTAATTAGTGCACTGTTCAATTGAGGTTTAAAAAATTTTGGGAGGGAGATTTCAGCCTTGAAGACAACCAAGGTCGTGGAAAGATGCCCTCTCTTGATGATGATGTTCTGCAGGCTTTGGTGCAAGAAAAACCCAGAACAACTGTTCCAGGACTTGCAGGGAAACTTAACTTTAGCAAATCGACCATCTCAAGGTGATTGGAAAGGTAAAAAAGCTTGTAAGTTGGGTTCCACATACATTAAATTACTGCAAAAAAACAAAAAAAAAAACAACCCTTTTCTGTCCGAAATTGTTACTTGTGATGAAAAGTGGATACTTTACAATAACAGTAGATGTTCTGGACACTGGCTCGATAAAGAAGAAGCAGCAGAACATTTTTGAAAGCCCCAACTCATTAAAAAAAAAAATGATAGTTTCTATTTGGCGGGCTTCATTTGGCTCGATACACTATAGTTTCTTAAATCCTGGAGAAACCAGCAACGCTGAATCGTATTGTAACCAAATTAATGCAATGCACCAGAAATTTGGGAATCGGAAGGGGCCCATTTTGTTGCAAGACAATGCTGTTGTTGGAGCTTGGATATGAAACTACCACATCCACCCTACTCTCCGGACCTCTTACCTAAGGATTATCATTTTTTTAGACACCTGGACCACTAGTGACAAAAAATATAATGGACAAAGAGAATTAGAAAATGCGTTTTTTAGAGTTTATCAATTCTAAAGATGGGAAATTCTATTTCGAGGGAATGGAAAAGTTGCCAACCATTGAGAGAAATGTATTGATAGTAGTGGAGACTATTTTGATTAAATAAAACAGTTGTAAATCTTTCTTGTTAAACCAAAATCCTGCATTATTTTCCAGGCAATCCAATAATTTACCATTTAAATTATTTTAAAATATTGAAGAGAAGGATAGTTGGGGTGATTAGTCAAAAATAAAATGGCAAAAACAAATAATAATATTTATTTTAACATTTGGCGACGTTTTGACCTGAAGTTCAGGCCTTCATCGGGCTGATCGCTATTGATCGAAGAGATGACTGTTGATAGAATGATGATTATATTTTAAAATATAATCCGAATCAGAGACTTTGTATACAAAAATACAATTGATATAACAATGGAACCTTAACACTTGATAAGTCACTGTTCACAACTAACAATCCCACTGATACGCACACTTACTCCTATTTATAGCAAATTTTAGACAGTCTCTCCAACAACTACTATCCAACTAATTGAACTGTAAGCCTGGATGAGTCCCTTGAAACTCATTGGTTAAAACAAGTAGACTATCCAAAACTGTTAACGCCACAGCGTTCATTTATTTTATTTTTACAGTTAAAAACGGCACAGCGTTAATTCAATTTATTTTACACTTAACTAGTTTGATTAATTGTTGATTTGTTTTATTTTAGCAAAGTGAAATCAATTAATAATATGTATAGTTATGTATAAGATATGTGTATATTAAGTATTATAGGCCCATAGCTTATATGGTTTATATTAAATAGATCAATAGATTATACTTGGATTACTTTGTTATGGATTGTAGCACTAGCTATAAACAAGTGCTAGGTTCAAGTGATAAGGCGGTAGAATTGACAATAGACAGTCTGACTCTGCCCGCCACTGAGCTGAGTACTGGCAACTTCTACACTGCCCACTCTAGTTCTACTGTGAAGAGACGTACTTCTTTCATCGTGCTCGCCGCTGCCAATTTGCAGTTCGTTTTGAGCACGCTCATTGAAGAGTTACAATTGGTTTCTGCATAGAGACAGAGGTTTACGAACGTCCTGCTCATCCACGTAACGTTGTACAATCTAATTATTTGTTATATATATAAATTTCATATTGGGACTCTAGAGAAGTTGTTTTTTTAAATTTTATTTTTATTGTAATTTGGGTCATAGAAATAGTTTTTATTTATGATCAAGCATGAAAATATTTCATTAATATCGTCACAATTGTTTGTTCAGCTGGTCTTTATTTTATGCTAGAAGTTTGTTCTTTTTTTTTACCTATCTAACAAGTGTAAAATTGATTCATTTTGTTTTTATTTTTTCAATATTAGATTTCGTAAATGTTCCAAAATAAATGTTTGAAGAAACAGTCCACCTTATTTCTTTTTCTTTTTTTTCTTTTATTAAATCGCAATTAAATAGTTAGGCTTCATTTGAAGTTTGACATAAACTAAGAGTGAGCTAACACAAACTATTTAGAATGGATCTATACTTCAGTGCTATCTAGATCTTTTGAATAACAATTTTTCATAAAACATGTAAAATAATTACAAAATCTAGGATTTGCAATAAATGGAAGTTGACCTGTAGTTTATAATATGTGAAAGCAAAAAAATAAAACAGGACAATTAAAAAAAATATACATAAGAATATTTTCTCACCTTGAAATGTATTTCTCTATATTCTGAGCTTTGATTGGCGCCATCGTGATAGGCATTTCCTCTGTTGTGCTGAGCCAGTAGCTGTAATCGCTCCTGGAAGCGTAATTACAAACATTGTTCATCGAACAGAACAGGAATGGCATTGTGCTGAAATACCTCAGACAACTTCCCGGAGCACCTGTAACAAAAAGTTGATTTTTACTTTTAGTTGTTTCATATTTCACTAATTGGCCTGAGCGAATAATTCGCATTGTATATTGGTCAGTGAACAAAGGATAATATAATATAGAAATAAGTTCGAGGACATTAGATATGAGATAGATTAAATTATTATCTTTTTCTCGGTGGAATAATGTTATTGCATTCATGATAATAAACAAGAATGTGTATTCGTATAAAGATTAGTATTTGAGGTTTTTTAAAGTTGCGAAATACAAATCTGTAGGAGATCTTCAAAGCGAAGGCTATCGGAGATATGGTATACTGACACAAAAACACTTTTGGGAAATAATATATAAAGATTATAAGAACAAGGGATTCTCAATCTTTCAAATTTTATTCTTTCAGGTTTTTATTTATTATAAGCTGATTTTTAGCAGAGAGAGAGAGATACTTTATTGAAAGTACTGTTGCCCTACTACAAAGGGTTGCTTTATACACAGCATACTGATCAATCCATATGGACATAGCTACTACATTACATTATTCCAACATTATAGAAACCTATCACTTTTTTTTTCTCTCCCTTCTCATTATACTAGTCATATACACTAATATACCAAATTAAACTATTATCCTTACTACATTATCCTAAAAAAAAAGTATTAAGTCCTAAAGACCGAATCGCACAAAACACTGAAATCAATTGGTCTGGTATACATAATACATAATTATCCTTCACACCTTTAATCTTTCAAGTTCCCCTACATTACTTCATTATTTGTATGTGCCAGTCAATTAGCCAGTTTAAGAGAAATTTAAACAAATATATTTAATTATTTGTCGGTTAATTATTGAGACCTTTTTATATTTATTTTGTGAATTATCTTTAAATTTTCTATTATTTATGTTAGCCCTGATTTTTTTTTATTAATTTCTCTTTCTTTAAGATTAAGGTAAATTGTGATTTATTGTTGCATTAGATTATGTACTGTTGTTGTTAGTTGATTGTAATATGGATTTTAATTTTCAATGTTCCATTTTTTTTTTTTTTTTTTTTTTTTGGCACAATATTTTAATTCAGAAGCTGAACATAAGGTTTGTTAGGATTTCAATGTATAGATATTATAAATTAAACAAAATAGATGATTATTGCATGTTTTAGGTATAAATTAGACAATTTTAAATATTTGGGTTTTTACTGGACGATTTTGCAGCAGTTTTTCAGATTTTTACTGCACGAAGATCCGGTCTCTAGTTATAACAAATGGTTTAAATGTCTGACAACATAAAATAAAGGTAAAATAGAAGATATTTTACTATAAACGTTTTGAAGATGGGAAAACGTTAAGTTATAATGAAAAAAAAGAAGTATTTATTTAATGAATACTTGATGGTTGATTGTTAATGGCAATATTTTTCTGTTCATAATTGATATCTAAATACGGCTGCATTATATTATAAAAATGATGATACTTTTATTTAATACAGACGTTTGACAAAACAATTGAATCTTAATACTTGATAAGGCAGTGCTCATAACTAACGACCTCTTTTGGCAGTGATGTCGTACTGACCGACAAATTCTTGTACTTGAGTATTTTTAGCATCTTTTGATCAGTATATTGATATTACTACAAAATAAATAAATACTAACTAACTGAACTACCAGCCTGACAAGCTTTTTATAACCAAACAGATATTTAAGGCGAGACTTCTCTAGTATCTTATTGGTTAATAATGATAATATCCAACCATCTAGATCTTTCGGATAATGGTCACTATTTTTATACCTGTTGATATCCGGGAGTGGGGTGGCCGAGTGGGCTAATGGATGTGCAAAACTCAGCACCTGATAAACAGAATTTTACATAATAAAATAATTAAGAGTTCACCATGGTGGCAGGGGGGGGAGGGAGAGGAAGAAAGCGGAAGAGACTTTTAACTCTGGCATTAATCCTCTAATGAAAAAGTCGTTATAGATTGTAGAGTTAAAGTCTTGTTCTAGAAGCCCTTTAAATTTATGTATTGTATTTAACATACTCCCTCAAAAACAGGCTGGATAAAAGATATTATGGATTTAGATTTTTATTTGTGGATTACTCAAAACATACATAATTTTTGTTTTTTTTTACTCATAAGTATTTGAAAGCTTTCCGAACAAAATGAAAAAATATTCATCGACATTGGACGATTTGGTGCAGAGATATAGCGTTATGAACATTTAGAACTTGTTCTCGTGCAAAGACAATTTCCTTTGTTTTTGCTTTGTATTAATATCAAATAGTGAACCATTTGATGATAATTATCAGCATTTATGATTTTATATTTATTTAACATCATCAAAGTATTGTGAAATTAGATATATTAAAAAAAACATGTGCTTTCTGTTTTCTTTCTTTTCCATTTCATTAGACCGAGCCAGAGCAATGAGTGGCTGGGTAAAGCTAGTCTTAGATAATATTATATTACTTACCCAGATCTTGTCCGTGAGCTTTTGCATCTCCCATAAAATGCAGTAAAGAATAGCCAGTCCACATTTGCGTGGAACCCTGAGGACATTGAGGAATCATATCACTCTGTGAATGAATAGTGTAGAAGAATCCTCTGTGAGGAGGACCTATGGAGTTGGGGGCAGGCTGTCCTTGGTTACCAGGCAATCCTGAAAAAGAAAAACTGGACTGTAAACAGATAAAAAGATAAAATCTGATGCAGTGCTCACATTACACATTTTTCACGTAACATCCTACTTAGAAATTTAATTCCTGTATATATACGGTTATAATTCGTAAATAAGAAGATTAAAATATCATCTTTCAATATCTGTATACAGGGTGTTCCATAAGTAGAGGGAAATTTTTAAAAGAGTGATAGCAGACTTCAAGAGATACAAAAACTTTCATATAAACAATCGGCCAATTTTCAGCAAAAAAGTAGCAAAACCAAGTTTTATGGTTTTTTAAGAGAGTCATGTTTATTATTAAATCGAAAGCAATAACTAAAGAAATATTTAATTAAAGAAATTAACAATTGCTGTATTATAAACAAAATGACATTTACTTTTAGTGAACATAGAGTTCGTCACTGTTAAAACCATTTACAGAGGACTTTTGAGCGAGTAAACTAAGCTAAATTCTTAAGTGTGGGATGATCAGTCAAAATAAAAATAGTAAAAATAAGTAGTTATATTTATTTTCACATTGGCCGACATTTCGACTCGAAGTTCAGGGCTAAGAAAAGAAGAAAATAAGTATGAGAAACTATAAACATTAAATAATAATGAATTAAAATTAAGAAAGGTGAAAGGTATAGACTAAAAAATGTAGGTAGAAAAAACTTAAAGTAAAATGAAGTAGATAGAGTGAACATTAAAGTAAAATAAAGTAAAATAAAGTAGAATAATAACAATAACAGACAACTAAGAAATAAATAATAATAACAGCAACAAAGCATGGGCCAATGAAATAGACATAATCAAAATAAGGTAACAGAAAAGAAAAATGGTAATCTTAGAATAAAAAGTAAAATGCAGAATAGGAATATGAAGTTATATAAGGAAATAATAGATATAAATAGAAAATTAAGATATTGTAAAATCTATAAAAAATACTGACTACGTATAAGAGAATAAAAAGTTAAAATAATATAAAAAAGATGAATTAGTGAATGTATCAATATATACAAAATAGATATGGAGATGTGGAAAATAAAGTGACGGGAAGGAGAAAAAAAGGAGAAAACTAAGACAAGAAAGATAAACAAACCTGTTTAAGGCGAGTTAGTAAGCTAAGTTCTGTTTTAAGAAAAATCATAAATTATTCGCGATTTTTTCTTATCATTATCCAACAATACTACAGGTTCCCTACTTTTACAAAAACTTCTTCATTTAATTAGGTTGAAGTATTTCTGGATGTCACCCACGCGTTTGACAAAGATGGCATCAGGGGCTTCTCTTCAAGGTTAAGACCATACTTCCACATACCTACTACTTAATCCTTCATTCCTTTCTCTCAGACAGATTTTTCTCTGTTTGACATGGTTAAGATCTATCCCCAATTCGACCAATTTCAGTTGGTGTACCTCAGGACTCAATCCTAGCCCTATTACTGTACATCACATACACACACAACATTCCTCAAAGTATCCACACTCTTATAGCAACCTACACAGACGACACTGCTGTCATTATTAGACACGAAAATCCTACACAGGAATCACTTAACCTACAAAATCACTTACAAATCATACTCGATTGGTGGAAACTTTGGAAAACTCAAATAAATTATCAAAAGTCACAATACATCACATTTACTCTAACAACAGAAACATGCCCTCCTGTATACTTAGACAACATACCCATTCCAAAAACAGACAGAGTACAATACCTAGGCCTAACGTTCGATAGGAGAATGCCATGGGGTGCAAATGTAAAGAAAAAATGAATCACATTAAATCTAGGACTAAAATTGTTACATCCACTATTAAGACGACATTCCACATTAAAAGCAATACAGAAACTAAGTATTTACATATAAATATCTAATAAAACCTCTTTGGACTTATGGACTATAAATATACGGAATTGCAAAACCAATACACATAAAAAAACTTCAAACTTTTCAGTCTAAGATACTACGACTAATCACTCAAGTACCATGGTACGTGAACAACCACACTTTACATGTTCTGACAGTCAACGAACACATACGAACTTACTACAAACAATTTCATAATATGTTAAATGGACACTCCAACCAGCTGGTAGTAGAAATGGCCACGACTAGTATGCCCGAGAACTCCAGAAGACTTATGTGTTAGTAACTAAAAGCCATGGAAGGGGTACTGCTGGGTATTGCTTTTCTTCATGCCTATCAAGCCTTTTTATTTTATTATTATTGTTTTTATTTTTTGTTCTCACGACTATGCCAGAACATCTGCTGATTGTCGATAGTTGTAATTGACTGGTGCTGATAAATAAATGAAAGTGCAAACAAATAATAATTTTTTTTTATAAACAAAAAGTATGGTTAGGCAATTGGGTTTATTAAAATACATTCCAGATCATGGAAAATAAGAAATAAAAGACCTCAGAGTTTGAATAGGTAGCAGAAACAATACAGCAAATGAAGGACCTGATGGATTGCCAATGGAAATCTTCAAGTATGGAGGTGAGCAGCTCCGTAGGGCACTGTATGATTTTATGTCATAAATGTCGAGCAGGATAGATGAGCCAAGCCAGTGGAAAAGTGCAATGATATGTCCTTCGCACGAAAATGGGACCACCTGGAATGGACAAATTATCGTTGAGACCCCTCTCCTATCTTGCCTCTACTGGTTCTCTCTGACATTCTTTTTAAGAGACTTACTTAATTTTTTTTATTCAACTACACCTTATCTTGCCATTTCTGGCATTCGGAGGGGGGAGGAAGAGAATATTGATCTAAAGGTACAATCAAACCTATTCTAATTGAAGTGGGAAGGTCGAGATTAATTTCCAGGCCTCCCATGATAGACTTACTTCATTTGTGGAACAAGATATAGGGAGTTAACAGGCTGGCTTCCGGAGGGGTAAATCAACTGTTGACTGAGTTTTTATTTAAATTATCCTGATGCCAGATCACGAGTATAAACTGCCTACCTACATTACTCCCTGTTCATTAAGTTTAAAAGTACATCTAATAGCATCAAAGGCTCCATGTTTTACCAGAGATTATTAGAGAACAATATACCAAGAAAAATTTATAAGCGCCTTGTAAATTGACAATGAAGAAAGTCCGGATGCAGTCAGATTGTTCTGCTGATTTTTCGTTTGAAAAGGGATCAGGAACTGGAAGGCAGCTGCACTGGAGTTGAATGGTGGAGCCTCATTGAAGAGTTCAAAACACCCTGAGTTATAGTGTCATGGAGGTAGATATAAACTTGAGGATAGACATACAAAAGTGGATAATTATATGCAAATACTGCAACACAAAAGTTTTTACCTTTAATGCCAACGGTGCCATCTCTTCCAGGAATGCCTGGCTTGCCAGGTATGCCACCATCCCCTCGGTCACCAGGACGCCCTGGCCTGCCTGCTTGACCACCATCACCTGGCGGACCGGGCCTCCCTTCTGCACCTCGGATTCCTGGGACACCATCCATTCCAGGCATACCTACCAATAGAACATATGGTAATCAAATATTCTAGCAAAACAACTTTTGCAAGTAAGTAAGATCTTAAATGTTTACCTGGTTCCCCTGTTCGACCTATTTCTCCAGCATCTCCCTTTGAGCCATCATAAGGTGAATAACCTGGAGTACCTGCCGGACCCTATAAATCACCAATAATTAAAAGGCTTTAAACTTGAACTTTAATAGAAAAATATATAAACTTGGAGAACTCGTCTGCCTTTGTAGTTGAAGAATTCATGAGAGAAAAGGGAAGAGATACCCAAAATGCATTTTGAGAAAATTGATTTAAAATTTAATCAATTATAGAATAAGGTTCAAAGAACTACAATACTCCCACTAATACATTTCAATAATAATTTTCTTTTTATGTTTCAATGTTACTAAACCATCTTCAACTAATTCTAATTTAAAAACTAAAATAGCAGCCAAAAATTCTTAAAATACTACTCGGCAGCACAAGTTTAATATAACAATTAAATTAATGTTTTTATGAAGTATAGTTGTTTTAATACTTTCTCTTTATTTCATAGTTTCTTTACCAGTTATTTATTTTGGTAAACAGTATTTCTGAAACTATACATGTTAATATTTTATTAAAAAAAGATTTATTTTTATCTCCACATATATTATTAAAGTAAGGCTCGAAATCGGTTTTGTACCAAATATAAGATCCTGTCATGCTCAAATACCATAAATGGAGTACCGTTGGATTCAGAATTTCACTGGGGGTTGGCGAATCGTACTCTCCGCTTTTGTTTTTCTTTCTAAAATAAATAAAGTCGATATTCATTTTGTTAGGCTTCTATACTGGCATCATTAAATTTTGAAAGGTTAGAATATAAAGATGAGTGAAGACTATTTTTAAAAAAATCTAATAGAACAATAGGTGCCACTTATTCTTTTTCTCCACCTTCCTGGCATTTTTGCTTTATTTGCAACATAGATATCATAATGACTCTGGCTGGAACAGATTAGACTTCACCTTGCCTTATTATTAACTGCACCAGAAGCCAATTTACTAGCTCCGAGGACAAGATCTTGAAGTTTCTATCTTGTCCTTGTTTATCATGCTTTATTGTTCTTGTTACTCGATGCACATACGTTATAGAAAAATAATCTGTTCTTGTCTTCTTTTTTTTTTTCATTATTATAACTTGGTTAATTTCTGTTGGTTCATAGGAAATTAAAATAATAATAATATTCAAAATCAAATTAAAATATCCTCATACTAGCCTGAAACGACAAGAAACCGCTCGACGTTTCCGATTACTTCAGCACTTACTAGACAAACGCTCTAAACTTCCAATTAATTACAAAAGACTCATATACTTGAATATAATAAGGCCTATTTGGGCTTAAGGAGTTGAGCTATGGGGCTCCACTAAACCATCGAATTCCTCTCGTATCCAATCCTTACAATCCATAATCCTTCGTAAAATCCTCAATGCTCCCTACTTTGTTACAAATAAAACCATCCATAATGACCTTAATGTTTCTTTTGTTTCAGATCTGACCCAATCCAGATACCTATCCTTCCATAATAAACTTCAGAATCATCCCAACCCTCTCATTTCTAACCTTGCTTCCTCTTCAATTCCTGATAACTCTCTGAGGTGTCTGAAAAGAAGATGGCCCCGTGATCTCCTAATGTAGACATATCATTAGAGTGCTACCATTGGGTGGTTACTCAGCAAGTGTCTTCATGTCGATATATCCATTATGTTCAAATTCACTGGATGTATTTATTTAATACAGTTGTAAATGTCTTTAAGAAATAAAAAAAAAAACTTAAAATCATATCTATTTTTTTTTTATTTGACAAAAAAATGTCAAATGTTTAGGTATGTAAATATGAAACCGGAATTCCTTCATAGATGGCTCTAGTTGTTAATGTAGTTACCATTAAATCGCAATTTTGTCACCATTTTATTCCTTCAACAGCTGGCTAAGATTTTCAACTCACAACAATACTAGTTTCCACTAGCGGATCCAAGATTGGGGGGGGGGGTTCAGCCCGAAATATATTTTTTTTCATAAATCTTAAGAAAAATAATTTGTAAAAAAAAAGAAAGAAATTAACCAGCTATATGAAATGGTGTTTAAGTGGTTCCTGAAGTCCTATTAAATGTAATTAAACGTACAAGAATACTTTAAAAGATAGTTTTTGATATTTTTTTCTCTAAAACATGGTTATATTTTACCATTTTGGGGGGAGGGGCTTCAGCCCGAATCCCTCCCCCCCCTCCCCCCGTAGATCCGCCTGTGCTAGTTTCATATAACAGCATCATTTTAATAGTGTTGAACATGTCGAGTATTATACCTACAAAACTAAGATTGGTAGATCTAACATATGAATGTAAGATCAATGGTTTCATTCATGAAATAGAAATTTGATCTGCTAAATTTTATTTTCTTAAATTTTTGCCTTCGACTTTTTCAACGGACTTCTTTCTATAGCAGACAAAATTCAGTTTCCTGTAAGTGTTCATTTTATTTGAATTTTTTGAATTGAAGTTTTACTTGAATTTGAATAAAAGCAAAAATTAGGAGGATGTATAGTTAATATTAATATTATTGTAATGTCAATATTATTTCATGGGCTCCCGTTAATGACAATGCAGATCCCCACAGGTCCGAGACCACAGTTTAAGAATCTATCTGCTAGAGTATCATTGTCCTATAATGTTTTAATTCTTCATTAACGTAGATAGATAATAATGGGTCTACAGAATCTACAATTCTCTATTAACAACAGTGATAATAAAATATTCATTTTAGTGTTGACAGGTTATAAATTAAAAGCTTAGTTTCTATAAAACCTAATTTAAACTGTTAACAATACCTTGTCGCCTTCATCTCCAGGCATACCTGGCATGCCACCCATACCAGGAGGCCCAGGTGGACCTTCCATGCCAACAATCCCTTTTTGTCCAGGAAATCCTGATATTCCTTCATCGCCTTTAATCCCTTTTTGTCCTGGTAATCCAGGCAAACCTCTTTCTCCCTTTCGGCCAGGTGGGCTGGACAAAAAAATAAAAGTAAATAATATTTATATTAATAATACCTATGATAATGCAAGAAAAATTAAAATTAAAATAAATCAAAATACTTGAAATAATGTCAATCAAATTGACATATAAATGTTTGTATCAAATTGAAATAGAAGTCTTAATACTGATATAAGCATATTGAGTATTTACTAGAAGCTGGTAAAGATTCTTTATAAATTCTGGATTTATAACGATGGACAGATAAACCATTTTCACATACGATGTGGATCCTTTTTTTTTTTTTTTTTTTTTTAGAAAAATTACATCAATATGGAAAATGATAAAACACGCATTTGAGCCAAGAAAATAAAATAAAAACATTTTTAATAGTGAAAATATTTTTTTACTGTACACAAAATAGTAGGAAAAGTTGACATTTACTATAGGAATTTCTTCCTGATGAAGGCTTTTAATCTAGGGTTATAAAAACGAGCTATGACTCGAGTCCTTTTTTTTTTTTTTTTTTTTTGGCTTCAAGACTTGTAAAAGCAAGTCCTATTTCGCCAGTAAAACACTTTAATTGCCACAGCAAGATGAAATTAAACTGGATTCATATTAACTATTTATAGTTAGATGATCACTGAATTTTATAACTGAGGTTTATAACGAAAGAAGCCACACCTGAAAGCATGTTTTATTCATATAATAAAACATATCGTCGACTTATTGCAAACAGTCATCAAGGGAAATTTCATAACTCTAAATCGCTAACCAAATGAGAAAATTGTGCATCTGTAACTATGACATAGGAGTAAAACGGTTTGTGTTATTTTGCTGTGTTTTTTTATCAATAAATAAGATCGAAATTCACAAAAAGTTCTTAAAAGTTCAGCATCATCAAAAATGTAATCAGTGTCTTCATACAATAAACCTATGTTTATACTATTATATAACTGGGATGCACAGAAGAGAATGATTAATACAATAGACTTTATTTCAGTTAAAACTATGATTCAAGTAACTGCCAAAGATGTAATACTACTAACAAACATCATATAGAACAGTTTTAACTCTTTTATAATATTGGTTAAATAGTTGACTGTCGTGAATAATGAGGGGAAGAATAGTTGGGATGGTCAGTCAAATAAGAAGGCAAAAATAAATGATAATATTTATTTTGTCATTTGCCGACGTTTCGACCTGAAGTTCAGGCCATCATCAGGGCTGACTGCTTTAAGATAGAAGAAGCAATGGCTTGCCAGTCTAAAACGTTAGGACATAAGGAAATAAAGTTATGTATTTGTGTATACATGTATCGTTGACCAAACCCCAAAACCAACTTCTTCTTTCTGCCTTTAAAACATTTTTATTTATTTAAATATATAAATAATAAATTATTAAAACAAACTCACTTAATGACGAAAGGTCCTGGTGCACCATCCTCACCCTTTTCTCCCTTTCTACCAGTAAATCCAGGTGGACCTGGGATCCCATTGACACCGTCTTTACCATGGATTGTGATTCCTGTACCATAATGATACTAATGTCAATTCATCATTTCATATCATTATACATAAACACAAGAGTAACTACTTAACCAAAAAGATCAATACAATTATGCTTAGACACACCTTTTAAGCTCAAAGGATCCAAGTTCAGGATCTTTGGGTACTACAAAATGAGTGAATATAAATTTTGAGATCATTATTTTTGGTATTTAATGTATATATAAGAGAGTTAAAATCAAAATGATGTTGATTGCATGTTGGTTGAAATTAAATTGATGAAGTTTTTTTTTTTTTTTTTTTTTTTTTTTTTTTTTTTTTTAAATGAATGTTTTGTAAATGATGTATGTATGCAATAAAAATGTATACTATGTTCTTAAATAATCTTGAAATTCCCTGTTATGGGGTAACTGATTATTACTCATGTTTTAGACAAATAAATACTGTAAATTTAAAAGGTTGGTAAGTTAACATCTTCTGGATAAATAAAAACATGGGCTTGTTTTGGCTCTCTATCTATATTCACCTGCCATTTTGTATTTCAGCAGCCATAAGATGGCTGAGATGTATTTTTCTTTCTAGGTCAGTGAACATGGTCAACTTATATGAACAAACATGGTCTTAGTATAAAATAAGTCACATTTTTTGCCAGGATGTCCTGACTATATAGATGATTCAAGGAGGCCATTAAATTGAAATTAGAACTTCATCATAAACTTTTTTGATTGCTAAGTTTATTTTCTTAAAATACTATTAAAGACTAAATGATGATTAAAAAACTACCTGGCTCTCCTTTCATTCCTTTGATTCCAGGAATAGACAGCCCAGATTCTCCAGTAGGTCCTTTAAGACCGTTCTCTCCATACTCTCCAGGAGCCCCTTTCGGACCTGGCAGTCCGGGATATCCATCAGGCGCATCTAAGCCAGTAATGCCACCATCACCCGGACCACCTTTGATTCCTGCCATTCCTAGAGAATAAAATATACTATTAAAGTATTTATAAGAAAATTAAATTAATCCTCTGACAGGGCTTATGCTGTAGTTGACTTTTTGTAATCAAATTATTCTACCTGCAATTCATCCCTTACAATAAAAGAAACTGTCTCTACCTGAATAATTCAGTAATTAACAGTAAATAAAAGAGAAAACTTCAGACTTAAGATATAGCTTAAAATCCCCTCTATATACCTTTCTATGACCACAACACTTATAAAGTAGACCAACCACTATACAACGGTACCTGTAAAGTGCTATAGGTTAGATTAGGTTACGGTTGTCTTAGGCGATCAACTACTTGGTTATTACGCCCTAAAGTGCTATATGATCGAGCAAAGTGCTATTGCGAATGCAACAATTAAAAGCATCTGGGTTTACAAAATAGCTTTAATATTAAATTTAATGCTATTATGTGTGATCATTATCGCTAATTTAGTGTTACAAAAATTATGCTTTTTTAAAGTTAGTGCATGATTATTATTAGTTAAAAATAAATAATTTTCAGCGAATACATGTAAAATCATTGTAGTATAGATAGGTAATTAGTAACAAGATGAATTAAAAAAAATATTCAGAAAAGATTACCTGGAAGTCCTCGAGGACCAGAATCTCCCTTTGGACCTGGCATCCCTGGAAGACCAAATGCTCCTGGATCCCCTCTTTCACCTGTTTCTCCTTCCTCACCCTAAATGGCAAAAGTAATTTCATTAAAAAACTGATAATGAATTTTTTTTTTGACACAGTAAATGCCAAAATTTTTTATGCTACAATTCTAGACAAAAACCATTCAAAATAAATTTTTAAAAATAAAATAAAACAGGAGTAAACATATAAAATTAACAGTTTTTGAGGAACAAATACAGAAAGATAAAAAAAGTTCATCGTTCATCTAGCAATATCCTAGTTGTGTAGCTGATTCTGTATTAGGTTTATTATTTTCATTAATACAGCCTTCTCAAAATTCGAGATTTTTTCTTTTCAAGACAATGTTTTTACACAGAATAAAAAAACAAGAAATCTGTGCCAAGGTTTTTTCAAATACTAATGTCGGTTTTTTTAGATGGCCAAGAAAGCCATGATTCTTGAAACTGGACCATTTTGTTTCAAAATGGAGGTTGTTAACATGAGGTATCACATGCCCATAAAATCATTTATAAAGATAGAAGATGAAAATTAAGTATTATTATAAATTAAGTATTATCTATTTTAGTATCATTATTCCAAAGCCTACAGATAATTTAATCTTAATTAAAACAGTTATAGACATACATAAAAATTATAAACTGTTGTTTTTTTTTGTAGATTTTTTTTAATAAACCAATTCTTAAACTAAACAATTTAATATATATATATATATATAATGTTTCAGAACTAATAAGTTGATATTGACTGAAATAATGAGCCATGTTATTTAGCATTAGTCCAGTCAATGAATGCTCAAAAAAGGGGTATAGAAGGAAATGCCGGGGGTACAATTTTTTACTTTGGGAGATTATTTGGACTAGTGAGGAGGTAAAAATACTAAAAGTTCTCAGTCCTACAAAGCCACTTTTTTAGGGTTTTTGCTTATATCAGGAAAACTATTCATCGCATCGACAAAGACGTTCTATAATATTATAACTTAATATGTGAATTCCCATAATTTGTAGAATAAAATAATTTTTATGATATATGTTTTTATGATATATTATATTGCTCTAACTCTCTATAGACTTATCTCCTTCCAAACCACTGTTAAAAACCTTGGTGTTATCTTTGATCAAATCCTTTTCTGGAAACCACACATCTACCAAATTTCCCATCGTACTATTTCCATTCTGAATAGTTCAACTGTCTACGCTATCTCCTTCCATTCAGAACCCATCAACTCCTTGTTGTCCTCAATTTCCTCTCTTGTTGTCCGGATTCTCGTGAGAACTTGAAGCTTAAACAAATGAATTGCTCAATACTCTTTGTTTTCGGGATCTCAAGAGATAAGCATATTACCCAGTATTACACCGAGTTGGAGTGGCTCTATCCATCCCACCACCATCAGTACTTCCTTGCTATCTTCCTATACCAGGTTTGCAACCATCCTATATTCTACAGAGCCAACAGTTTAAATTCTCCATTCAATCCCATCCTACCAGATCCTGCATGTCTGACCTCTATCCTCCTCCTCACTGATCTGTTGAATCCTTTGTGATTCAAGTCATCTCCCTCTGGAACACTGGCATTTGCACTTTCCTTTCAAAATATACACAAAGTTATGTAAGAACACTATATACAAAACAACAAACAAAAAAAAAATCTTCTTCCCGGAGACGAGGGCACTCCAGTTCTAAGGTTGCTGTGACTCTGTAATCGGAAATTTTAATTGTTCTATGTGAACCGTCCTTCGTTTTTTTGGTTCGTTAACACTCTCAATCGTCACCACATTATGCTCTCAAATGACTATAACCCTGAATGGACCCTCATATCTCTGCACTTCCTTTCCCCTATTCGAGCCTAATTTGCGATACACTATGGACCCGATTTTCAACCCCCCTGTTACTTCCTTCACTTTGAGATTTTCCCGTGCCACCCTTTTTCGCTTTTTCCCCTCTATTTTTTTCTTAACCTTCCCCCAGAGATTACCCAGTTCCATTTTATCACTAACCATTCTTTCTGTCATTTGCTCATCTGCAGCTGTACCTCCCCAGTCCCGTTGCCGCCCTCGTAATCCGAAGAGAATTTCGAATGGAGAGAACCCTGTTGTCGTATGTATAGAATGGTTGTACGCTGCCACCGCCTTCCGCATTGCCACATCCGGTTCCAACCCTTTTTCCACCTGATACACCTTAAGATGGTCACTAAGAGTGCTGTGCAATCTCTCTATACTTCCTCTGCTCTTGGGGTGCCCTGGAGTATTAAGATGCCACCTGACACCTACGTTCTTCATTTCCGTTCTGATTTTGGCGTTGTCGAACTCTCTGCCCCCGTCGGATGTTATGCGATCGGGTACTCCGTAACATTGGAACCACGTCTGGAGGGCTCCTAAGACTGCCTCTGCTGATCACTCCTGTACCAGGTACGCCATTGCCGTTTTGCTAAAGAGGTCTATGAGCGTGACCCACTTATACCCTCTCCACGTGAACGTATCGTTCTTATCGTTGACGATTTTCTCCCGTTCTTCCATGTCCACTGGCCTCTCTTCCGCTGGACTCTCTTCTTGTTGGATATCAACTCCATCCACATTTTCTTCCACCGCTTGTACCCCCTCTCCCTCTGGCGTCCAGTCCCTCAGGAATCGTCTCACGCCTCCCGATGATTCCGCTGTATCCTCCTCTATGGCATTCATAGTTAGCGCTCTCGATAGCCAATCCGCCACCACATTCTCTCTTCCGGGCTTGTACACAATGTCCATGTTGTACTGGTTAAGAATCTCCTTCCAGCGTGTGACTCTAGCCGAGGATTCCTTTAGTTTGCCTACCCATTGTAGGGGTCTATGGTCCGTCTGCACGCGGAATTTCCTCCCAAAAACATATGGTCTAAAATGGTCGATAGCCCATACGATCGCTAACAGCTCCCTCTCCAGGGCACTGTATCGCGACTTTGCATCCGTAAGTCGCCTGCTGGCATATGCTACGGGGCGATCCCCCCCATTCCCATCCTGGGATAACACAGCCCACACTTTCGTAAAATCCGGAAATGCTAATACTGGCTCCTCTTGCAGCCTCGCCATGCATTTTCGAATGTTGTCTTCCATTATGGGGGTTACTATCACCTTGCTGCCTTTCTTTAATAAATTGTTGAGGGGTACGAGGTATTCCGCCATTTCGGGCACAAATCATCGATAATAATTAAGGGTTCCCAACAATCTGCGGATCCCTTTTACATCCCGAGGTATTGCCATCTTCTTAATCGCCTCCACTTTCCGCGCGTCAGGTTTGACTCCTTCACTCGATATCGTGTGCCCTGAAAAATTTATGTGGTCCTGCCCTAACAAACATTTATCGCTTGACAGTTGTCTGACTCTCTCAAATACCCTACGTAGATGCTCTACGTGTTCCGCCTCGTTTTTACTAAATACCAACAGGTCGTCCATGTAAATTTGGCACATCCCTTCGTCAATTCCCCTTAGGAACTAGTCCATTAGCCGCTGGAATGTTATAGGGGCATTCTTGAGACCAAACGGCATTCTCGTAAATTCGTAATGCCCCCTCTCGAACGTGAATGCTGTCTTCAACTGATCTTCCGGAAGCATCCTAATCTGATGATATCCCGCTTTCAAGTCAAGAGTACTGAATACCGTTGCCCCGCTTAACCGATCTACAATGTCCTCAAACTTCGGGATGGGGTATTTTTCATCCACAGTATTCTCATTAAGTTTGCGGTAATCGATTACCACGCGGTATTTCTCCTTATCCTCTCCGGGCGCGCTTTTCTTCTTAACTGCCCATAGCGGGCTATTATATGGCGACGTGCTGTCAACAATTATCCCCTGCGCCTTTAGACTCTCCAACTCTTCCCTAATGTATTGGCGAAGGGCCTGCGGATACCTCCTCTCTTTCACGTAGCTCACCTTTTCGTGCTTCAGCGGGATCTCTTGCACCGTTTTGCCCGTCACCCCCAACGTATCTCTCTCCTTGAAGAAGATGTCTTCGAATTCCCTTCTCACGACTACTCTCCAATCCTCCGCCCGACTTATAGTTCCCACACGTGCTCTCCGGTCCTCATCCCCCTCTATTGCCATCGTAGTCGTATACCTGATTCTCCCCATCCTTATTTTCCACTCCTCCCTTCTATATGCGATTCGCACGCCCACCTTCCAACATGTCACATCCTATAATTACCTGGTATTCCCGCGGCATTTCTCCCACTACATGCACCGTAAGTTTACCTCCCTTGGCTGCCCACCGCCTCAAACCTATCTCCACTTCCCCTTCTACTCCACACGGGCCACCCAGGGTGATTAGCTTACAATTACATACCTTGACTTGGAGTGTCCTCTCTCCATCGTACAGCTTCTCCAACACTCCCCGCGTCGTGATGGTATTGGAACTCCCGGTATCTACCAGGCATCGCACTCCTCCCACCTCTATTATAGGTAACCAGCAGCTTTTACCTCTGATGTTATAACTTACTAGCGTGCGGTCACCCATCGCCTGACACTCTCCTCAGATCCTCTCCACGGTTTGCCGGCGTCCACTCCTTCCGCTGCTTCTTCCTCGACTCCTCTCGTTCTCCCGGCCTACTGGGTCCTCTATCTCTTCTTCTGTCTCCGTGGCCATTCATTCCTCCGACGAGTCTCTTGATGACTCACTCCTCCTTGCGTGTATTTTTCTTCTCCTCAATTCCTGGGCATTTACCTCCATCGGCTCAACCCTTTGTGAGCCTCTTCTGGAATATATGTACGGACATTGCCTTGCGATGTGTCCCTCAGTCCCGCACTCAAAACATTTCGTGCGGGGACACTGTGCCACCAGGTGTCCGCTCTTTCCACAACCGTGGCATTTCCTGTCCTCTCTCCGTTGGCTACCTCTTGCTCTACCCTGTCCTGGTCTTCGTTCAGCTCCGGTGGCCTTTTCTCTCCCATTGTATGCGGGCTGTCTCCTTCTCCAGGTCGTTGGTGAACTTCCAGGTCTCCTATAGATCGCTCTGTTCCATCCTGGTTCCTCCACCTCTAACCGGGCTTCCTCATCTCAAGCACTGGAATCTACCATTTCTTGGGCGCATTCAATAAACGAACGTTCCCGGGGTATGCCATCTTTCTTTCCAGTTTCTTTCGCCAGTTGCACCTTCAGTATGATGGACAAAAAGGCCATCTTCGCTTCCACCTCCGGAGCGCCAGCTGTCTCCCGCATCTTCTCGGTGATCCGGTTGTAGTGAGCTACGAGTGTTGCCGCATACTGTCCGTTGGACTGCCGTGATGACTTCACCTCGCGGAACATCTGATAGATGTCTTCTTCTGTAGTCCATCTGCCACCGCCGTAGGCTTTCTTCAATCTTTCCTTGACCGTTTCCCACGGCGTCTCTTTATCTGCCTGGATGTGGTTCAGGATACTCCGTTTTACCCTGCACACAAGAGCCGCCTTAAGGGCCTCCGCATCCCCAGCGTTGACGAGGTTCTCATCGATCTTTGCGTTTATTCTTGCCACGAGTCGATCTCCACCCTTTAAAAAATGATTTAGCTCACCTATTTCTCCAGTGAAGCGCTCGAGATCGGATATAGCCTCCCTAAGGTCCTGTGACGTGGCTACCCTGATCTTCATCCATTCTATCGCATTCGCATGCGCCGCGGCAAAGGTTCCCTGCGGTAACGGAGGGATCTCTGCCACGTTCATGGGAGCCGGCTGCCTTAAGTCAAATTCAGGCATCCTCGTAACGGTTCTCCTCTGGTTTTTAAAAAAACGTACCTCTGCCCTCTCACCGTCTCGGGTTTCGGCACCAGTTAAACGTCGCGGACTTTAAACACTTAAAAAAAAGAGTAAAGGTTCAACAAATAACACGCATGAAGTCGGAAACAAGACTGCTTTATTGCTCCTTATAATCGTCTATATATAAGTTAAGGTACGGAGCGGGACAGTATTAGCTTTAATACCAAAAGCATTTATGTAAACAACTCAGAATGTATATATAGAGGATTATAAGGAGCAATAAAGCAGTCTTGTTTCCGACTTCATGCGTGTAATTTGTTGAACCTTTACTCTTTTTTTTAAGTGTTTAAATTCCGGGACGTTTAACTTATACATTCTGAGTTGATAACATAAATGCTTTTGGTATCAAAGCTAATACTGTCCCGCTCCGTACCTTAACTTATATATATATATATATATATATATATATATATAATATATATATATATATATATATATATATATATATATATATATATACACGTAGAGATTTTGATGTAATGAAAAAAAAATGAAAATACCTTTATTATTCTGGCACTAGTGTCCCTGTAGGAGAAATTATAAATGCAGAATAAAAATAAACATAATAGTGTGTTCTTAACTTAACTTAAATATACATATATTTTATATATAGCATTTCCAAGTCAATTTCAACCTTTTCCAAGTCAAATTCAACCTTTTCCAAATCAAATTAAACTTTTTCCAAGCCAAATTCAACCTTTTCCATTTCAAATTCAACCTTTTTTTATTTATTTAATTATCTTTAATTTTTGCATGTGTGGGTCTGTTATCGTATGAGTAGTTTTTGAAAATAACCTCCTTTTAAAAATTACGTGACTGCGTTTCGAATTATTTAAGTTTTTTTGACTTATTGGATATAAGGGTGTATTTTTATGTTTCCCGATCAGTAAATTTTGAAAATGACATCCATTTTATGTTTACGCCACTGTGTTTTGACTTATTTAAGTTTTTAGAATTCATCCAAACATAAAGGTCTACTTTTATGTTTCCGGAGCCGTAAATTTTGAAAACGACCTCCATTTTAAGATTAGGCCACCGCATTTCGACTTATTTGAGTTTTTCGGATTTTTTTCATATGAGGGTGTATTCTTATGTTTGCAGAGCCGTAGATTTTGAAAACGACCTCCATTTTAAGATTAGGCCACCGCGTTTCGATTTCTTTGAGTTTTTCGGATTTTTTTCATATGAGGATGTATTCTTATGTTTCCGTAGCCATAGATTTTGAAAACGGCCTCCATTTAAGATTAGGCCACCGCATTTCGATTTCTTTAAGTTTTGTTTCAGAAGAAAAAATAAATAAAAGCATTTTTTTCACTTTATAACGGTAGCAATAACAATAAGGTTGAAATAGCGAGCATGGTAATGAGAGATACATAACTTATTTTTGAATCTGTTCAATAGATCTGAGATAATACTAAGAGAACATTTTTATAGAAAAGGGTGTTGATTTAAATTACTAAAATCTATATTTAAATTGTACTTCTTTATTTTTCTCTCATTACTAAGCCAGCATATCTGCTGATTGTCAATAATAATTGACAGGTGCGGATAAATATATGTAAGTGCAAAAAAAAATTGTACTTACCTCTAATCCAATACCTCCGATTGGTCCGACATCACCAATAAAACCTTTTGGTCCTCTAGCTCCACGCATACCTGGAACACCTTGGTCACCAATGTCAACTACAGGAAAATCTCCTGGAGGGCCAATGTCACCTGCATAACCTTTCTCTCCTGGGTAGCCATCAACTCCAGGTATGCCACGCCTACCCTGATCTCCTACGTCTCCTGAAGAATGATGGAAAAAAAAAATTGATAAAATCCGTAAGATTATATTATAAAGATAATAATAAGTTTATATTTATGATGAAGATGATGATGAATTGAAATTCCATTGACTTTTCTTTATTAGAAAAAAAAAAACCATTTGCATTTTTACTGATGTTTTGGTGGTTTCTTCCCCATTTTCAGAAAATGAGAATGCTTAAAAAATATATACATAAAATTTCCTTTCTCTCTCATCATATGTGTCTTTCAGTTGACAGAATGACTAACTCCATTTTCAATTATTAATTTTAGTGATATTTCTAGTGGGAAATTTATACCTTTATTCACAGTTCTATAATTCAACACTGCAACCACCTACTATGGAATCAAGTTAATCTCTGTACAGATATTATAAATTTTCCAACTAGAAATTTATTATTAGAAATTTAGAATAAAATGTCTCAAAAATGTTAAAATTGGAGTCAGTCATTATGTCAACTGAAAACCTCATATGTCCATATTAATTTGTTTCTAAATTCTGCTGAGATAAGCAAAAAGGGAGTAACTGACATATTTGGGTGAATTGCACTGATGTTTAACATATCTAATACTAGAATATTATACTGTTACTGCATAGGAAATATTTACAAAAAAATTATTTTGATAGTCTTAACCGCATCTTGTATCTTTTACTAAGACATTTAAGCTGTAATTAAGAATTATTTAAAATTCTTAACATTTATATCTTATGTTAGGCATAACTAAGGTGATCAGACGTCCCGCTTTTTAACAATTTGTCCCGTGTCATTTTTAAAAAGTCTCAATTTTCAGAAAGAATGTACAAGCTAGGGAATGAGCAGATAATAAATGATTTTCGGAGGCCACATTGATATTTTTCCAAGATATGAACTTTATATTATTTTTGTAAATATTATAATGTTAAACTTCAATAATAACAAATAATTGTTAAGAAACTGTTTATCGAGTACTGCTTAACTTACCAAAGCGAGCATTGGCGGTCAGTTGTAAGAATTTGATGACCATTGTTTGGACTTAATGATAATTAATGATAATCAACACAAAAATGATATTTTTAATGAGATATCGTTATTAAAAAAATATTTCGATAAGTAAAAGGTTAGATGTTGGCAATTTCAATAAGTTTTTAACATTTTGAAAAAGAGCTACTTGATTGTGTATAAACTGCTGGCACAAAACATTAAAGTCATAAAAACTATGTTATTACTGATGTCATAAATTAGACATCAAATACAGCATTAAATTATTCATTCTAAAAAATATGGGTTTAATACTAAATTCTCAACCTTCTTTCAGCTAAATACTATGTCACATGATTAATATTTGCACCAGATTATCATTATGAGAAATTAATTATTGTAACAACAAATTTGAACTATTGTTTGGACTTAATGAACCAAATTTTTAATCAAGACCCTCTCTCTCTCCTCTCCCTCTTCCCAGTCAATGGTGTCCCGCTTTACCAATGTTAAAATCTGGCCACCTTAAATGTAACGCTTGTGTTACATAACAACACAATAGTTTTATCTTTTTGCTTTAGAATAATAGCAATAAGTTTATAATCTCCCAATTAATGAACTTGTACTTAAAGTGAGTAGCTAAAGGGGAGTTGCGTAGATCAGTGGGTGAGCACTGACTTCCGCAGCTCAAGGTTCTAGGTTCGAATCCGACTGATGCCTAGTAATTTTTCATCAGTCGTTGGTCGACCTTCCTGGGACAAACGAAGCTTCTATAAAGTGGGTACTCTTAATGAGATAATAAATCATGGGGGAAAACCTTGCAGTTGAGTGTGATATTAGCCCGTCACCTCCCTGCAAAACCATTGGCCTTGTAACAGTGCTTGCTCACATTGTACTAAACCCAAGACCCTTCATGGGTTGTTTGTGGTACAGGTCTTTTTAAAAAAATAATTAAGTTTGTCTTCCGTGACACCGTGATAAGTAACACACTCTTCTAATTACTTACACTACTTTAGAATACCATATTTACCATCTTTTTTGTTTATAATACCAATAAAAACTACTCTTTTCCAATATGAAAAAAAAAAATTACTGTGCCCTGCCATCCCTGCATTGTCACCTTAACATCCTATTGTTACCATTTCTTTAAGTGTTGAATAAAATAACCTTACCAAGTTAGTCACTGCTAATTTTCAAAATATCTAAATTTACGTGATTAGAAAAAATTTGAAATTAGAATCCTTACTAATGAGAGAATTCGGGACAAATTTTGACCATGTTTATAACATAGAGTTTCATCAACAATCAAAACTTATGTTCACAGGTTTTGATCTTTCTTTTGATAACACTGATTTATATTGCCTACAAAACAACAAAATTGTGTGGACTCTCTACTCATTTCTATGTCGTAAGAATGATCAAAATAATTTGTTTCTTTAGGGTGTCAGTTTATCACAGAAAATGTGATAAAATCTTCACATAAAATTGCTCATGCGTGAATCACCAAATCCTAGAATATGTTGCTATATTTAAAATTAGTTTTGAATAAAAACTAAAATTTCAATAATAAGAACATAGAATTTGATAAAATACTTGAGGACTTCTAGGCCTTAGCTTAGCCATCTAATCGACTTTTCTTATGTTCTTAATAATTTTTGGTTTGAATATTTTATTCATTCATGTAGATTAATTGTTATTAATTTTAATTTTATTTTTGTCCTTCAGAATATTGGGGGAGGAGGGTCAAAAACAATATTCTTCTCTCCCTCTATTTTTATTGGGGGGAAGGCATGAGCTATTTACAGAAAAATACAAATTATTTCGGGCCAAAAGTCCAAAACATATTGAATAAATAAAAAGAGAAAAAAACCCATTAGATTATCTGCTACATTTACAGCAGATGCAGAATGTTAAAGAAAAATAAAATTCAATATAATAAGTTTCCTTTAATAGGTTGGCTAAACTTCTTAATAGAAAAAAAAGAGAAATAAATAATAAAAATTGAAAAATACTTCTGTTATTTAAAAATATTCAAATAATCGTACATTAAAATACAGAAACAAACAGAAGAATAAATAAATTAATGATTTTTTAATTTATTTGTTTCTAACCTGTTTCTACAAGAAGATAATCAACATAATGGGAGTAATGGTTTAACTTCCGTTCCCATGGGGACCAGCTGTACTGGGAAGTAGAGAGAGGGATTTGATCCTATGATCTTCACTTTAATATTATAGCTCACTAATCACTAACTGTTCTGCTATACCGATCCCCACTTTTCAAGGTAATGCATGAAAAACAAAAACAAAACTAATTGTATTACGTAATACATGGTTATGCAGTGTCTAACTGTTCCTGTGAAGAGGAAGTGGAATAAGAATAAGAAACGACTGATGAAAAATTACTAGGCATCAGTCGGATTTGAACCTAGAACCTTGAGCTTTAAATGTGGATAAGGAAGGGGTATGTCAGATTAGACGAGGAAGGGAATTCCAAAATGTGGTGCAGTTTGCAACAAAGGAGTATTGAAATGAGATAGATCTGTGAAAAGGATTGTAATGGTCAGAAGGTCGTGATCTTGTGGTATGGGAGTCAATAAAGAATTTGAATTCGAGGAAATCGTAGGCATAGGAAGGTCGATGAATGTTGAAAGCCTAGTGCCTAGCAAATATTGTCAATATTGTTGTAAAAACAGCTTTTAAACAGCTCCACCGATCCCCAAAACAATTATTATGGATTAAGGCCTCTAAGGCGCTACATGAAATGGTACCAACCCAATCTCCATAAACAAATTAGAACCAAAGATATAAATTAAAAATGATTGACAAGTTTTTCATAATTTGTAGTTTGTAGTTTGTAGAGCAGTAATTCAGTTTTCCAATGGTTGTACTACTGTTGAATTTGGAGCAAATACTGAGAAGTCATGAATGCTTTACTTATCGGCCTGAAAAAAAATCCTCTAAGAAAAATCAAGTATTAAATTTTGCAATTTTTTATTTATATAAAAACTCGTATTAAGAGATTCAAATGATACTAAAAACAAATCTAACTTGGTTTTTCATAACAAAAATTTACTTGGGCTACTTTACTGGAAATACCTTTTGGTTTTTGTAATCTATAATATACTAAAATTTATACAATACCCAATATTTTTTTCTTATTCTGCAAAAAAAAAAAAAGAAAGAAATCGATTGATATATAATAACCTAAAAATCCCAGCAAAAATAAATAACATAAATGATGTTTTTTTTCCCTTCCCTCCTAAGGTCCATTGGACGAATGCCGGGATATATGTCCAATATTTTTCAATGCAGTATCACCGAAAAAAATTTGGATGAAATAGGTGACCCACTGGCTATAGCCTCCCATTGTCAGTGTAATAGTGGGAGACAGAAGAGTGTCTTAAGATCCAACAGATAAACATTTTACAGAGCAATTAAAATAGAACTTATGTAAAAAGACTTTTGTAACAACCTAATAAAATTGAAAACATTAATAAAATAAAATATTAAATAGAAGAAAAGTTACCAGGTCTGCCCATCTCCCCTGGGTCTCCACTCATTCCTGGTTCTCCTTTGTTTCCTCTCCATCCAGGAGCGCCAGGAAGCCCATTCATTCCTTTAAGACCATCCCTTCCTCTTAATCCTGGAAAGCCTGGCAATCCTAACTCACCTACCAATCCTTCAGGGCCCACATTTCCTGCCTCTCCTATCGAGCCTTTAACACCCTAAAAAAAATCGAAAAGGGAATTTTTATTAAAATAAATAACTTTCCTTATCAAAAGTATCCATTTTCATAATTCATAATTTCTATCTCAAACCATCTTGGAAATATAGCTGACTATAAATCTTTTATATCTTGTTTGAAAGTCATCAGGAATTTTAAGAAGTGAGCTGATGAATGAGGTATCAAACAAAAGGTAATTTCAAGAAGTGACAAATTCCAATTGATCCTTAAATTCTTGCAACATTAATAAAAGTCATTGAAAAACTTGGAAGATTTCAAAAGTTGACCAAACAAGATCTCAACATCGAGAACTTTGTCTGTCATTCCAGAGCCGCTGCTTTTAAAAATGGTGGCCGACTTTAAGAACATGAGGCCAGTAACTTGAGGATCGAAACAAGAGGAAATGACTTGATGACTGTGACAAAATCTTTAAAACACAATTATATTAATTATATAGTATAGATGTGAATAGCTGAAATTATGAAACCTGTAATTTATGAAAATTAAAGTTTAGAAATAATAACTAATATCTGAACTTTTGCAAAATTAACTGTGAATTCCTGAATTTCCAAATTGCTAGACACCCTGCATTATTCCGACATTTTCCTCTTAACTTGAAGGCTTTTGTCTAGAAGATTCATGTATATTTATATTCATTTATACAAGGCATCATGAGGAAACATCGATGGTGAAAATCTATCGATACTTTATCAATCATTATGAGAGAAAGTTTCCATGAAGAGTTACAACTTTTACTCCTATCTTCTTCTTTCTCTTTGAGACAATTGCCGGTCACTGGACACTCTGACTTATATTATTATTATTATTATTATTAATTTTATACATTATTTTAGAAAATATAAATTCGCTTATAATACTTCCGTTAAGATTATATTAGTCTAATTTTAACTACTGTATAATTTACATGTATCTTATATGATTTATTTCTATTGTCATTCATTTATATAAATATATATTTCTTTTTTTTTTTCATTATAATTAAATTTAAATCAGCTGAAACTCTATAGGTCTATTTGACAAGGTCTATCTCTCTCTTCCTTTGTTACAACTGAGCTGATGAATACAATTTGTCCTTAGTAATTATCATAAGTCTAGTATCCTCCATATCCATGTTAGCTTTTTAATTTCTTAATCTGTATGATTATTTATAATTACAAGTTACTGTTTCTTTTAATTTCCCATAAACAGATTTAATAATGGCTTCTTGTTTATATATTTATATCATTTTTTAGACAAAGTTTTTCGTATCTGTTTTGAAATTTACAATTTACTTTGTATTATTTGTTCAGTTGAATTGTTTCAATGGTCCTTCTATTTCTAACATATTCCTCATTATCTAGAATTTTTCTATTTTTACAATCAAATTTGATTTAAATTTATACTAACTCAGTATAATTTTAAATCAAATTTATACTGACTCAGACTATAAAATGTAGCCTAACTGAGGCTAGTGGGGTTGTTTTTTTTATATGGTTTACAATTACTGATTTGCTATACTATTCTAGTCTTTAGATGTTTCTAAAATGTAAATTCTTTCACAATTTAGCTTATATATTATGTTTGGTCTTTTAAATTTGTAATATAATTTTGAATTTTGTCATTAATAAAAACCCCTATGTGTTTGTTATCGTGATCATACTCCCTAAATATTTTCCTTTACTTTTTTTCTGTCAAGGCAATGCTCTTTTTCTTTTTTAATATTATCTATGCTAGTTTCATTAGTGTTTCTATTGTTAAAAAGATCAGTAATCTCAATAACGGTAATTGTCTTTTATATTTGTAATGTAATTTCAAATTTCGTTACTATTATATACTCCTATATATATATATATATATATATTGTGATCATATTCCCTAATTTTTTTAGTACTTCTGTGGTTCCCAATATGAATACACTTATGTTAAAAAATTCAGTTATCACTTTTTATTTTCCTATTAAATATATTTGGTTATCAGTCGATTGGACGTTAAGAAACAAATCCAGTAAGCTACATAACTCGTTTACATCACAAATCAAGTTAGACAGTATTAAAACTTATATCAAAATATGGTGATTCTTAACAGAAAAAAAAAAGTTAAAGTTATACAATCATGAATTTTAAAGACCTACTTTAAATCCATCACGTCCTGGAAGTCCATCTATCCCTGGCTCTCCATCATCACCAACTATTCCTGGAGGGGCATTGAAAGACATTCCTGGGTCACCATGGCGACCAGGAATTCCATCCATACCAGGGTTACCTGGCCCTCCAATCGGACCAATGGGGCCTGGAACAAAAGAAAAAGATATAATTTTTAAATATTAGATCTCATCTAGAGAAGATCCAGGAGGCATATAAAAAGGAACCTAAAATAGTAAAAACTAAGTCAGAAAGATATATTACTTGCCTGGGTATCCCATATCTCCTGGGTATCCTTTAATGGAGGGAATACCAGGAAAGCCTCTAGGTCCAACATCTCCTAATGGTCCGATAGAACCCTAAAAAAAAAAAAAGGTAATACATAAGTAAAAAGCACAATTTTATGTTTATAATTAGTAAAATATCTTATAATTATAACTGTTACTTTATGGCTAGATAACTATACTATTGAACAATAAAACAAAGCTTTCTGAAAAGTAGTGCAAAGCTGTACCCCAGACACCCTAAGAACTCTATTCTAGAAGAAGAACAGAGAAGCAGCTCCAACAAAAGAAGAAAAGGAATCAAATGAATAAATGAATGTAGTGTTGAAGAAAATAAATAAAAGAAAGCTGTTAGTTAATCCAAAAAGTTAACAATTTATCAATATTACCAAGTTATCAATGTGGCAACTGGAGTATTTCTGGTTGACAAACTCTGGAACCAGAGGCTTCTCTTCAAGCTTAAGATCATACACACTATCTAATTCTTCATTATTTTCTCTCAGACAGATTTTTCTCTGTACGACATGGTTCAGATCTGGTGTACCTCAGGGATCAATCCTAGTCCCATTACTATACTATACATCACATACACATACACGATATTGCTCAAAGTACTCATTGTCTTACAGCAACCTACGCAGACGATACTGTTATCATTACCAGACATCAAAAATTCTACACAGGCATCAGCTAACTTATAATATCTCTTACAAACAATACAAGTGCAAACTGTGGAAGACTCAAATAAAATATCAAAAGTGGAAACATATCACATTTATTCTAAGACTAGAAAGATGCCCTCCAGTATACTTAGATAACACACCGATTCCACAAATGGACTGAATATAATACCTAGGACTGATGTTCGATAGGAGAATGATAAGTGGCCCACATGTTAGGAAAAAACATGGCACTTAAAATCTATAACTTAAATTATTGCACTCATTCTTAAGACGACATTCTAAATTAAAAGCAATACAAAAATTAAATATTTACACATACTTATTAAAACCTCTCTGGACTTACGGATTACAAATATACAGAATTGCAAAGTTGACACATAAACAAACTTAAAACTTTTCAGTTTGAAATATTATGACTAATTACCCAAGCATCTTGGTACGTGAATAATAACACCTACATACTGACTTACATATCCTAATTGTCTAAGAATACATACGAACATGCTACAAACGATTCAATGATAAGTTGAAAGGACACTCCAACCAGTTGACTCTTATACTGGAGAATAGGAAGACGACTGAAAAGGGTCTAGATGAGGGACCTACTTATGTAATTAGGTAAGTAAAGTAAAGCTGCGGAAGGGGCACTGCTGGGTACTGATTTTCCTCGTGCCTATCAAGCCTCTTTATTTTATTTATTATTATTTTTTATTCCTTCTCATTATATAGCCAACACATGTGCCGATTGTTAATAAATGTAATTAAGAGGTGTGGATAGAAAAATAAAAGTGAAAAAAATTCAATGAATAATAAATACATATTGTATTCTTTAAAGCTCTAAATTAGTCTACTTAATGATCTTTACACTCATTCAAAAACACATAATGTAATAGTACAGCAACCGAGATAATACCTTTCTTCCAACAGCTCCTTCATAACCCTGTGGGCCAGGTAATCCCTTTGGTCCTATCGGTCCTTTATCACCCAACGGACCAATGGCCCCAAAGGGACCAGGATCTCCCTTCCTTCCTGTAATCAATTAAAACTATGAAGTAAGATGTTAATTATATAATAAAGAAGTAATTATATTTAATGAAAAGTATTATATTGACAGCAAAATTATTAGTTAATGTAAATATAATTACAGAAATAAACAAACTAAAATAAATGCAATAAACAAACTATTTAAAAGTTCAAAACAAATGTTTGTTCTTTGTTTTGTACTAGAGATGAGGCGTTTTATTATTGTGTTGACTGATCAAATTTATGTTTGATTAGAACACTTCCTTTCAAGGTACATGTTAGTTCGATTAGATATTCGATCCAGCCATATTGTTTCTGTTTGATTTTTTTATTCACCAATTAGGCCTCAATTGCCTGCCCAGTTAATACAAAGGATTAAGGTTATATTGTTTTGTCAAGTGTCAGTTATATTTGTATTTGTTTAGTGTGATGAGGGGCGAGCAATAAATATTATGTAGCCTTTTTAATTTGAATGTATATCACTATATCGCTGTTTGTCGATTTTACAAGAATATGGAGTTAAGTATTTTAAGAGAAAAATGATAAACCGTAATGAATTGCAGACTAACTGAATGGTAAGGATTGGAACAGTTTATTTATGTATCCTATATCTGTTAATTGAACACAACTCCCTCTTCCCTGTAGGATTAGTCATTTGGGAAGATTAGACTATCATTTCCTTTTTGGGAAGGCCTATGCAGAGATAAACTAGAATAACTTATATATTAATTAATAAATAATGTATAAAGTATTGATAAATAATTAATAGTAAAAAAGGTTCTGTTTGATTATATGTTTATATCACATGCACATCGCGTAATAAAAGGCTACTTTATTGTTATATCTGCTTATAAATTTAGAATGTTATTAGTTAAGGAATAAAATACATGAAATTCTCCAGTTATATGTAAACAAAAGAAAAACAAGTATAAATTTAGGCATATTCAACAAACATTATTTATTTATTATTGTTTTGTAAGTTTAAAGTTTATTTAGATTATATAAATGTATCATTAATAAAAGGTTGTTTTATGAATTCAAAGTTTGTTGTTTTTCATTGTATATACTTTATGAGCAAATCTTGGCAGATGGTTCTATACCATGCCAATAAAAGTTTTATTTTTTTTTTTTAGGAAATAAAATGTAAAATTTATTTGAAATGAAGTTTCCTATATACCTATTTGTATTGTTTATATGAGCACTTCAGTTGATAGAATGATCAACTGAAATTTCAACATTTTCGATTATTATGTTTAGAGATATTTTTAGTAGAAAAATTAATACCTTTACTCACAGTTCTATATTTTAAAACTGCAATCACCTACTCTGGAATCAACTTACTCACTGTCTGTACAGATATTATAAATTTTTCAATTAGAAATATCACTAAAATGACATTACTCAAAAATGTTGAAATTGGAGTTAGTCATTCTGTCAACTTGAAGGCTTATATAAGCCTTCCAGAAGGGATTGTACATTGAAATAATAAATTGTAATTCATCAATAACAATAATCAATTAAGGTACTAAGGTACTAAGCTACCTTTTGCTACTCCAAGATGATAGCTGTTTACGATCACCCAGAGCAAGCTACTCTCAAATTCCTATTGAAAGGCGAAAGTAGCTGAGCACTGACATTCCTATTTACATTTCACATAGCTGCCTTGACTTATAAGAGTTATCAAGGTTAAGTTATGCTAGTTATAAATATATAGTTATAAGTTATAAATAGAAAATGTTTTATAATTGTTTTCCTTTTAACCTGTCTCACCCTCTGAGGCGTCTGAAAAGAAGATGGCCTCGAGATCTCCTTTTGTAAATAATTTTTAGAGTGCTACCAGTGGGTAGTTTCTCAACAAGTGATTTCATGTTATTATATTCTTTTGTTCACATTTACTGAATGTATTTTTACTTTTAATACAGTTGTAAATATCATCAATAAAAAATAAAAAACACCTGTCTCTAAACAGAGAAAAATTTGATTTTTTTATTACGATTATGCGAATATGATTACATGATTACAATTACAGTGATTTTGATTACTTGATTACGATTACAGTGAATTTGGTTACTTGATTATGATTACAGTGATTTTGATTATGTGATTAAATGATTGTAATCAGGTAATCATTTCATACTTTTGCTATATTTATAGTGCTATTGTATCTAGTATAAAATTGGCTTGGTTTTAAGTTTTATTTTCAGTTGTAATCACGTAATCATTGATTACGATTTTGCCTATCTCTGCCTAAGCTCTATCCTAGTCAAGGGTGATAATAATTATAATTGAGTAAAATTTTCCTCTTCCCACATCACCATATGGCGAAACTAAAGGTGGAAGTCGGCTAGAATACTGCAGAAAAGAAAGTGATTGTGATGATTTCAATAGACTGTACTGAGGGGCTTGATACTCAGTGTCTCTTGGACATCTATGGAAGACAGTGCAGGACAACGATTTCCCTGAGCAGCAATCAATCAGGATAAGAGTTGGAAATGCGCTATCCAAAGATGTGGCATTCACACGCGGTGTTCCCCAAGGGTCTGTGTTATCCTTATTACTATTCTCAGTGTACTTGGCTGAAACTGTTGGAGAAAATTATAAGAAAGTTACTGTACCTGTATATGCAGATGAAATTGCAATTTAAACAGTAGTTCCTTAAATGCAACAAAAGCCTTACAGAACTTGGAGAAGGCTTGTGAAGAAATCACAAAAAAGCTGGAAGGACTTAATAATACAGTTAATCTTAAGAAGACTGACTGTATAACTTTCTTCTTCCAGAAGAATAAATTCCCACTTCTTAAGATATATAGGGTAGCGGGCAAAACAAATAGGTCAGCAGAGAGCATAGTGTAGTTGGATGTCACCCACACCTAACACTGTTCCGCCGCTTCCAGAAAAAGGATAAGCTGGTGAAGACCAAGTTTTACAGGCTAAATCATCTGTCAGCCTCACCAAAATATATTCCTCCCCCTCAAATCATTAATTTATAAAAACGTTTTAAGACCGTCCCTTCTTCATGGAGCACTGATATTACCAAATATATCAGTCAGAAATATGCGACTAACCCGCTTTTTAAGACACTATCTCAGACGGGACGAACACAGAGCTGGCAGACGCTTACAAAAAGTCTCAGACTTAACTATTCTGAGGACTACTAATTAGACTAATGACTCAGCACTTAACAATTTTTAAAACCTTTAAACTCCTCAAAATTCTCTTAAAATGCATACGATCTATGCAGTACAAAGGACTCGATCTCATAAAGAAAAATGTGAAAATCTTAACTAATGATCTTCTGATGGGGAAAAGAGAGTTATGGCGGACCTACAAAAAAACACCTTTTAGAAATAATATAAATCCTCAATGCTCCTTACTTTGTCACTAATAAAATTATCCATAAAGATCTTAATGTTCCTTATGTTTCAAATCTGGCCCAATCCAGATGCCTATCCTTCCATAATAAACTTCAGAATCATCCCAACCTTCTTGTTTCTAACCTTGCTTCCTCTTCAATTCCTGATAACCCTCCGAGGCATCTGAAAAGAAGATGGCCCCGAGATCTCCTAATGTAGTCATATCAGTAGAGTGCTACCATTGGGTAGTTACTCAGCAAGTGTATTCATGTCATTATATCTATTATGTCCAAATTTACTAAATGTATTTATGTAATACAGTTGTAAATGTCATTAAGAAACAAAAAACAAAAAAAATTAATACAAAAAAAAAAAATAATAATATATACGATAATTGAGTGAAAGAGAATATTGTTCAAACATTTTTTTTTTTTAATGATGTAGCGATGGTTGACTGTTGATATAATATGAGAATATATATATTCTTCTTTATTTTTATTTTTATTCATACTTATTTTCCATTTCTTTGTATTTTCCACATATATAATACTTGATATTTTAACTACATAGTCACCCACTATATCTCTGATATCATCTTTTTATTTCTGTATCTGACAACTTCTTCCTATTTTATATCTACTTATATTCATTTTTTTATTTTCACCATTTTTTGTATCTTTTGTAGCCCTGAAGACGACCTGCAAAGTGGGCAAAAATTAAATAATTACTATATTTTAGTTTAGTATTTATTTGACCGTCCCCCCCCCCATTAACTCCTTCTCATTTTTTTTTTTTAGCAGATTTAACTTAAAATAGAAAAAAATATCGTAAAACAAAAAGGTGTTTTTAGAAATATTTCAGGTTTTATATATCAATAATGAATATAGCTGTAAAAACTTATAAAGGATTATAAATTGAATTATTGTTTCTTTAAAATAAATAGAAAAAAAAATATATAACCTGGTGGTCCCATGAGACCAGTATCTCCTTCCGTTCCATTATAGCCAGGATTGCCGGAGTGCCCAGGCCTCCCGATGAATCCTTGGGGACCAATATCTCCTTCCAGGCCACGTAGGCCTTGCGCGCCAGCATCTCCCCTCAACCCTCTCTCTCCTTTGCTTCCCTTAATTCCATCTCTACCTATAATTTTGAGTAATTAATGAATAACTTAAAATAACTAATACCTTATATTATAAAAAATCATTTTCAGATCAGTAACTAACTTTTCTGTCGAAAAATTCTGCGTAAGACAAAATGAGTATCTATTGAAACAACAAACAAATTGGTACAAAAAAAAGTAGGGATTAGCAAATTACAAAAAATTCTGCTCCTGGGTTTCATTTTTTCCAAGGGGTTATTAAAACATATATGGATGTAAAATAATTACTTAATCTTATATAGGGTCTCTTCAAGGATTGAATTGCCCTTATAATTTTAACATTTATTTAAATCATAACAACGGTTTGGACCAATTGGATCATTTTCAAGTTATCTATAACAAGTCACAAAACATTGCTAATAATTCTGATCATTGATTTTCTAGTGACAATTCAATTTATAATTCCAATACTATTGTGAGAACTTGGCAAAAATCTATGATCTTTCCTACATATTTCCATATTATTATTACTTATATTAATAATATAAGGACAACACAGTTCCTCACATCATTTAATCTAATACATGTCAATTCTTAAAACTTAAAAAAGATTTGTATGTGCCATTATTTTAAATTAAAATATTTATATTTTGGATTCTTAATTATATTTTATTTAACCTTTTAGTTGCATAAAAATATATTGGTCTTTCTAGAGCCACTACATTGGTATTGAGTTCTGGCTTCACAGCCGGGCCACTATATTGGCTTATGCATAAAAAAGGGTTAACAAGTCACAAAACATTGCTAATAATTCTGACCATTGCTTATCTAGTGACTATTCAATTTATAATGCTAATACTATTGTGAGGACTCACCAAAAATCTCTTTCCAATATATTTCTATTTTAATATATTTTGCTAATTTCTACAGGGACATACATCCCTAGAGAGCTCAAATGTTACAGTTTATTTTAAACAATAGAAGGAAGAGGTACTACTGGACTTTGGGCTGAGTGTACAAATTAACCCTTTAGATGCATAAGCTTAGGGAGGTGGCGGTCCCATCGCCCGGTCACTGTACCGCAACCAGCCACTGGCCCTCCAGGTTGGGGGAACACTTACACGAACACTCACACACCAAGTACACTTTATACAGCACACTACAACACCTAAACACTACAGACAAAGGTCACCTACAGTACACACCCTAGGGTCACCTTCCCTAGGTAGCCGCCCCGGATGGGGGAGCTAGTCAGGATGCTCGGAGGAGGCAGCCCCTCTACCTGACTCGGGGGCAGTGGGCTGATAACCCACCCCCCCTAAAGTAGCTTATTGCGAAACCTCAAAGAGAAGAAGCCGGACTGAATTACGGTAACAGACCCAGGAAACACCTAAATGACCTAAGAATTGGATTTTGGAACATTTTATCATTACATAGACTAGGAGCACTTCGTGCGCTCCTTGCAGAAGTGGACACATACAGAATCAACACAGCAGCTATCCAAGAGGTCCGATGGACAGGACAGGGAATTATGGAGAAGAAGTACCATACACTCTACTATAGCTGCCATGAAAAGCATCACATCTTCGGTACCGGATTTGTTGTGAGAGGCAGAGCTCGACAGCTAGTGATGAGATTTACTCCCATTAACCAAAGGTTATGCTACATTCGGCTTAGAGAAAATTTTTATAATTTCTCTCTAATCAACTGCCATGCCCCAACAGAGGTGTCACCTGAGGAGGATAAGGAAACATTTTATGAAGAACTTGGACGCGTGATAGAAAGCTGCCCCAAAAATGATGTTAAAATCATTCTTGGTGACTGTAACACCCAAGTTGGTAAGGAGGTGGCACTCATGCCGACCATAGGAACCCACAGCTTGCATGAGACCAGTAATGATAATGGGCTATGGATGGTGAACTTTGCTACATTGCACGGACTGGTTGTTGGAACAACTCTTTTTCCTCGAAAGAATATCCACAAAGCAACATGGACCTCTCCAAATGGGCAAACAACATCACAGATAGACCATGTACTCATTAGTGCCCGTCACAAGACCAACATGATAAATGCAAGATCTTATAGAGGTGCAAATATGGACACGGATCACTATTTGAGCATTGCCGAGGTCAGATCACGAATTTCGCTGATTAAAAACCACCACCAACGACCAAAGAAGAAGATTGATGTAGCCAAACTTAAGGACTCAGACCACCAAAATTCGTATCAACAAGCTGTGGAGACGAAACTTAATGAAGATTTAATTAATGACAGCTCTATGGTCGATGAACAGTGGCAGAGATGCAGCAACGCAATGAAACAGGCAGCAGAAGAATCTCTTGGCTACGAGATTAAATCTAGAAGGCCTCCATGGTTTGATGCTGAGTGCCTTCAAGCAGTAAGAGTGAAAAATGAAGCCTACAGAAAGAAGGTTCAGCGTCCCACAAGGCTCTCCCAAGAAACATATAGAAGAAAAAGATGCGAAGAAAAGAGATTATTCTGCGGAAAGAGAAGAGCTTGGGAAAACAAGAACATGGAGGATACAGAGGCATTGCGCGGCCAAAATGAAAGTCGGCTGTTCTTTCAGAGAATAAACGAGGGTAGGGCAGCTTTCAGGCCCAGAGTGACGGCATGTAAAGACACGAATGGATCTCTTTTAAGCCACAAAGATGAAGTCCTAAGGAGATGGGCACAACATTTCAAAGACGCATTAAACAGAGGAACGGTGCCTGGAGAAGTAGGAGTAATGAAGGAAGACTCCCTGAATTCTATTGAACCCCCGGATGAGGAGGAAATGGAAAACGCCCTGAGGAAATTGAAAAATGGAAAGGGGCCAGGCCCGGACAGAATCCAGTCAGAGCTGTTGAAATGTGGAGGTGAAGAACTCAAGAAAGCTCTGCATGATTTAATGCTGACCATCTGGGAGAGGGAAGCTATGCCTACGGAATGGGCAACAGCCATTATCTGCCCTATACATAAGAAAGGAGATCAAACAGAATGCGCTAACTATCGAGGAATCTCACTCCTTTCGTGTGCTTATAAGCTGCTCTCTAACATTCTTTTTGAGAGGATTCTCCCGTATTCTGAAAAGGAACTGAGGAAATATCAGGCTGGATTTCGAAGAGGACGCTCAACCACTGATCAACTGTTCTCTCTGAGGATGATCCTAGAAAAGACTATGGAGCATAAGGTAGTCACCCACCATTTATTTCTAGACTTTAAAGCAGCATACGACAGCGTTGATAGAACGCAACTATACTGTGCCTTGGAGGAGCTAAGCATCCCTCAGAAGCTCGTACGCCTAATAAAGATGACAATGGACAGCTCGAGATGTAGAATATGCGTCGGTTCTGATGACTCCGAAGAGTTTAAAGTGAGCAGTGGGGTTAGGCAAGGGGATGCCCTCGCCTGTCTATTGTTCAACTTGGCAGAGGAGAAAGCTGTAAGAGACTCCGGTATTCAGACCAACGATATAATCTTCAATCGCCTGACACAGCTTCTTGGTTTTGCTGATGATATTGACATAATAGGTAGGTCTGAACGAGCTCTCAGAGAAGCGTTTATAGGCCTTGAAGCAGCTGCAAGACCACTTGGTCTAGAAGTCAACGAGAGGAAAACTAAGTATATGAGAGTTGGTGGTGAGGTGGATCTGAACTCTCAATTTGAGGTAGGTTCTTTTAAGTTTGAGAGAGTGAAAAGTTTTATATACCTTGGGTCTGAAATTAATAGCAAAAATGACATGGCTCAAGAAATACAAAGAAGGATCACGGCTGCCAATAAATGTGTCTTTGGACTTGGCCGACACTTAAGAAGTAGGTACCTCTCAAAGAAGACCAAGCTGATCATATACAAGACCCTTGTTCGGCCTGTTTTGACATATGGCTCAGAGGCTTGGACGATGACTAAAAACGATGAGATGAAGCTGAGTGTGTTTGAGCGAGGAGTCCTCAGAAGGATTTATGGTCCAGTAAAGGACGGTGATGTCTGGAGGAAAAGAAAAAATAGGGAGCTCAGTTCTCTCTATACAGACATCGACGTAGTCACGTATATTAAACTGGCCAGACTAAGGTGGGCAGGGCATGTGGCCAGAATGAGCACCGTTGAAATACCAAAGAAAATAATGATGGAGGAGCTGCATCTCGTAAGACAGGTAGGAAGGCCGAGGACGAGATGGTTGGACAACGTGGCCTATGATGCGAGAATCCTGCTTGGTGTACGGAACTGGAGAGCTGCAGCAGAAGACAGAGACAACCGGCGGAGGCTCTTGGAGGAGGCCCAGTCTTGGTAGCTGGATGTCGTGCCACATATGATGATGATGCATAAGCCAATATAGTGGCCTGGCTGTGAAGCCAGTACGCAATACCAATGTAGTGGCTCCGGAAAGACCATGCCCCTGGCGCGCTGAGCTCTTTATCTATCTAGTAAAAAATTTCAAATGAAGAATAAAAAAAATAATGACACTATATGCACCTAAAAAAATATTAGAATATATCAAAAAATAATGTAAATGTTGCAGAATAATGTAAGACAATTAATAAATTATAAAGTTAAAAAAAAAATTAACTGTTTATTTACATCATATTAAAGAAAAATATATAGGTCAGTTATAAAAAACAAGTATATTTTGATGGGGAACAGTTCAGTGAATAAATCTTGCACACAGAGGGTTGGCACCTGACCTTGATTAAGGCTTCATGCAACTAGAAGGTTAAATAAAATAGAAATAAGAATCCAAAATGTAAATATTTTAATTTTAAAATAATGCCACCTACAAATCTTTTTTAAGTTTTTAGAATTGACATGTATTAGATTAAATGCGAATAAAATGTGAGGAACTGTGTTGTTCTTATATTATTGGACTAAAAATGAACAGTAATAGAATTATATAATATGGAAATATGTAAGAAAGATCATAGATTTTTGCCAAGTTCTCACAATAGTATTGGAATTATAAATTGAATTGTCACTAGAAAATGAATTATCAGAATAATTAGAAATGTTTTGACTTGTTATAGATAACTTGAAAATCATCCAATTGGTCCAAAATGTTGTTATGACTTAAATAAATATTAAAATTATAAGGGCAATTCAATCCTTGAAGACATTGTATATAATTACATTAAGTGCCCTTGAAAAACATAGTGCTGAAAAGTAACTAAACATACATAAAATAATTACTTAATTAATCACATTTATTTAAATAAATTAATCAAGGAATCATGTCAAAATTACCTTTTGGTCCTTTATCACCGAAAATACCGGGCATTCCAGGCATCCCATAATCCCCTGGCATACCTGGTGAGCCAACCACAATTGGACCAATCATTCCTTTATCTCCCTGGAGAAAATGAAAAAAATAAAACAAATTAATAAAAGTATATTAATATGAGAATCCTGATGTTTAGTATTTATTTATATAATTTTATGACTCCTCAATCAATTTTCACCCTTTATAAAATTTATAAAAGAAAAATTAATGCATAACAAGCATTAATTTCGTACTGCTAAGTGGAGGCAGAAAAACTAAATACAAATGTCGATTAAATCGGGTAAAGAACTAGTTCTCAAAATGAATACTGATAAAATAAAATATATAGTGAATGGCAGAAACGATGATTACGGTAAAATTTTCTGTAGCGGACACTTCCTTATAGCAGAAAAATTTATAATCTCCATCTGATTTCAATAATTTTATAATGAACGGATGCGGACAGGCTTGATGTAAAGATTTTGATTTAAAATTTTCTGTATAATGGACAAGAGTAATCTAGTGAGACCCACAACCTGAGAACATTTATCTAAACTAAAATAGTTTGCTTCAATTATTAATTGTGAAAGTTTCAAAGTATGGGTTACAGTTTTAACCTTTTGTTGTTTTCAATTCTATATAATTGAATTGATTGGTTGGTTGGAATTGATATAGTTTCAACAGATTTATAAGGCAGGATTATAATGAAATGTATAGACCACTCCTAAATCTGGTTGTGACGTTGTATAAAAATTTCAAAGAAATCAGTAAAGAACTTTTGGAGATTAGCTGTTTTGAACTACCATTTATGTTGTAACATCTCTTATATTTTAAACTAGTAAGATAACCTCGGAAGATTACTTCATACTGTTGGAATACTTCCAAATTAAATAAGAGGTTGTTCAATAATAAACAAAATTATAAGAATATTGATATATTAAACTAAACTTTATGATAGGTATGGGTTACTGACAATCAGATCAAAACACTCAGACAAACAACTACTCTAAGCACTGTTAGATTTTTAAATAAAGTCAAGTATGAATTGGCAAGCTAATCTTTTTTCTATATACACTGTTTCTTTCTTTGTGGCACTGAATTCATTTGTCTTCAAACACTTTCCAAAGTTTTGTCAAACACACCTTCCAAAATGGTGACACTTTCATCTACTCAACTCAAGCTCCCTGGGAGATCCTCTCTCTTGTAACTCTAAACAAGTAATTCCACACAAAATTCCTTTGTCCCTCTCTTTTTTAGGATTTAGCTTTTTGGAGAAATTATAGGGAAGCCATTTTCTTTTCCCTGAATTAGTGAAACTATTTTACAAATTTCAACATCCCGTGACATCAGCAGAACTAGATTAGCTTGCCTTTTAACTGTTTCAACATTAATTTATTAAATCATTTTTACCAACTTCCAAAAAAGACGTATATTACAATATTTTTATTTATATACACTATTTCATATTTTTAGTTATTGATAACATAAAAGCTCATCAATAGCTATTAAACAGAAAAATAAGGAAGAAAATTGGTTCAATAATAGAGCAGAAAAAGGGGCTGAACTGTTTTGTGTTTGCCTATTTATATAATACTTTATTAGAGTTATATTGTAATTTGTTAATGTTTTAGAACAATGAAGGTTGATTTGACTGTGATTAATTTAACAAATATTGTATCATATTACCTTTCTACCCTCGTCACCTTGGAACCCAGGGGCGCCCTTTTCCCCTTTTAGGCCCCAAACACCAGGGATACCATCTAGTCCTTTAAAGCCAGGTCTTCCAGGTAATCCTATAGGTCCTTTCGATCCAGGAGCGCCAGGTGGTCCCTTAGGTCCTTCAAGTAAGGGATACCCAGGATCACCCCTATCTCCCTTTTGTCCAGGTATACCCTTCAAAAAGACAACAAGTCAAAATAAATATTAAAAATAGAGATCTTAAAATTACTTATGAACAGCCATAATGCTATAATTACCTGGGAGCCAGGGTAACCAGGTATACCAGGTTTTCCTGGTTGCCCCCTGAAACCAGCATCTCCATGAATTCCGGGGAAACCTTTGAGGCCAACACTCCCTTGTGTAGTTGGTCCAGGTGGTCCACGCATACCTGGCAGGCCCTCAAGACCATTATTTCCTTTGTCACCAGTGATTCCTTTTCTTCCCTCATCACCTGTAAATGTATTGGTCCAAAAAATTCTCAAATTGTATTAAAGTGAAATATAAAATATAGCCAAAGCTCCCCAGTTTAGAAAACTGTGATCAATTATTGAATTTGTGACTGCTGTGCGAATCGCTTTGCGAGAATCACATCCGATCCGGATAAAAGAGGAGTCCGGATAAAAGAGGAGGGTTGTGCGAAGGGGGTAACAATCTTAGCTAGAGGCTAACATTCCCTTTGACACAGAAAAACCTACAGTTATGAAAACATAATAAAACAATCATGGATTATGGACTGCAACGACAATGACTCGGGCAAATGTCAAATGGACACATCTCAAATTTACAAATTATTCATGAAGAATGTGATGTGACACTCTTTAGACCTGGAGCCTTTGATGAACTTAGTAGGCTAGATTGAACTGATGGTTAGGAGTGGGCATGCTTAAGGAGAAGGACTAAATGCTATACTACAGTGGTAGTAAAGATTGGCATGCGTTTGGCTGTGTTTTCGTAGTGAAAACAAGATGGAGTAGTGAAATAATGGATTTAGAGGCAACAGACAACCGAATCTGTAAAATAAGACTGTGTGGGAGGATTTTTAATGTAAGCATCATTAATGTACATGCACCACCAGAAGACAAAGATGATAACACAAAGGAAAAATACTAAGCAAAGCTGGAGAGAGTTAATGACTCTTGTCCTCGTTATGACATCAAGATCATAGCAGGTGATTTTAGCTTCAAAATCGGGAAAGAAAAAGTTTATAAGCCAACAACAGAAATGCATAGTCTACACAATATCACCAATGACAATGCAGAAAGATTAATCCAGTTCACAGCTTCAAAGATGTCTACAATAATGACCACTGTATTCCCGCACAAGAATATTCACAAAAAGAAATGGAAAACTCCTGATGGGAAAAATGCTAAAAAAATAAACCATTTCTGTATTAATAGTTATCACAGCTGTATAAGGGATGTTAGAAGCTATAGTGGATCTTGCATTCATTCAGATCATTACCCAGTAAATGAAATTTAAACTAAGAATAAGAACTGTAAAGATATCTCACTATCTAGCTAAAACGAAGTGGGATACAGAAAAGTTAAAGAATGAAGAAACGACCATACAGTTTAAGGGAAATATAGATAAGAAAATGCATGAGTATCATCTAGAAATGGATGAAGGCTTAACTTTTGATTATAAGTGGAACAAAATGGAGAGGATAATCTCAACCTTAGCTGCAGAAACTCTTGGAAGCATAGAACTTAAAAGAAGAAATGGATGGTTCGATGATGAATGCATGGAAGCTTTAAAAAAAAGGGAATGTTGCTCGACGTAAGTGCTTGCAGCAACTCCAAGACAACAGTAAATGGAAATGGAATATCGCGAAGCAAGAAGACAAGAAGAAGAAGGCAAAGAAGACAATCAAGAAGAAGAAAAAATAGTATGGTGAAGGAGTTGGAGAATGAAAACAGGAAGTTTTACAAGAAAATAGGAGCCATCAAGAAAGGATACTCACCAATGAATAATTGGGTAAAAAGCAAAGAAGGTCAACTGCTGAATTTGAATAATGAGGTTCTTCAAAGATGGGAGGAACACTTCCAAGAGTTATTGACTGGTGACCAAGGCAACGTAAATGGAATAGCAATGATCCCACATAGTGAAACAGAATATGGATGGGAAGAAGAAATACCTCCAACACTGGAAGAATTGGAAGAAGTGATTGGTAAACTGAAGAAAAACAAATCACCAGGCATGGACAATATAAACGCCAAACTTTTAAAATACATGGGCTCCAACATGCTGAGAGAGCTACACAGACTCATAGAAAGGATACAGTAAGTTGTGGAATAATCACAATGGTACCCAAGAAAGGTGATTTAACAGAATGCAGCAACTACAGAGGTATCACACTGCTTAACGTTGCATATAAAACTTTTGTGGCATTACTATACAATCGACTTGTACCATATTATGAAAGGGCAGCTAGTAGTATACCAATGTGGTTTTTGAAGAACCAGATCAACCATTGACCAAACCTTTGCACTCAAGCAGATTGATGAAAAGATGTGGGAGTACAATATCGTTACATTGTGATTGCTTGTTGATTTTAGAGCAACATATGATGCAAGCTACAGATCCATAGTGCATGAGGCTATGGAAGAACCAAGATCCCTCCTAAACTAATAGTTTTAACAAAGATGACAATGAAGCACACCAATTGTCAAATAAGAGTGAATGAGGAATAGTCAAAACCATAGAAAATAAGAAATAGATTGAGACAAGGAGATGCACTGGCCCCTTTACTGTTCAACTTAGTTCTTGATAAGATTGATAAGAAAGTAAGGATAGAGGGTAATAGCTAGTGTTGTAAAACAAAGCTTCGACTAGTAAAGGCTTGAGCTGTGAAGAGTTGGCTCTAGAGCCTTTAGACCTCGAACATCCAAAGCTCGAGTTGAAAGCTCATAGAGTTCTAACCTTGATGAATTAAAAAAAAAAATTGAATTATTGTACATTTTCAGATACAAACATATTTTTTCTGTTTGATGTAACAATGTGAATATATTTCTGAAATATAATATAAATAAATAGATAGAGAAAAAAAAGTAAGATTCCATCTGCGATTCAAGCCTTTTACTATCAAGCTCTTAAGAATCGAGCCTTGTCCGAAAGTCGAGAAAGCTCGAGCCTTTTCGGCTCAAGCCTTATAGCCTTCTCACCGAGCTTTTTTACAACACTAGTAATAGCACAGTCATCAATAAATCACTGTGATTAATGGCCTACGCAGATGACATATTGATTGTGGGAAGAAGGAGGGAAACAATCGAAGAGACATATGTCATCTTAAAAAGGGAGGCAGGAAGAATTGGCCTCGAAATAAATGTCAGCAAAACCAAACTGATGATTATAGAGAGAATGAGGCAGCAACAGATAACTTAAGAGGAGAAAAACTGGGATCATTGATAAGTAATGAATCCAATGAAACAGAAAAGGTCAAAAGAAGGATTCTGGAAGGAAATATGATGTATTATACACTTCCACACCTAATAAGAAGTAACCTAATCTCTCGTCTATCAGAATATACAAGACCCTAATCAGACCAGTTGTTAGTTACGGCAGTGAATGTTGGGTAATGAATAAAATAGGCTTGACAGATTCGAGATGAGGGTACTGCGAGAAAGGTTTGGTGGAGTGTGGTGAAGCAGAAAGAATAAAGAAGTATATAATATCTGCAACAATCTGTCTTTGTCAAAGTTTATACAAATAAGCAGGCTGAAATGGTTTGGCTATGTCAACTGTATGAGTGATGAGAGACAGATGAGGAAGCTATATAAAGGAAAAATCTTCGCCTCAAGAACTAAGGGTCGACCAAGAGTACGGTGGAAGGAGAAGGTGGAAGAAGATATGCGCGAGGCGGGTATCCGTTTGGTGGAGGACAGAGCAGCACATGTTGAAGCAAGCCAAGGAACACTTTAGTCTGTAGGGCCAGAAGAAGAATAAGATTGGATTTGTAGCTTAGAAATTACTCATTAAGGAAAAAAAAATTCATACAGATTCGTTCAACAAGCTATGAAATCAGCTATAGCAAATCCGCTGTTGTCAAAAACTTCAATTCATATAAAATACCAAAAAAAAATTTTCATGACCAAATGCCTCAAGTAAATTTAATAATTAACATATTTACAGTTCTATGAAAATTTAAATAAAAATTAGACACAAGTATATTTGTTAAAGAAAGGTGATATATAATTACTACTTGTTATTGAAATGGTGGAAAAAGCTTTGAATTTTTATGATAAAAAATTAAATATTCCTCAACAGAAGAGAGGTGATGAAGAAAAACAAAGTTATCCATCTACAAGTCAACATTCTTGCCCATCTTATCTTATTATGCATATCTTACTCCTTGATGTCAAGGACCCTTATCTGTAAACACAAGGCGCAGACCCAGACAATGGAGATGAGATACCTGAGAAAGGTTGAAGGAAATACCAGGAAAGATTGCATCCGCAACAAAAGTTGTGCACCTCCTTAGGATGGGGATGGAGACATATGAGGATAACATATGGGACATCAATGCAAGGAGGAAGACCACAGATCACCTGGGAGGAGCACTTTATATTGAAATCTTCAACAGAATGATCACTGAATAATAATAGTGACTCGAATAATAAAGAGGAAACTTGTCTATTGCTGAAAAAGGTGAAAGTGGACTTATCATCTTTAACCATTAGAGAGAGGGTAGACCAGTATCATCAATTAACACAATCAACTCAGTTCTAAGTCAACTATTGAATTTATTTGACAAGAAGGAGGAAATATTGAAAATCTATTTCTTCATACCTTTTGGGGGGAAAGTTGGCCAAGCGGGCTAATGCATGTGCACAGCATCACATTGCCCTGCAACCAGAAGGAAGATATGATAAAATAAATTAGGAGTTCGTGTCCCCGTGCTGGGGGAGGGAGGACTTTTTAACACTTTGGCATTAATCTCCTGCCTTCATTACCGACCCGGAAAAACCCCATTTAGCCTAAAAGATGAGGAAAGGGAGAAAAACAAAACAAAAAAAGCTTAATACCTTTATAAAGGAAGGAGATGGTCCGGGGTGGCGGTCATAGATAGGGTAAAACTATTTTTATTAAAAGCCAACGTTAGTATAGTGTTGAGAGTGAAACAACTCCTAGCTGAACACACCTGTAAGTCTCTAATTTTATTTACTTACTTATTTAATTTTTTGATTTTCTTTTCTTTCTCTACATTCCTTTATGTCTATTATTTCATATTATATCCTTTTTCCTTTTCTTTCAATCTCTTCTGTAGATCAGTAGAAGTATATTCACATTTGCATTTATTATATATTACACTACAACAATTTTCAGCATCTATTTACTTCAGTTTAGGATTTTGTTACTTAGCTTACTCTGTTCATATTTTAATGTACTTACTATTTATAATTTTAATAAGCTTATTCACATTGTTTATAATTTCTTGTCTAAATATTATGTAACTTACACAATTCTCTATCTTTTTGTATCTTGTCCATTCCAGCCCTGAAGAAGACCTGCAAAGTTGGGTCGAAACGTTGGCTTTTAATAAAAATAGTTTTACCCCTATTTATCCTATCTATGACCGCCACCCCGGACCATCTCCTTCATTTATAATGCAACTGTCAACTATTAAATATTCAATTAATACCTTTATCTATTTTAATAATTTAATTTTTTCAAAAATGTTATTTGTAAGCTTTATTCATTTGATCCTTCAATTGCATTTATTAATAATTTTATTTAATAACCTTGGGATATATATCCTATAATCCTCAGTAAATTACCATTCCATATTCATGGTGTCTAAATTTGTGGGATAAAATTACGGAATGCATCTTTTGAAAAGAAGGAGCTTTGACTGATAAACAATGTTTTAAAATCATATATTTTATTTCAGGAAGATAGAAATAGTTTACATTACCAGGTTCACCAGGTTGGCCTTGTTCCCCTCTTTCAGGATAAATCTTTTCAATTATTTGCTGAAGTATTTCTCCTCTTTCTCCCTGGTCTCCAGGTGATCCGGGCTCTCCCGAATCTCCCACGAAACCCCTATGTCCTTTATCCCCAACTAAAATCTCTTTAGGAATAAAGCTGCCTTCACCACGCTCACCATCTATTCCATCTAAACCTTTTTGACCATTTCTTCCAGAATATCCAGGTTCTCCATCACCACCCTATAATACAAAATATTAAAAAATATACTTTTAATCTATACATTTACAAGTAATTAGTCATGGAAACTGAATGACACAATATTTGGCAAAAGACCTAAAAGTAAACAAATAGATAGAATCAATAAAGATTCTGTAGAGCTAAATGAGACAAACTAGAAAGCAATTGCTCAAGATAAGTAGGGTTGGAGAAGGCTAGTTCAGACAGCTAAAGATATTATTACTTTCACTTACCTACATATGAAATATATAGTAAGGGTAAGTATTGCAATCGTGAAAATTTTCGAATCTGAATTTTCAACAGAAATACATGTTTTGAGGTCTCCTGAGTCCAAATAACCAAGTCCCGCAAAATGATCTGTTTATGTAAGTTAACAGCTCAAAAACGAAAAGTTGTACGAAACTGATATGTATTTAAAATAGGTATATGCCTTAGATGTTACAGCAACTTTTTCCTTAAAATTGACTGACCAGAAGTGCCACTTTACATCAACGGTGAAACACATTTCTACAATTTTCTCAAAAACGGCTAAAACGATTTTGATTAAACTCAGTGTATCATTGTATAATTAAATGATCTTTAATATCATTTAGGTCTTATCCCCATTGATGTCACTTTACAGGGTTTAAATGCCCAATGTTCATAAACGTCGTCCTCTAAAGTACTTCAATTTCACGTCAATGAAATACTTTGTAAATTAAGGCTAAGAGGGAAGAAATGTCATGTGATGATCATAACTGTTCACACAGCTAAGGAGTAGGTTGAGGAAGAAAAAGACATTTTCTATGATGAGTTAGACAGAGCTTTGATAGCTAGTCCATTCTCGGATATGAAAATAGTCCTGGGAGACTTTATGGTCAGGTTGGGAAAGAAAGAATTTGTATGCCTACAACAGGAAAAAATAGTTTGCACAGCAAAAGAAATAAAAATAGAATGTGAATGATAAATTTTTCTGCATTTAAAAGCTTGGTAGTAATGAGTACAATATTTCTCCACAAAGACGAGCACTCAACAAGTAGAATATTTATCCGAATTGATTACGTTCTAGTCTCTAGTAGGCATCTTAACCAAGTCAATGATGTTAGATCATACCGAGGAGCAAATGTGAACTCTGATCATTTCCTTGTCATAGCAAAGATTATCTCCAAGATAATCTACACATCCCACAGACACATCAATAAACCAAGTAAGTGGACATGAGACAAATTAAGGAAGGAGGAGACAATATAATGAAAAACTGTAAGAAAACATAAGGAACATTCCGGAAGTGAGTGGTGACAAAGAGGTGGAAGGAGTTGAAAACTTCTATCAAGGGAGCAGCAGAACAATATTGAAGAGAGAAAATCTCCAAATTAGATTCTGGTTTGATGCCGGCTGTAGTGAAACGATTAAGGAACACAATAGGCTAAAAACCAAGTGGTTGGGAAAGGATACACGACAGAATAAAAAAGATTTCCATGATGCAGGGCACAGGCTAAAAGAATCATCAAGACTAAGAAAAGAAAAAATGGATGAATGATAAGCTTCAGGAAATAGAAGATGCCAAAAGCAACAATGAGACCAGAAAGTTCTACAAAGAGGTCCAGCAGCTGAAAACAGATATTAGAAATAATAACCTGCTAATAAGGAATGAAGATGGGCATCTAGTGATTACAGAAACAAAGCTGCTAGAACACTGGTAGAAATACTTTCAGACACTCCTGAAATCTGAACATAATATTGGAATCATGAGCCCAGTAAATTATGAGTTTTAGCAATGGAGATGAAGATATTCCACCAGGAAAAAAGGATATTGAAGCTATTGTAAAGAAGCTAAAATGCAACGAGGCTTTTGGACCAGATGGGACACATGCAGAATTTTTAAAAAAGGCAAATGACGCATTAGCCAGTGTGGCCTAATCTGACACATTTGGCCAGTAGAAAGGATACCAAAACAGTGGTCAGAAGCATTAGTCCTTCCACTCTATAAAAACAAGGGGGGCAGAACAGATTGTAAGAAATATTGAGGAATAAGTCTTCTACATACATCATACAAAATTTTTTCTATAGCCCTCCACAATCACCTACTGCCATATATGGAGAGCAAGCTGGGAGATTATTAAGGAGGTTTTAAGCCCAATGGATCTACTATCGATCAAATTGTCTGAACTGTTCCAGGCAATGAAGGAAATGATTTTCCTGAGATGAAATAATCGATTTTTTGTGAGATGATATAAAGTGCCACTTCCGGTTCACAGATTTTCACAAAAAAGTTGCTATTACATCCTGGGCATATACAAACCTTAAATACCCAATTTCAGTTCCGTATGACTTTTGTTTTTGAGCTAGACTGTTCACAAACCATTTTGCAAGACTTGGTTATTTGGACTCAGGGGACCTCAAAATGTGTATTTCCGTTGAAAACTCAGATTTGAAAATTTTCACGATTGTGATACTTACCCTTACTATATATTTCATATAAGTAAATGAAAGTAAAAACAGTATTTTTTTTCATGAAATAATTGACAAAATTACTACATGTGTTATGCTCCTTTAGGAGACCATAAAAACCTTTGGATCTTAAAATTATCATAATATATATTAGGACCATAAATTAGTTCTGACTATTTCCTAACAGATGACAGAAGCAGTACTAAGTGAGTTTCATTTGGTAAGCTTGAGCTTGGACTTGAGGGTATATTAGTTGGAATTGAAATGCTGTCAGAAAGGTAGGAGAAAATAGTGGCTGGTGATCACCAGTACTTTGAATTACTTTTTTACTGGTTACTTTAAACAAAGCATTAATTATCACAAAAAGCAGTGACAAGTTATTCGATCCTAATAGTACTGACAAATATACCACTAGAGTCAAACTTTTTTATATAAGGGGATTTCTTTAATGACTAATTTTATAACCTTTTCTCCTTTTGGACCAAGTTCTCCCATGAATCCAGTATCACCATACACGCCCTTAATTCCTTCTGGCCCATCATCCCCTCGTATTCCCTTCTCTCCTTTATCACCTTCTTCTACTCTTGGTGGGAATCCTATCAAATCACCTCTGTCTCCTTTATCTCCTTCCTCACCTTTCAGACCTAAAACAGGTATAGAAATATTAATTATGTCATAGGTGAAACTATAAAACGATAAAAAATAATTTATCGTGAATAAAAAAGAAAATATCTTCATACACAGAGAGGACTATAAGTAGAGAGAGATGTGTAAGGAGGTGATGGTAGACCTTGAGAACTCCTATTAAGTTTATATAAGCCATGGTCTGATTTTCCTCAGAAAAACAAAAAATTTCAGTTTTCTGTTTTGTAAAACTAAGTTGTGTTTTTTGGTCAAAAGAAAGGAATAATTTAATTTAGGTTATTAAAAATTCCTTTATAGCAAACTACTTGAAATGAAATAGAGTTTATTATAGCTAAACTCATTTAAAGAGGTGTTTTAAGTTTCCAAACTACTCCAACTTCTTTTTTTCATAAAATCATTGATCCTTATTGTATTGAGTGACCACCTAAACCTAATATTTATGTTTTCCTGAAAATAATTCAGGAAATTGGTGAGTTAATCATTTTCATAAACGTTAATTAATAGTAATAATAATCTATCAATTTAAATTGATAATGATGTCCTGTAGGCCTAAAGGTAGGAATGGCGAATCCAAATGATCTTGCTGACCACATATAAAATTATATATCCCAATAATAAATTTAGACCCACTATAGACATTTTTATGGAGTGTGAAAATTGAAACATAATGAGTTATTATTATTGTGTTTACTTTAATGTAGCACAGATCATGAGTTTGCAGAATATAATTTAATTATTCTGCCAACTCATAACTGTAAAACCCTAACTGAAATCGGCAATATCTGTCATATATTTGTGAGAATTTTTGAGTCAAAGTTAATTATTGAACATATGGTTGCACAAATAATGTATTTTAATCATACATTGATCTTCATTATTTTGGCCATTATAAAATAAATATAAATATAAAATAAATTATTTAAAAGTGTGATGAATCTCATGGTCCAGAATAATTTTCAAGGCGGTCTGTGGGTTGGCCACCTTCTGTTTGAAAGTAATAGCTCATTATTATAAATTAAGATTTATAAAAAAAATTCAGCCACTGCTTAAACTATTTTCATGAAAACATAAATATTAGGATTAGGAACATTTAGTTGGTCACTTAATGCAATAAAGATAATAGAGATATATGTAAAAAAAACTGGTACATAATCACTTTAGATAATAGGTTTTAGAGTATAGGGCATGTTGGCTTGAATCCGACCATGGGTCGGATAAAATTTATTTTGTGGTTGTCCCACAGAATGAATTTCAACCTGATTAGACTGGGCTTGCTTTTACATTTAAAACAAATTAGTATATCATAAATAGCAAGGTAGAGAATAATTTAGAAAAAAAAGATGATAAATTTTAGAAAAAAGAAATTATTTTATAACATTTTTTAAAAATAAATTAAAAGTGTATTTTTGTAATGAATTTATTATAATACATCCCAATCATAAATTAAAACCTTTTAACAATTTATTGTATCATTTTTACTGAAAACACAAGTACTTTTGGGAGAAAGAATATGAAATCATATAGATGTTTTAAGCGATTAGAGATTAATTTCAACTTACTCTGAAAAAAATTACAACTTAATTAATATGAACCTTAAAGCTTATTAAACAAGCAAATTTTCCTAAAAGTTTCTATATCTGTACTCCAAGAGGATAATAAAAACAAATTAACAAACATAATTTTGTGAAAATCAGAACTTAGGAGTAATTTAGCAAACTCAAAATGCCCTTTTAAATGTTTTTAACAATAATAAACTCTAGTTGATTTTTAAGTAAATATTTTTCAATTATTACTCCCTTTATATATAACCGAAAAATGCAACTTACTATGGGAAGCAACGGGTGGCCGCAGACTGCAATAAAACTTTTCTTGTGATACTTGGTTGAAAAATATTGAAACCATGTCCGAACGACAGTTCTAGGCAATGTCCCATAGGAACCAAGAAAAAAAAATTTGATAAAATTTAATATTTTTGATATAATTAATATTGTATTTTTTTTGTCTTTGATGTGCACGGATCTTTAGGTTATAATATAGGAATCAATTTTTTTTGTGTAAAAATATCGCTAATTTTAATTTATTAAACAAATCCAAATGTTTAATAAATTAAAAAAATCAAGAGATACTTCCAGTAAAGTAGGTCAAGTAAATTTTTTCCATGAAAAAGCGATCCAGATTCGTTATTAGCGTCTTTTAAAATTCTTAAATGCAACTTGTTTTGAATTAAAATTTCGTGGTTCTAAGGATCGGCAAGAACACTTATTTGAAATTGGGGATCCCATATTCACTAAATTCATCTTTTTAGTTTAAAACGAACAAAATAAAACACCCGGAATTTCCTGATTTTATGAAGAAAATCAGAACATGGTTTATATAAACTTTTTTGTATCACATGATGTCTCCAGCCACATTTTCAAATATTTCTGTTTACTTATCGGACTGTATATAAGCATATTTACAAATGTGCATTTATATTTAGCTAATTTAATTTAAGAATGTTGGTAATTTCTTATAAATTTTTGTATGAAGGTAGGAGTAAAGTAGATTATATTTTAAAATTATGTTTAGTTTATTGTATGACAGGGGTCCTCTACATCAAACATGCTGAGTTGGAAGAAAAGTAAGGAAGATGGCTGGATGGAGTGGCAGCAGATTCTTGACTGTTTCTTGAAAACTGAAATTGAACAGCTGCAGCATAAGGTAGAATCTACTGGTAGAGGCATGAATTTAGCAATAAGTTGTTACGACATCAAGTAATAGTAGTAGCAATTATAATGAAAATTAAAGGTCATTTAAAATCAATTTAAAATTATTTTTATATTTATATATTGTTATAATTTAATTTATTAATATGTTTTAAATAAGTAAAACTTTGAACATTAAACTAAATAAAATAGAAAAGCATGGAACAAATACAACCAATCCTGGAACAATTACCTTGTAGAAGGAAAATGAAATTTTTTTAAATTATTAAATTGAAACTGGATTTCCAAACAAAAACAGACAAGAGTGTATATTTGAAAAGAACATAAAAAAGAAAAAGAAAGAAAGAATAAAGAAAAGACTAGTTTTGATTGTAATTTTTAATTTTGATAAAATAATCTTTCATTAATAAATTACAGTGTTTTTTGAATTTTAATCTTATTTGGCATGCAATAAATAACCAAAATTATTGTTTAATACATATAAATATTTAAAGATGAAAAAAATATATATAAAATAATAAAAATCTTTATATATTTTTTTCTTTTATTTCTTCTGAGTATTTTCTTCAATTGAGGAAAAAAACAACTATTCTTTGATACAAAGAAAAATAAATATATTTTTCGGCTAAATGCGTTTGTAAAGTTTCTAAAATTATAAATGAAAACTCACCACGAATGCCTGGTACACCATATTTTCCAGGAAAACCAGGCTGTCCGCTGAAACCCTTTAATCCTCGTCTACCTTTGGGCCCTGGTGGTCCGACCGCTCCAGGGTTTCCAGGGTGCCCATGACGAGCTTGATCTCCAGGTAGTCCTTTAACCCCTTTCAAACCTTCAAGCATAACATTTCCATTATCAGTCTTTTGATTCAAACTTATTTTATTTATTAATGTACTAAGGGGGCAGCTTATGTTTGCCTGACGGCAAACCAATCCCCATTTTACCAATGATACAACTGTTCATTTAATTGTACGACTTGTTGCTCAAATAGTATAACTTTAATTTACCTGTATTCTTAAATTCAGATTGTATTATTTTTTATCAACTTAAAAAAAAAAATTCACACAAATTTTTAGTCTAAAATCTTTATTTTGTATTAGGTGAGTAGGAGGTAAAACAAGAGCTTAATCCATATGTAATTAAATGAACAGCTGTATAACTTGTAAAATAATTGCCAAGATTATGTTATCTCTTATACTAAAATAAAATATGAAAGTAGCTAACAACTTTTTTATATAATAGAGAGAAATGAATAACAACTCACCAAGAGATAGAAATTAAATGTTAGGTTATAACTGGAAAAATTCCAATCAGACAGCCTTAGGTCTCTAAAATGCAGGTAAATAAGAAAATAACCCATCAACATTTCGCTAATTCAGGAATCATCAGAACAGAAAATAAAATAAACCTAACATCCAATCATCGCTGAGCATCCACCAATCCATTATGCTATTGGATATTATGGAAAGAATTTTGTCATATAAATTCCAACATTTTACTCATATTATAACTGTATGTCAAATACATATTTCTTCTTAAGCCCAATGGTTACCAAAAGTAGAATTACATGCACAAAATTTGTTATTTCGTCAAGATTAGAAGAATAAAGCATGTATTGTACATATCATACACAGATTATACCATCAAATATATTTTTTGGGGATAAAAAGAGATGATATTCGTTTTTTGTACCGTTAAAAACCATTAAATAAAACTTTTCGTTGCAATCGAAAAATCTAAATTTTTTGCTCAATATGCAGACTTTTATTAATTAATCATCTTATGAGATCCATCTATGTTAATAGTAGATATTAGTAAAGCAAAATACACTTATTTTTCCATTGAAATTAAAATTTATTTAATATTTAAAATTTTAATATCTATTATAAAGCTTTAAACATAGATGGATCTCATAAGATCTATGAATAAAAGTCCAAATATTGAGCAAAAAATTTAGATTTTTCGTTTACAACGAAAATTGTTATTTAAGGGTTTTTAAAGGTGTAAAAAACAAATATCATACCAGAAATGGCATGGTAGGAGGTTATGGCAAAAAAAAAAAAAAAAGGTCTGAAAGAGCAATGAAACAGTATTGTAATCAATTTATTGAAAATTGAGGTAATAATAAATCATTATATAAATATGCAAACACAAAATGGTTCAGCCCCTTTTTCTCCTCTATTATTCAACCGATTTTCTTCCTTCTTTTTTTGTTTAATAATTATTGAAGAGCTTTAGTGTTATCACAATACTTCCATTCGAATTTCAAAGAAAAATGTTCTTATTAATAGCTGCATTTGCTATGATCATAATCAAATCGCGGAGTCAAAGTTTTGGAAAAATTTGTGCATTATTGCGGCATCCAGTAATTTTGCATGGACAATTATATGTGGCAGCAATTAGAGCACGTTCATTTAAAATTTTGAAATTTATATTTCCAATGGCAATGGGCAAGACTATGTACTAAACAATAACAGAACATTCAAAAAGAACATTTGTTACAGAGAAGTTCTGCATAAAAATGGATTTAAACTGAATTGAAATTGCAAATTTAAATTTATTTTTTACTTGCTTAATCATAACATTAATTTATTGTGATAATAACACACATAAATTAAAATAGAAATTAAATATTTTTAAATGAATCTATTTTGTATTACTTATAAATAATTGTAAGTAGTTTAAGATCGATTTTTATTTGAAATTGAAATTTTGTTTATATTAATAAATGAGGATTTTTGAATCGTGACATACTCTTTATTTATTGAATTTATTTTTTATTTAATTATATGTTTTCCTCAAATTTGTAATAGCTATGGTCGAATCCGGACCACTGGGCGAACACTAGTTACATTAAATGTGCTTCGTAAGAAATATACCATTTCTAAGGGCTCTGTTCAACAAATATATCTCATCACTCAATATAATAATTAAAATAATTTTTACTAATGAGATAACTTCATTTCATACAAAAATAACCTCCTTTGTAACATATATTAATTTTATTTGTCACATAGCATTACAAAGTTGACGCTTCGGGAACATTTTTTTCCATCATCAGAACTGTCTGGAGTTTTTGTCAAAATTCTTTTTGGAGTGATCTCCTTCGTCAATAACATTTTTATTTTTTTAATTTAACGTCATCAGGATGTCTTATATCTTGAAGATATATGTTGCCTCTCGTAATGTTAAATTAAAAATAAAATAAAAATGCTATTGACAAAGGGAGCATAACAACAAAATAAAAAAGAATTCTGAAAAACCTCTACACAAATATGAAGTGTCAACTTTGTAATGCTATGTGACAAATAAAATTAATATTTGTCACAAAGGAAGTTATTTTTGCCAAGCTCTAAAGTATTAATTTAAAATTTCCCACCAAAAAAAAGGAAATCAAAATAGTAATAACAAAAGGAAAAATAGCAAATAAATTTAAAGATATACTCACCAGGAGGACAAACCCCACAATCATCTCCACGTCGACCTTTTTCACCCCACCTGCCATCTCGGCCATTATCACCAGGTTCGCCTGGCTCTCCTGGAGGACCTGGAAGACCTTTTTCACCTGGAGGGCCCATGGGTGGTGTCACTCCAGGTATTCCTGGGCTTCCTTTCTCACCTAAAATATTATTTCATCAATTATATAGTAGTAATTTATTAATAAATTCTTTAACAAAACAATTTATTTTAAAAATACATCATCAATCCTTTATCCTTTGAAACCATTGTGTCATCTACTAGTAATGATTTTATGATTTATTGAATAGCAAGACATTAACTGACTGGACAAAAATGTAAAAAGTACAAGGTATGGTAAAAATTATATCCGGTTATAACATGACAACTGTTATATAATAAAAATATATAATAAATATATAATAAAACTATTATACACCCAACAATAGATCAAATAGTGTCATGGATCTTCAAAATGTAATTTATTTAATTGAAGAGAAGGATGGTTGGGATGATCAGTCAAATTGAAATGGTAAAAAATAAATAATAATTGTATTTTTTACCATTTCAATTTGATTGATCACCCCAACCATCTTTCTCTTCAATTATTCACTTCAATCAACCATAAATCCACAATTAAGTAATTTATTTAATTCTTCGTCTTGAATTTTTTTCAGTGCACCCAGAGCATTCTTAATCTCCAAGAGTAAAAACATTATTTTTCAAGCATCAAAACCAGTCTCTACATGTCGTTTCCGACAGGGCATGCTCTCTGTAAGTCTCAACTGGAATTATAAGTGTTAATTAATTATAAATTATTAATTATGGGCATTATAAGTGTTAGTTAAATAATTATAATCACTGAAAGCTTCTTAAAAGCTGATGTATCCAAGTGAAATAGTAGCTTGCTCCTTTTCTTTTTTTTTTTTTGTCCAAGCTTACTGACAGTAGTTCGTGGAAAAAGGGAGAACTTATTATAGGTATAATATTTAGGAAAACTGGTGATTATTTAGTTCCTGAGCTACTAAATTGTTGATATAATACTCTTAACCTTTTTTAAAAACAAACTTACCTATTGGTCCACGTTCCCCTATATCTCCGTGAAGACCAGGAGAACCAGTATATCCTGGTCTTCCTGAGGGCCCTTTAGGACCGATCATAGTTTCGCCTGCTTTGCCTTTAAAACCTGGAGCACCCATAGGTCCAGGGAGACCTTCTTGTCCAACTGGTCCAGTAGGGCCTTGGACACCTGAATCAACAAAAATGTAAGATGATGAAATTTCAGAAAATTTCTATATTATTTTTATAAGATTGGGCAAGGAGTAATAACAAAAAACTTTCAACTATATATAACTTTGAGAATTTTAATGTTGTTACGATTACTAAGTAGATAGTCATAATTTAAGCGTTGCCCACTTTAACATTCTCGAATCTAGCGGCTAGAAATTGTTCTAGACAGATTGAGATTTATTTTGTGATGGATCCACGAAATGAATTTCAAAATTCCCCTTATTAGAACAGGTTTGGTAGTAAATTGTTTAAATAATTAAATTGTTGTTGAAATAATTTGAAAAACAATTAAAAATAGAAACCAGTTCACCATCGAACTACATATATTATATCTTAAGGGTCAGTTGCTCCATCACAATAAACCTTAGATTAAGCGTTATCTAAGATTAGATCGATGTTCACATGTCGCTCCACATGACGAAGCTGAGGTCCAAAATTGAGTTTAAACTTAATCGGTCGAGCATGGGCGCTAAAGTTTTACTTTGAAAGATAAACTTAGACTGTAAGTAACCTTCCATTGTATTTTTGCTATCATTTGTATTTAACTTTTCTATTTAAAAAAGTGGAAATGATCGATATTAATAACTTGATAACTGGCGAGGGTTTCCTTAAATTAGTTGTACTTTCACTGATGGGAAAAGAAGTGTTTCGTCCTGGAATGAATAATTTACTACATTGGTTGAATGAAGAATTTTTTAATAGATTTTGGCTTTCTAAAGGAACTGTTCTTTATATTTTGTGCCGAAAAAAAAAACCAGTCATTTCAAATGCTATAGAGAGAAACCTTAACATTTCTTTCATTATCTTATGCATAGCTAAATTAAAGGAAATTAAATTATTCCCATTTTGGAACCTTAAATTGATCATTGCCTTGTAACAGCTACAGTTCTTAACATAATGTTAACATTCTATTACTGATCTATTTTTCTTATTTTCATATTATCTTATTTAATGAAGAGAAGAATAGTTGGGGTGGTCAGTCAAAAAGGAAGGCAAATATAAATGATGATATTTATTTTTTACATATGCCGACGTTTCGACCTGAAGTTCAGGCCTTCATCAGGGCTAAGAAAATAACCAGATAACATTTTATGTTTTACATTTTATTCTAAGATTCCCATTGTAACACTTTTGTCACCCCTTTTTGATTATGCTTACTTCATCGTTCCACACTTTGTAACGGTTTTTATTATTTATCTCTTATTTCTTAGTCATTATTCTAACAATTTCATTTTACTTTATATTTATCTATTTTATTTTTCTAATTTTTTTATTTTATTTCATATCTCATATCTTGTTATCTGGTTATTTTCTTAGCCCTGATGAAGGCCTGAACTTCAGGTCGAAACGTCGGCATATGTAAAAAATAAATATCATCCTTTATTTTTGCCTTCCTTTTTGACTGACCACCCCAACTATTCTTCTCTTCATTATCCACGACAGTCAACCAATTACCAATTATGTATCTTATTTAATGTATTTGTAACAGTACTTTATCAATATTGTCTGTGATATTTCTTTCAGATTTTATGCAACTGGGTAATTCTTAAATGTTAGTGAAAATTTCAGTTGCTTTCACTAATCATCTGTCTGCAGGATTATAATGGAAGTTTCAAGATCCATAGCCTCTTAAAAAAAATAACTATAATTTGAGATATTTTGAGGGTTTTTACTGTTTTGGGAATTCGGGAACCTAATGCTATTATTACACTTTGTGACAAGAAATAATAAGAATATATATTTATCTGAAATGTGGGACTGAGTAAACTCACTTTGAATGAATTAAATCACCTGGTTTATCGTTCTTCAATTGAGAGACCTCTAGGACAATTAAATAAAAGAATTATTCACTCATATATAACGAAATATTTTATTTTGGCAACTGCAATAAATGAATCTATTAAAGTCTTATAACTGTAGGCTTGATCTTGTTAATCTTGAGTGGAGTGGGCTTCTCCCCTCTGGTAACCTCCTTCCTTCTTCCTGTCAGGTGTTTTCTTCGTTCTTTTCTAGCTGCTGCTACCTGCCAATACTTTTCCAGGCTTTTTCCTTTCTTTGTTCTGTACCTATTTCGTCGATTGTTTATCAATTTGATACTTTTCAATAAACAACTTATCCACTGCACAATTGAGTCCAATTCATAGTGCAACCCTACATTCCTATACACTCTTTTTTATTCCCTCACTCAATGTCACATTAAGGAGTAAATACTAGAGGCCACTAACGGATCCAGGATTTAATTTTGGGAGGAGGCTTCAGCCCGAAAGATTTTTTTTTCTATACATATATTACACTAATTACTTCGGAAGAAAGAAAGAAACTAACTACCTACATGAAATGGTGTTTAAGTGATTCTTTAAGATCTATTAAATGTAATTAGATGAACAATAATACTTTTAGAGATAATTTTTTTCATAAAATATAGTTATATTTTACCATTTGGGCAGGAGGTGCTTCAGCCCGAAAACCTCCCCCCCTCCGCCGTAGATCCACCTATGCTAGAGGCCATCTACTACATATCCCTACTGTTAAACTTTTAAATTTTGTGTTCGAGAGAGAACAACAAAATTTAAGAAAATATGGCCATAATGAAATGAACTTTTTGTGAATAATGGAAATTTGAAATTTTCATGTGCATACTTAAAATTATTTCTAAATGCACTCATGCATCGGCAAAAGAAAAAAAGTTTATTTAAATGAATATATAAAAAATACACGACATAAAAATACATAATATATTAAAACGCCTGTATCCTATCCTAGACTCTAAACAAATTATCCCAGATCACCATTTTGGATTCCGCACATCCGACTCCACTATACCATGCTATCGTGTGGTAGATGTAGTCTCCTCTGCATTGGAGTATGTAATGTACTGCACGGGAGTCTTTCTCGACGTTGTTTAAGATTTACATCTAAATCCTATTATCGCTAGTTAAATGTGAATACAAAATTCAACAAAGAAAATGGATTATATCTTCCATGGAAATAAATTTATGAGTAATCCCTATTATTTATTATTAAACCAGTTTGTGTATTACTATTATTTATATATTTTTTAATTTTATATCCATAAGAGAATGTCTGTGTTTGTAACCATAAATTTTCAAAAATATTATTTTAGCATTCTCCTAACCTGGGTCTATAGCACCAAGTTTTTGTTTTATCCGGGAAAGTTCTCCTATCAGCTTTAATTTCTTTTGAATCCCTGATGTCTATAACTTTGTCCTTAGGTTTAGGAGGTCTATCATTAGTTATGATGTCTGTTAAAGTTTCTCCTTTTTCAGCTTCACTTATATTGTCAACATCAGTCTCTTCTACTACTGGCAAATCAGGGTTGATGTTATCAGACCTAAACTCATCTTCCTTCAATTCTTCAAGATGGGGAATCACTAGGAAGTAGTGATGATGAAAGTACTAAGAAGAGTAAACATGGTGAGGATCCTATAAATGTACGAAGTACTGAAAACATTGTAGTTGATGATAATGAACATTTAGATGGAAGTCCTACTAATGAAGAAATAAAGGAAACCACTGATGATGGAAAGGATTGTGGGAATACTGTTATTTCAGAAGAATCCATGGCTGAAATAGTCAATGAAAGTGAGCCAGCCGGGGCTGAGAAAGAGAAGAAAATTGATGAAGAAAAAGAAATATTAATTGAAAAAGAATTACTGAAGGAAAATGGTTTCCTTTATTTGTACAGAACAAAGAAAGGAAAAAGCCTGGAAAAGTAACTGCAGATGGCAGCAGCTGGAGAAGGACACGGGAGAACAAAGAAAACACTTGAGGCTGTGACAGGAAGAAGGAAGGAGGTTACCAGAGGAGAGAAGCCCACAAGATTAAGAAGACCAAGCCTACAGTTGTAAGATTGTAAGTTGTAATAGATTCATTTATTGCAGTAATCAAAATAAATATAAATAAAACATCAAAATAAAATATTTTGTTATACAGAAGTGAATAGTCCTTTTATTTAGTTGTACTATAGGCCTCACAATTGAAGAACAATAAACCAGGTGAGTCATTTCATTCAAAGTGTCAGTCCCACATTTCATATATATATATATATGAAGCCAATCATGAATGGCTTAGTAAGATTTGTCAATGGAACCCCGAGACGTTCTCGTGTATCTCACTACTACGCCAAGTTAGGATGGCTCTTCCCCTCTTTCAGAATACAATATTTCCTAGGTGCATTCCTTTACCAAATAATCTATAATCATTGTCCGTCCTATGCATTCAATCTCCTTCAATTCTAGTCATCTATCCACTCCTTCTCCACAAGATATCGTCCTTCTGACCTTTATACCCCTTTCCACAAATCTGCCTCATTTCAACACTCCTTTACAATCACTTGGGTATACTACTTTTAGTACAATCCTTTGTTTCACGAAATGATAATTTATAAATACACTAATCTGACTTTAATTCACTCACATGTACAAATTGTTATAGTTGTAACATATATCTTACCATCTCTTCCTGGTTCTCCTTTGATTGAAAAGCCTTTAAGTCCCTTTGTTCCATCTCGTCCAGGGTTACCTGGACGTCCAGTTGGTCCCCTAACTCCAGGTTTGCCAGGAGGCCCTTTATAGCCTCTTTCTCCTTTAGGACCATCATATCCTACAAGAAAAATCAGAATGTCATGAAATAGAAACCTTTTGTATTCATAACATCAAAACATTTAATAACCAAGGACAACTAACCTGGTGGACCTTGTTTTCCAGGAGGTCCTTTGACAACTCCAGTATCCAGGCTTGGGTCATAAACACCAGGTAGACCTTGATTTCCCTGGGGTCCAGGCCGACCTGGCCAACCATCATCTCCACTCTCACCCTGTTGGAAAAAGAGGCGAAAGGTAAATTAGTTCTGTATATAGTAACAAAAGATTAATACAATTACAAACACAGTCAAGTCTACTTTGCAAAATTATCTGGGAGCATGCAAATGTTTACAATATATAATAATAATCTTTATTTATTCTGGGACAGGTCTCTTTAGAATAAACTATGATGGAAGAATTGAGGGCTTTAGAGCCTCAGATGTAAATAGTAAAAAAAGGAACAAAATAAATTATAAGCTAGTTTCTAAAATAATAAATAAATGGTAGACTAAAAACATGGATAATAACTGCTTGGATAGAGAAATTTTTGGAAAAAAAACTAAAAGAGGCTGGTATTCTTGTGGGGAGGAAGGAGAGACAAGGAAGAAAATGGACTAAGAAAGAGCGAAAGGAACAGTCCAGGAGGATTGAAAGACTATTGGAGTGGAAGAAAGATGGAAGGTGGCTGATTTGTATTTAAAAAAATAAAAATAAAATAAATGTAAAATAAAAATATTTGAAAATTAAATAATTTGCAAACATATTTGCAGGAACGCCTAATTACAATCTTTTGGGAACTGGAGAGGAAGTGGTTGAATAGGCAGGATCTATAGGTGGAGAGGGTATTGGAGTGCTTGTTGTAGGAAGGGATTGAGCTTCATAGAAAGGATTAGATAATGAAAGTCTGTCAGAAGGTGCAATTCGGTATGTAAATCTGAAAACCAGGAACGAGTATTGTGGGACTGAACAGAGGAATTGAATTGAAGAAACTTGGAAATGCAGAAGGGGTGGTGGGATCGGGTGATTTGGAAGAGGAAGGATGCCAGGAAATACTTACTTCAACTCTTTATATTAACAGGAGGTAGGGGCTATTTTATAACTTTTGTCATCCAAAACAATTATTATATTAAATTTAACAAATTAGACTATTACTTAAAAATTTACAATGAGTACCCTTTAAATAAAGGGGCATAAGTGCATTTTGGGAAAAAATAGTTCTAAGTGCAAGGCTGATCAGGAAATTTGTCAATTTACTTAGTAGTTGAAGATATACATGAGTTGTCCTTCCAGTGCTCAAATGCCGATCACTTAACTTTCAAACACTGAATTTGAAAATATTACCAGTTTTAAGATAGCATGTTTTGCTAGAGGCATCAGCAGTGAAGATGGAATTTGAGGTCAAAGATGTAGTGGATGGGCTACTTTAAGTGGCATAGAGTGAGAGAATGATGATAAAACGAAAGGGATGGATTGAGCGCACAATTAGTTAGACACAACTGTGCAGTAAAAAAGTTGTGTGGAAATTGCTAAATGTGTATGTATATGCAATTGGTGAACAAAAAACAAGGAACAAAGAAGCTTTAAACAGTGTACCGCATAGAAAAGCAAGCATTAGCAAGCAAATAGATAGACACTAGTGTAAGAGAGAAGAGTGGGGATAAAAGCCTTAGCTGGGATGTGGATATAAGAGGTCCTTGTGACAGCATGAGAAAGCCACTACTCTACTGAAGTGTTTGTCAAGTATAGAAGAGGAAGCTCTGAGAAGACTTTTAATTATTATCCATTATGTGACTATTTCGTTAAAATAAATTACTTGCGTTGGTCAGGAGTGAATACGTTTCTTTTTATTTAGTTTTCTTACATGCCTCAACATCTTTTGTTTAGACAGCTCAATATCGATGAAACAAAGTGAGTCCAATTCATTCCAAGTGTATTCACCCATTCTAAACTTTCATATGTACTTATTATTCTTGCCATTAAAGGATTAGTTACCCTAATTCCCAATGGCAGTAGACACCATCAAAAAGTTTTATCTAGAGGTTTAGTTTTAAAATTAAAGAAAAAATTCAAAACTTTCTAAAGAAGCTTTTTATCACCGATGGAATATAAATACATCGAGAGCTAAATGAATGAACAATGAAGCTACTATACTAACCTTATCTCCGTAATCACCATCCCTGCCAGCATAGCCAGGCGCTCCCTTCTGCCCCTTCAGTCCTGAAGGTCCAGGTGACCCTATCCTGCCAGGTTTACCGATCGGCCCCACTTTACCCTGGCCACCCTTATCACCCTTGACACCAGCACGGCCAATTTTCCCCTAGAACAAAAATTAAAACAATCTCTCCTTTTTGATTCTGTTAACAGTTGTAAACATTTATGTCTTAAAACTAATATGAGTCATATTTAAATAAAAATAAATTTTATTAACGCCAAGGTTACATTTAATAAATTTCAACTTCTAAAATAAATAATTTGATAACAAAATAATTGGAGTATAATATATTATAGTAATTGTTTCTAGAAAATAAATACTTGTAATAGTGCAGTTACCAGAATTGGGTGGAAATTATCCGATTGACTAATGAAAAATAAATTTTAATTTATAAAAAAATAAACAATCAATGAATTTTTTTTAATTCGCTTGTCGCAAATAACAAAGGACGAATAAGGATTTTCCTTATTCTTAGAGTCTTATAGAGGTTTTTAATTTTTCGAAAACTGTTTTGGTTATAATTATTTTTAATTTTTAAAATAATTCTTTTTAAAGAACTAGAAACATATCATTAGAAATATCCTCTTTCTCTATTCAACCAGACTGAGCCCCAGCAATGTGTGGCCTGGTAAAGCCAGTAAGTATATAAAAAGTAAAAATAAATCAACTAAATGATAAGTACAAATAAATAAATAAGTATGCAAAAAACAACAGAGCTAAGAATAACTGATTTGAATTTTTTGGAATTATAATTACAATTACTTTTTATAATTAAAAAAACTCAACCCACTTATTCTTAGTTACTTTTATTAAAAAATAAAAATAAATTAACTGATTGATAAATACAAATAAATAAATAAGTAAAGACTATGAAAAAAACAACAGAGAAAAGAATAATTGAGATGAATTTTTCGGAATAATAATTCCAATTACTTTTATAACTAAAAAAATTCATCTCACTTATTTTTAGTTACTTTTAATAAAAAATAAAAATTAATTAATTGAATGATAAATACAAATAAATAAATAAGACAGAAGTATGCAAAAAATAAGAGAGCTAAGAATAACCAAGATTTTTTTTAATTATAAAAATAAATGGAATTATAATTCAAAAACTTCACTTCTATTATTCTTAGCTGCTGTTGTTTGTTGCTTACTTTTTCTTTTGCTTTCACTAATGACCACTAACACCAGATGGCTTCTAGGTGTTTTAATTTCAATAATATAGATAGGTTATAGGTTAAATACTTTTTGGTGAAATAAAAAATATTAACCTAAAGTAATTTTATTTTAAAACAAGATTTAAAGAAAGTTTTATTTAATAAATTTGTATTTACTTGAAAACCAGGCTCTCCGCCATCACCATGCATGCCCTTCTCTCCCTTTTCACCTTTGGGTCCTTTCTTGACTTCTTTGCTTATGAGGTAACCGTTACCTTTACTCATACGTCCAGGAGGTCCCTTCTCCCCTTTCTCTCCTTTTGATCCTTTAGGGGCCCTGACTGAGTCACCATCTTCTCCTTTTTCTCCTGCATCACCTGGTATCCCCAGAGGTCCCTGATTAAAATTATTTCATTGAATAAAAAAAGTCTATCAATAAACAATTAAAATGAGGATTGAAAGGATAAACCATTCAATAAATTATAATCATGGCGTTAAAATATTTAAGCGCTGATTACTAATACATACATATCAACATTTCGGTCAAATTTTTGTAACTGGATAATGATAGTGTCAAATAACAGCTAAAACAAGTTAATTTTTTTTTTAAGTTGGTCATCATTACCACTCTTTTGAAATTTTTGTTTCAATTTCCCTAGATGACAAAATTCATGATCTTGCTGAGATTAACAGCTGGGTATCAATAGAAAGTATAGGTAACTTTTTTTGTTGTTGTGATTCTAGTAGAAATTAATAAAATCCGTCTATAATCAACCTTGTCTGGTACAAAAGCACAGCATTACATGGTCTCAAATGATAAGTTTTTGCTAACATGTTTTACTTTTATATAACAATAGTTTTAATAAATTTTCAATTTCAAGCTTATTAGCTATTTGAGATAGATAAATTAAGATAAATACCTCATCACCTAATATTCCCTGTTCACCAGAAAGACCAGGATATCCTCTGTAACCAATTCCTCCCTGAAAGAGAAAAAAAAATTGTTTAATTAAAGATTGCTGCCTTGGTGTAAAGGGTTGCTACAACATACCACATTTCATAGATCGTCAAAGAAATAACTAATATTTTTTTTTCCTACGCCTATTGACTTCGAGGGGACATACAAGTTTAAGACATACAAACAAGTTATGACACAACAACATAATATAAATAAAATTATTTGAAATAATAATAAAAAAAAAATTAAGAAGTTTCTAATATTTAATTTTTCTGACTTAAAAATTTTCTTCTTAAGGCGCTCACTTGTCCGCTGATTTTTGTAAAAGTGAATTTGACTAAATAGGTACTATTAAATGTAATCCATAATATGTGTAATGAATATAAAATATTATCAGAAATAATATATGAAAATACAAAGATAAATAACACTATGGTATATAATGTGAGATAATTTAGTATAAAATTCAATATTTTTTCTTTCGAGCATTGGAAATTATTTTTTTAGATTCTAAAGACATTATTTATTCATGACTATCAAGATAAGAAAATATTTACCGATTTTAGATAAAAGAGCAGTAGCTATATAAAATTATTGAAAAATATTTTGTAATATCTCTCTTATATTTTTAACTAGTTACAATAATATAACCTCGTGGCAGATCACTTTATACTTTCGGGATACTTTCTAAATAAATAAGAGGTTATTAAATAATAAACACAATTATAAGAGTATTAATATATTAAATTGAACTTTATAATTATTTTATCTCAGGTATGGATTACTGACAATCAGAACAAAATATTCAGACAGACTAACATTAACTACATTAAACACTGTTTTAACTGTTCAATATTAATTTATTAAACCCTTTTTACCCACTTCCAAGAAAGGTGTTCATTACAATTTATTTATTTTTATGTATTTATATATACTAGTGTTCGCCAAGTGATCCAAATTCCACCATAATTATTCTTAGACATATGAGAAAAACATAAATGAATTTGCATGCTTTCAATTTTTTTATTTCTATCTGATTAAACACGAATGAATGAAACATTGAAATGTCAAATTTCTTTAAGCAATTTCTGGAATGCCACTACTGATGCCTCAGGGTTGATAATGTTTCCGAGGCTGTGCAACTTGGGACAAATGCCCCAAATGTCCTGTCAGGAATTAATGGATATAATATTTATGTTGGATTCATCTGGCAGCTATTCTTGACTTGACAATGGGGAAGTCCTTCTTTAGGATAGGTCCTTTGGCTCAAAATTTTGAAATTTTGACATTTTTTTACCCAAAACAAAAATTTGACATAAAATAGTGCCTGATAGAGATTTTCTGCCTTTGGATTCGTAATAAGCATATCTCAAAACATAATAAAACAACATTTATATTAAAGGAATGATTTTGATGCAGAACAGTGTAATAGACATATCTATTTCATTTCTAATGATGAAATAATTTTAGAATAAGTACCTTACTTTAAATATTAATTTGATTATATTACAAAAATAACATACGAGATAAATTTAAAATAAATAGTAAATATTTATTATGTCTTCCTCCTCCTTTATGATGTTTAATAAAATTGAAAATTTCTTCTGGAATACGTCAATCTTGCAATAGTTAATGAATGCCTTCTTGAATGGCTTGGGCTAAAGCCCAGTTAAAAACCCAAGTTGGACAGTTTGGACATAACTTATAACTGGAAATTATTCATATTAAAAACGATAGATTGTTCTCAGTGTTTAAAAGTGTAACTCGAAGTATACCTGTATTGACAAAATGTTTGAATTAATTATCAAGAACTTTAACACACAAATTGTCAAATATTTGCAACTTATATTATTAGGTTCATGAAATTATTGATGTTGGTCAAACAAACTAACTGAGATTCATATGAAAATACATATAATGCCATACGGGTATCACCTACTGGGATTCCTTTTCTTCCGCCCATTCCAACCTCTCCTTTAGTGCCCTCACTGTTGGATCCTCCTTGACCTGGGGGTCCCGGCGATCCAGGGAATCCTGTAGGACCCTCCATGCCTCTTGGTCCTGGTGGTCCGTCACTTCCTGGTGCACCTTGGAGACCATCTGTGCCATTGCAGCCATCAATACCTAATGGTCCAGGGAGCCCAGCTAATCCAGGATAGCCCTTGAAAAACATTTAGGAGTTGTACTGAAGTGTTATCTCGTTGACAAAGCCTAGTATACATATAATATATATATACATATATATATATATATATATATATATATATATATATTATAATATATATAATTTTTATTTTGCCAAGACAGGATTTTAACTCAGTTCATTCATTATAGAAATCCAACACTGAACAAATCAGGATACCAAAATCCTGTATAATTATAATGAAAATGAGAACATTTAAAAATGTGAAAAATTACTTTTAAAAGCCATATTAAAGTTAACACAAACTTTTGCTTTTGCCACTTTGAATAAAATTTTGTTTATATTACAGTTGGAAATCAGAATATAGTATGAATATACATTTGATTTATGAACACATATTCGTCCTCATGATAAAAATTTGTCATTTCACAAATTATAAACAACAACCTAATGACGAAAATTCATCATTTGTATATTCCAGAAAATGATTGATTCTTGTTTGTTTGTTTGGGCTTTAAGGCATAAAAATTCAAAGCTATCAATGCCTGTAAATTACTTTTTTTTTTATCTCTGATTCTGATAATTTTAAATAAATTAAATTTCAATTTTTACCAAACAGAGATAAATAGATGCCAGAATTTTGTAAATGGCAGTGCAAAAAATTACTGTACAAATATGTGTTCATACCTTTTATTTGATGTCAAAAACAAAGTGGATGAATTAATAAATGAACTTTAAATTAAAACTATAGAGATGTAATTACGTGTAATCCTGGAGGCCCTGTTCTACCCTGTGGTCCAGGTTCTCCCTGCAAAAGAAAAAATAATATGTATATATTTATAATTCTATATATTTAGGTAGAAGTCTGTCTAAATAAAGCTATTTACTATATTCCAAATCTTAAGTTCACAAAATTAATAATTAATAATCCACAAATTTTAATAAGAAGTGAAATTATACAATAAAATAGTTTTAATAAACTACTCTTAATTAGTAAGTATGTAATATATTATATCTGTAATCTAATATGATTCCTATATATATTTCATCTACTCATTCAACCATTTTCTGCCACCTCAAAGTATTGTTTTTAATATATATGTTAAAAATATGAACATCAATTATAAAAATTACATATAATTTTAAAAATTATAGATATATAATCTATTAAAGAATAATAATCCAATCAGCCAAGGCAATAGATATTAGTCCTATAAGTTTTCATTCACACAATATAAAATAATAAATACAGACTAAAATAAAATAAATTAATATTAAAAAATGGTATTTAAAAAGTATATATAAATAAATTAAAGAAATAACAGCAATAACTTAATGTTACTTTGACACACCAAAAAAAAAGGTTTTAAATTACATCAATTATAAAAATGATGGATATAATTCACAATTTATAAAATAGGTACCAATATAATTACTAACAAGGGGAGGTTATATAGGTGGGGTCACAGATTTCAATGAAAATTTTTTTGATGGATGAATCTGGACCTTCAAACTTTGATTAGAATAGGTTTGGTTTGTACCTCTAATACAACCTATCCGTTTGCCAGAAATGGTGAGTTGGGAGATAACCAATAAAATTATTAATTTCAGCCTTACTGGAAGCTAATACAATACTTATTGTGATGTTTCATTAATTAACTTAGGAGTAACTTTCAATATAAATATATGAATTAGTTAAAAGAGCAAAACAAAAAAAAATATATCTTAACCTGTGGTTACTTGAACCTAGAGCAAAAAAAAGAAATGTGGTGTGCGCAGAAATAAGTATTTTCAGAAAAAAGGGAAATGAAAATAACAATTTTAAACGCTATAGTGGTTAATATTTCATTGGTATAAGTTCTTATGTATACAATAACCTTAAATATACAAATTTTAATATTTATATCGCTGTAATCAATACAATTAAATATTAAATAATTAAAACAATAGCATTTATTAAAACCGCATATTACATAATGTTGTCACAGTCCTTATTATATTGAGCTCAAGTTAGTATGGAAGCCTGTTCTAATTCTTCCAGTGCACTTGTATTCCTTTGGTTCCTCAATTACAACTATTCCTGTTACAATCTCTTATTTCTCCTTTAGTTAATTATCAAATTCTTTCATATTATATATTTAACTATCTTTTGTATTAGACATTAATGTAAAATGGTCAATTGTTTCAAATAAAAATAATATTTAAGATACTTTATTAGAGAAGCTAATATTGAAAATTAGCTATTTAAGCCCTGTTAGAGAACATCAATCAGAACAAAACCTACATTTTATTTCAAACTGCTTAATTTTACTCTCATATAATGAATTTAATCAAAATTGTTAGAGCAGTTTTCGAGAAAATTGTAAAAATGTGTTTAGACCATGATATAAAATGCCACTTCCGATAAGCCGATTTTGACGAAAAAGTTGTTGTAACATCCCAAGCATATAAAATCCTTAAATATGCAATTTCATTCTCGTACAACTTTTCGTTTTAGAGCTAAACTGTTAACACACACAGACAATTTTGAGGGACTCAGGGGACCCCAAAACATGTATTTCCGTTGAAAACTCATTCGAAAATTTTCACGATCGCAATACTTTCTCTTACTATATATTTCATATATACGTAAGTGAAAGTAATAATAAAATTTTATAAAATATTTTTTTTCTCTGCTCTTATGGCATGGGTCTAATATTTTTCGATCTCGTATCACCAAAAATAGTTTCATTGAAATTGTTTACCCATGTCCATAACCTCGCCTTGTAAGTTCTGAGGCATTTAACCATGTTTCTATCACTTTTTATTTTCACTCTAGGTTCAAGTAACCACAAGTTAAGATTTTTTTTTTTTGTTTTGATCTTTTTAACTAAGTACTAAATTTATATTGAAAGTTACTCTGAAGTTGATTAATGAAACCTCACAATAAGTATTGTATTAGTTTAGCTAAGGATGAAATTAATAATTCTTTTGGCCACCTCTTAACTCACCATTTCTGTCAAACAGTGGGGTTGTTTTACAACTAAACCTATTCCAACCAAAGTTGGAAGGTCAAGATTCATTCTATGTGTCCACCACAAAATAAATCTAAACCTGCTCTGGCTGGATTCAAACCAGGACCGCTGCTAGACTTGAGAATGTTATAGTTTACAATGCTTTAACAAACTCGGCCATCACAGCCTCAATCACTAATAGCTTAACAAATACATTATAAAAACTTACCCTAAGGCCCATTGGTCCTATTCCCCCAAAATCTCCAGCATTTCCTTTTGGACCCTTCGGACCTGGGGGACCATCGGGACCAGGTGGCCCAGGTGGACCTTCCTCTCCTTGATATCCTGGTAAACCATAATCGCCAGGATCACCTTTAATTCCAGTGCAATCACATGTGAATGGATTAGTACACCCTTGGCAAGCCTATAATAAAAAAAAAATAAGAATATATTTATTACTTTAATTAAAATATCTTGATAAATTCAATATTTAAGAATAATTCTTTATTAATAAAATAAAACTATTTTGTAGTTTATTTTTTTATGTTAGATAACATGTTTTGGGTTTGACCTTTGCTCACAATTTATTATCAAGGAGACCTCATTACTTCCGCATCCCATTGTGCTATCATTAATAATGATTGGTTTATTTCTCAATATGTTATGCCAGAATTTTTACTAATAAAAAAATGAATAATAATAATGAAATGAATAATTAATTTCAATAGCGCTGGTATAATTATTAATATGTCCAAATAATTACAATTTCTAACAGTCCTAGATAGTTTGAAGTGTTTTTATTCTAACTTTAACAGTTAAACAATTGTATCTAACAGGAAAAAGTGTAATAACTTTACATAACATTAAGCACATACACATACAAAACACTGGATATTAAGCAATATATTATTTTATAATGTTGGAAGGTGTAAGCCATATTATTAAATATAAATTGTATTGTGTAAAATGTTATTTAAAAACTAATTACAGTGGAAAAAGTATTATAATGTAGTGAGCTAAAATATTCAAAATTATTGTAGATGTTAGTTATTTATTTCTGCATATGTTAATGCTTTAAACAATTAAAATATATCATTAATGATTGAAAGAACTTTAGTTTGATAAGAATATTATACAAATATATGCTTAAATTTATCTATAAAAGTGTTGCACTTATTTCTTAATTAGAAACTTTGTAAAACGTTCAAAACACTTGACACAATTTACGATTGCAAAGACTACAAAAAATGAAAAATGAATGAATAAAAATGCTATACAAGTACAAATACATTGCATATTACTGAACTTTCAGGCACGGGCGGATCTACGGGGGGGGGGGCTTTCGGGCTGAAGCCACCCCCCCAAAATGGAAAAATATAACCATGTTTTATGGAAAAAAAATATTTAAAAATACCTCTTAAAGTATTATTGTTCGTGTAATTACATTTAAAAGTACTTAAGGAATAACTTAAACACCATTTCATATAGGTAGTTAGTTTCTTTCTGTTTTTCAAAAGTAATTATCGTTATTTTTATGAAAAAAAAAAGGTTTCGGGCTGAAGCCCCCCCCCAAAATTAAATCCTGGATCCGCTAGTGCTTTCAGGTGAAAAGTGGAATAAAAGAATATCTTTTACTTGCAGAGCAACAAGTACTCAGTCATGCCAACTTAAATATTGAAATATTTACGTGCCTGGAGTCACGGGCGGATCTACGGGGACGGGTTTTCGTGCTGAAGCCCCCCCCCCCTCCAAATGGAAAAATATAACCATGTTTTATGGGAAAAAATTTTAAAAAAACCTCTTAAAGTATTATTGTTCGTGTAATTACATTTAGAAGTACTTAAGGAATAACTTAAACACCATTTCATATAGGTAGTTAGTTTCTTTCTGTTTTTCCAAAGTAATTATCGTTATTTTTATGAAAAAAAAGGTTTCGGGCTGAAGCCCCCCCTCCCCCAAAATTAAATCCTGGATCCGCTAGTGACTGGAGTTAATTTGGAATATTAATTCTGAAGAAGGTTGCTTCAGGATCATAGGCGTAGATGGTTCCTACATCTTTTTTTTTTTGGAGGACAGGCTGAGTAACTTAAAATTTTCATGCAAAATTATGCATCATATCATGAATAAAAATTGTGTTAGGGTTGCAGACTTAATCAGAATCTTCAGTTTCAGTTCGAAAACGAGGAAGAAAAACAGTTGTCTACTTTTTCTTAGAGTTGGATTTCTAGAGATTTAGTGGCTTTCAGTAAAGTCTCGCTTGGGGCAGGTTCCCTTCCCCCCCCTACTACAACACTGCCACAAGTTCACATGATGACACTGTAGATGGAATCCCGAGTATTTCCAAGTGTGAATGGGCATGATTTTTGTGGTGACCTTGATTTTTTAACTCCGCCACATGAATTGACACTCAGCGCTGAGTTCATTGATGGCGTCGTTCAGCCCAGTTTAGAGAGAGCAAGGTCCTAAACTCATCGCTGAGATTACTTATGGAATCTATCAGACCGTTCCTAAACTCATCGATGCACTCAGTAGTGGAATCAGAATTGGCTTTCTCTTAGACAGACGACTAACGTGGAACCCTCATACTAGAATTAAAAGACAGGAACTTAACCGACGATACGACCAACTGTACATACTACTAAATAGAAAATCTAAACTCTCTATTGAAAATAAAATACTTATCTACATGAAAATACTGAAACCTACTTGGACTTACGGACTTGAACTGTGGCGAACATCAAAATTTTCTAACATCAAACGTATCCAATCCTTCCAATCCAAAGTCCTTCTAACAACAGTCGATGCTCCTTTCTATGTAACCAACAAAACCCTACACCATGACCTTAATATCCCATTTGTCCTAGACCTTATCCCAGTAAAATTCTCCAAATTTCACCAGAACCTTACCCATCATCCAAATCCATTTGCACAATCCCTATCCAGCACCATCCATCCATATAATCCTCCAAGAAGATTAAAATGGCAGTGGCCCCGCGATCTTTTATAGTTTGGTAAATATTGGAGTTCTGGGAATGGCCAGATTCTCAACTCACGACATGAGTGTATGTGGCTAAAGCACTCTTGCTAAATCTCCACTGGGTTTAGCCCCAGTGACGCGGTTGAGACGGAAGTGCAGGGATTTTCTGGAGTCATACTTTTCCCTCCACAGTTAGAGGGACAAGTCTGGTTTGGAGATCTCTCGCCAGATTGTAAATATTGTAATTATATATTTCAATAAATAAGTTAAGGAAAAAAAAAAACTTTGAGGCGTGCTTGGATTTTTTAATATTTATTTTTTAAGACGGTAATTATTTATTTATTGACATCACTACCGTGCCTGATGGACAACACTAGTTTTGTCAGCAGTGAGATGTTAACGCGTGCCTGCGTAACAACACACTGCTGCTATAAAAACAGTATTACAATTTGAAGAAGAGCGCCCACAGCTTAGTTTTACGCACTAATTAGCTGAGGTAAATCGCCTCGAATTTCGTTATTTTGTATTTTTCTAGTACTCTGGTATGTTAGTCCTCCAAAATATTTGGGTTGTATTCGTTTATTTTTGAATTTTTATGTGGCTTCTCCGCTAGGCACTGAATATATATATTTTAAATTTTATCGGACCCTCTTAGGGCCCCCAATATCATCATTTTTTAGTTTTCTAGTACCGGTTATCCTTGGCTCCAAAAATAATTGTTTTTTATTTAAATGGTACAGTGGTAAGTTTGACCCCTAAATTATCGATTTTAATTCGTTTATTTCCGCAATTTTTCGGGTCTCCAACATAAATGTTATGTACTTTTTTGATGATTGCGGAAACTTCCTCTCGGGGCACCGAATATCGTTGTTTTATATCTATCTAGTGCCTTAGTATGTTTGGCCTCCAAAATAATTGTTTTATAGTCGTTTATTTCTACAATTTTTTGTAACCCTCTGATGAGGCACCAACATAAATGTTTTGTACATATTTATGGCCGAAGAATTATTGTGAGGCCTCCTATAAAAGCCCCGAATATCGTTGTTTTGTATATATCTAGAACCGTGATATGTTTGACCCATAAATTATTTTGTTTTGTTTTGTCTTCGGAGCCTCTCCGATGGGCCCTCGACTTAAATAAACTTTATATATATGTATATTTTTATATATAATATATATATATTTTTTTTTGTTCTTCCCTACCTCGCCGTTTAGGCTATACGGGATTTTCCCGGGCCGGAGGGTGGGCGCGGGTAGTTTAAAATACCCTCTGGCACCGGGATGCGAACTCGTACTTTTCTTGTCTCTCAAATCTTCATATATCTGGTTGCCAGGCGACTCGCGGTGCAGTGCACACGCTTTAGCCTATTCGGCCACCCCGCCCCATATATATATGGTGTGTGTGTTTTCCTGATGAGGGAGCCCCACTTCAGACTACAAATGAGGGCCCCAAACGGAGCCAGGCCAGATCTGAGCACATAGTGTTCCATACACAAAATTTAATGTTAAAATTGGATATATGGAATATGGTCCGCTGCTAAGCGTACTCAAGAGCTAAAGAAACCTTCAAAGGGTTATTTTATATTTTATGTATAGATTAAATAAAATGAAAATAATATAAAATAAACGATATTGTATTTATAAATGATCGAAGTTACAACAAATAGATAAAATAATACTACAGTAATAATGACACAGGTAAAGTAAAAAATATTTTAGTTGTCAGCACTGGCGGACCTACGACAGAGCTTCCGAACTGAAGTTCCCTCAGTTTTTTTTTTTTTTTTTCTATGTTTCAAATTTGTTACATTGGATGATGTAGGCTGATACTAAAACGAAACCCACTTAGAATATAGTTTACATTTTTAATACTTTTAAACTCTGTTTTCCCGAGTTTGTAAATGATTAAATTTTAAATATTTTAGTTCATAAAAATGTTTTGACGCTTCTTGTCAATGTTGTATTTAAAATCATTTAAAGCATAAATACAATAACTATGAACACAAAAGATTCTAAAATCAGTTTACTTAAGTTTTTAATTAACTAATGCAATGTACAGAATGATCCAGAAAACGATTAGCTAGCAGTTCATCAAACGTTGGACTGCTTTCTCAAAATCGAGGGCATAGTAATTATAATTACACCACCGTATGGATCAAATGTTCAAATTGGTCAGAAAGATATAGATAGAAATTTCAACTGTTGATTCGTCTATTCTCAGGTTTGCTACTTCACGAGCTGTTTCTCAGTGACTTTGGCTAGCAGAGGAGATAAAGTTATAGGAAGTGCAGGGAGCAGCTATTGTGATAGTAAATGTTCTGAACGCCAGAGTACTTTAACGTAAATACATATATTTTTACTTTCACTTACGTATATATGTAATATATAGTAAGTGTAAGTATTGCGATCGAGAAAATTTTTGAATCTGAGTTTTCAACGGAAATAGA